TTATAAAACAGTTTTGTTATAGAAGTTTAAATGCACTGTGTAGTGGTGGTTGACGGGGATTCAAAAGTTTTCGTTATACGGGATTTTCGTTATAGAGGAGTTTGTTTTACAAGAGTTCCACTGTATATTTAAATACAGCAAAACCCCTATATAACAAACTCTTCTACAAAGAAGATTCCGTATGACGAACAACCTTCAATTCCCCAGGTAACACTGCATAGTACGTTTAAAACTCTTGTATATCAAAAACCCTTCATAACGGACAAATTTAAAATCCCCGAGCGATTCCTTATACAAGAGTTTCACTCTATAGAGCTCTATGTAAAAACCTTTTCAACTTAACAAGTAAATTTGTATTTTAATGTAAAAAAGTCTTGTACTGTAGTATTTTCTGCAAAAAAAACTAAAAAAATAAAAAAAAAACAAAAAATGCATCCCCAAGACCAAAAACATCTTACCACATTGTTTAGTATCTTTTCAAATTAAGTTCCATTTTACAATTTTTAAAACCAGCCCTTTTTTAAAACTTAAAATTTTTAAAAACAAACACCAGCTTTTGAATTCAAGTTTAAGACAATAAAATGACCCTCTTTCGATGACCGTTAATAAAAAATTCAAACTTGATTTGAAATTCTATGAGCAGATGGCTCTATGTTTTTTTGAACCTTATGCGCTTCTTTTCATTTTTGAAATTATTCGAAAAAAGGTAATTGAAACGGAACCAAAAATTCAAATTTGTAATATATTAGGTTGTTCAAATAATTCTGTGCCCCTCTTCAAGCAAATTTTTGGGTCTGGATAGACCTGACAATTGGGTCGGGCTTGAGGGAAATTTAAGTGGGCTGGGCTGAAAAGTTGGCCTGGCTAGGCCCGATTGCTAGTCCTAGTTAGGGGCACAGAATTACTTGAACAACCCATTAAAATTAAAAAAAAGTTAAATATAAGTCTTGTCGCAATCGACCATACAAACCAATACAAATTGACGACAAGATTTTCTTTGCCATTTTTTAACATAACATGTCCATAATAAGTAAAAATATCTTATAAACATAACCATGGAAAGTGAAAACCTTGAGTAATGCTTTACTTTCACCTTAATTACTCGGCTAATTACTGCCACCTCGCGGCCTTGAACATTCACCTACCTCAATATTCCTTTAATATTTGCCACCTCCTTCAACTTTTGTGTCCCGAAATTAATGATCAAAATTATGACACCCAAGTTGTCTGTCCATTGTTATTCAAGGCCATTCAAAGTTGGCGACTAAGCGTCTCTTTCAACATTTAAAAAAAAACATGCGGATTTTAAAAACAGGCATAGATATGGGTAATTAAAAGAACATTAGGGTAGGTTTGTGTAGCAAAAAGTACTTTGAATTAAGAATGCACTTAAAAATGGGTAATAAATTTAAAAATATAGATCGACGTTTAGTGCAAATTACAACTAAAGCGGGCTTACTAGACCCGCCTAGGCTGAAGAAAATTTGAAAGGAGCCCAAGCCGGGCCTAGTCTAGGAGTGAAAAACAGATCTAGCTGTGCCCAATTTTAAAGCCCGGCTCAATCCCGAGGCTCAACGTTTAGGCTCGGCTTATTTTCCATTTTTTTCTTAAGCCGGCCCGGCTCGGTTAAAACAATCTAGGCTTGGCCAAACTCAAATTTAAAAAAAACTTTAAAATTTTAAAAATCATAAAAATAAAAAAAACTTTGGTTTTGCATTGTTGCTATAGATCATTTATTGATCGTAATACCTAAAAAATCAAAAAACGAACTCTTACTTTTCAAGCTTGGCCAGCCGGACCAACTTTTAAGCCAAGCTTGTTTCAATTTTAGCTCAAAGTCAACCTGAGCCTAGGGCCGGATCGGCCCAGACCTATGCGTCTTGTTTTTCACCCCTATGCTCAAAACAATATCTCAGGGGCCTATACTTGGCATATTTCCAAGACCATCCTACCCAGTTCTCTCTTCGACACTTTTTTCCCAGTTTCAAACCAAAATACGTCTTAATCAATTCCAAGTCCAGAAGGTGAGGTATTATTAAAGTCAAGTACAAAACAACAAAGTAAATTACAACTCGCCACATAAGTACGTACAATTCTTTTTAATATCGAAGAAAAACAAGATTGTTGTTCTTATCAAAACACCTACAAATTGCCATTTCTTTTTTATAATTAACGTCTTTAACCAAGATCTCGCAATTTTGGCTGTTTTGTCATGTCATATAACTCATATTTCTTTGATTTAGAATATTTTGACAAAGTTGTTGTAGGCGGTTGAAAATTTTATTGACGTTTTCGGCTTTTATAAAAATTATGTTTTGTTTGACATACGAACATATTAACTAAACAACATAACCTTGCAGCTTTCTCAAGTTTTTTTTTATTTATACACATCACATTTTCTCATCGTTCATAATGTACTTTTACCTTTTACATTCCAAAATGTCTTATATGTGTGGGCACTTGAATTATGTGTAGTTCATAGTATTATACAATGTTCACTTGGTCTAAAGTTTTGTTTTTTTACTACAACTCAATTATTTTTAGCTTGCACTATTCAAAATATGGTGTACGATGGATAATGTAAGATAAATTTTGTACTGCAGCTAATAATAGTTTAGGTTTAAAATGGCTACTAACATTATTATTATGTATATAGCATAATATTACAGGTAGTTGACCATACAGGCATAAGCTTGTAATGTTTTTTAAATGAACTGCTACACTGTCAGTAATATTTGTTTTGGACTAACTCATTTATATGTATAAAACAATTTCTTGACACACCTTTTACAATAAAACAATTTATCCAATTGGTAAAGAGAATTAGTTTAAAGGCCAAAAGGAAACCGGTTTTTAAAAATACAAACGACCGGTGATTTTATAATGCCCGAGATATGTTAGTCATGTTTATAACTTTTAATCGTATTATTTTTTCATTCTTTGCTTTTATTTTTCTATTATTATACTTTTTCTATAACTACACGAATTTTCTTTTATAGTCATTAGATGTCATTTTTTTGTACAGTGGTTTCTCGATATAGTGAACCATCTGTATAAGCAACACTCCTTATAGTAAACATAAAATTTGGCCCCGCCAAGTCAATTTGCACTAAAAAGTCTCTCTGTAAAGACAACACCCCTTATAGTAAACACAAAATGTCGGTCTTTTTGGGTTGCTTATATAGAGAGAATACTGTATTTGAATTTTTTTAAATTTCAAACTTTTAAAATTTAAAAAATGCGAAATTCTTACGAGACTGTCCCTGTAAAAGAACCTACGGCTCCTTGATTAAACATAGCGCCATCAGCGATTATCTCTAAATTAGAAAAAAAACGTTGAAGAGTGCCACTGTGGACTGACCTAGACTTGAAAGCAGGCCTGTTAAACCGGACCCAGCGGCACTAGGCATAAGTAAAGTTTCAATGGTTCTTACTCTTGTATATTACATATAACGTCTTTTTACTGATTGCAATACATACCAAATTTCAGTTTAATGTAGTCATGGTATATACGAATTCAGAGGACGTGATATCAACAAATGCTATTTCAAATACTGGTAACTTGGCTTTGTCAATTATAATCGCTTTCTATATGGCTTGTAGTGTGCTGGCAATAATTTATTCATTTGTTTACATTTACCTTTTAGCAACAAAAATGGTAAGCTTTACTTGTTTCTTTGCTTATTTTATTAGAACAGGTGGTAAAAGAAATGTCATTGTTATAGCCATAGGTTATTGGTACTTAATAGTACGGATTAATTGGGTATTTATGATGGTACTCACTTGGTACTATTTTTATGATATATAGTACCATATAGCATACTATATTACATAATACTATATAACATACCACAAGTCATTGTATATAGCACTCTTTAGCATTTTATATAGTATGTATTACTGTATAACATATCAAACAGTATGCCATATCATTTTATATAGTATATACAGTAGTACATATAGCATAATATACGTTATATAGTACTATAACATTCTATATAGTAAGTAGTACTTTATATATCATTTTATATAGTACATCTTTCAGACAATCCACCGAAACCTCCTCTATCTTCTTCTACATCAGCCTATAACAACATTATTCAACTTATTACCTCAACTTGTTTTAAATATAGACTACTTTATCGGTAACTACTTAAATGGCCTCTTAATACGACAAATATTAGTAGCCTTGAGTTTACTTGGCATACTGTGTTCTATCTACAATTTAGACGCTTTTGTAGTGGAAAGAGTTGTAGCTACAGTAATGGTCGCTAAATACGAAAATATGGATGTACGAGTGTCATTGTTGCCACTTTTACTGGTCGTTTCTGAGGTAGGATTTTCGAGTTTTTAATTTTTAAAGTACCCAACTTGTCCCACTCAAAAATTTTTAAAAAGCTTTATATAATTTGAGTTTCCCGCAAATTTAACAAATTTGGCATTCTGTTTCAAGCAGTTATTTGATGTTTCAGACAACCTACGCTTAAAAATAAAAAATGTAGATCCATTTAAAGTTTTTCTACTAGTATACCAAAGAAAAATGATTAAAAGTTTAAAACGACAAAGTTATAAGCTTAGAACACAATGCCGTATTGACGGGAAATTCAAAATGTAATTTTTTGATCTTGATTTTCGTGAAATGACTAGGAAGCTCTATTTAGTACTTTCTTGAAGATCTTATATTTACATGATCTTTCATTTACATATAAAAAGTTTAAAGTTAGTCAAAGCAAGGCCAGTCGGGCACCTTACTTGTAAGTGTTAACAAAGAAATTGCATCAAATATCCTTCAAATGTTAGAACAAGAACTAACTGTTTACTGGTTTTTTTTTAAATTTGAAATACGACTTTTAAAAATACTACAGTTATTTTTGTTTTTCAGTGGTGCCTTGCTATTTTTACCTACTTTGTTTTGTATTACTGTAAGTTTTTTTTATCTTTTATTGTTTTTATATTATTTCTTATACTTTTACATAATATTGTAAAGACACATGTAAATAATGATACTTTTTATAGTTAACGTGCTTGCTCTACGATATGTTGGCATAATATTGATAGTCTTTTCAATCGTAACACCTTTTACGGTAAGTACTACTAATTGTACCTTCTATTATAAAGTAAATGCTTCCACATTTTATAAACTGTAAAATATCAAGGAAGACCCTATCGATCACAACTTTATTTTTTCCTACTCTCATATACCTATATATCTTATTGAAACTTAAATATTAATATAAGCCTTTTAGTTATTCCTATTCCTACCCCGTATAACACGCCACCTTAACCGACAGTATCTTCTCACGGCTAAAGAGCGGCTTCAAGAGTTGAAAAAGCTACCGGCCAAAGTGGCAGCACTAACTATTCATTCTCGAAATGCTACATTAAGCGAGAGGTACCAAGCAGCAGAGAACATGAGATCAGCCAGACTATTGAACATTATCATACCTGTCATGGTGGCTTTGTTGGCTATTGCTTGTGTATTTTATGTAGTTGGGTTGTATTTACCAAATCCATCAATATTAAGGTCATTGATCAATCAGTGCTTCTACTTTTTACTTACTACTGCGGTAAGTGCTTTTGATGCTATGTTAGAGTAGAAAAAGTAGAGTAAAGCTGGATAGAGTAGAATAAGGTAAAGTAGATTAAAGAAACGTAGAATAGGGTAAGGTAAAGTGGGGTAAGGGAACGTAAGATAGAATAAGGTAGGGAAAGGAAGAGTAAGTTAAAGTAAAGTATAGAATAGAGAAAAAAAAGTACTGTGCTGTACTGAATGATACTCTGTGAGGGACAATACTGATACGTAGGGTAGGGTAGAGTAGGGTAGGGTAGGGTAGGGTAGGGTAGGGTAGGGTAGGGTAGGGTAGGGTAGGGTTGTGTAAACTTTTTAATTTTTGAATATTTTTAGAATGTCGTGGTGATGACAATAGTACTACTGAAGATATCATATGTACAGAAACTGAATTGTTGTAGTCCAATGGCAAAAAGAAACGCATTAGTGGATTCCGATCGACCAACTATTAGTATGAATAATACTGCAGAACAAATTGCTAATATTTATTTTGAAAGTTATAAAAATGCTTGGAACTAAAGTTATGTAAAATCAATATTAGAAGAAAAGTAAAGAACAACTCTTAGAACTACGTATTTTACAATTGCATCAAAGATAATTTATAAATTATAAAAAAATTTTAAATTTTTTTGCAAAAAAATATTAAAGCCTTGCACTATGACTAACTTTTTTTTGTTAAAAGCAGCTGTTCCGAAAAAAAAACAGAACGCTGCTCAGATATTCTCTTTGATGGACATTAAACTAGACAAATTGAATGAAAAGGCTTTTGAACAGTAAATTAACTTTAATTTATTGTTTTTTTTTTGTACAGAGGAACTTTTGTATAACGAATCGCTCGGGGATTTGGAAAGCGTTTGCTATACTGAAGGTAGAAAGTTTTGACTTTCCCCCCCCTCCATCAAACTTGGCTATAAGTGAACCGATCGGGACCAAACTTGGTATATGTACTCATAAAGTACTGGGGACTGTTTTGATATAATTAAGTGTCAAACCGTTGGTGGGATTTCTTTTTATTTAATAAGATTTTTTTGCGGTGAAAAAACTGGGAATTAAGTTTCGACCCCCTTGTGATATAGCACGGGGTTGCTGTGATTTTGTCAAATCTTTACAAGAATAAGATAAAGCATGACTATTCCGTCATGTAAGATAAGTAGCTTATGAGAACAAGAATTCTAAACGCCCTTTGTTGTGATAGAGTTTGCTATACAGGCAGGGCCGAGTGCGAGAGTGGGTGAGGACAGAAGCTACCCCCATCAACCAGAAAAAAAATTTGACAAAGTTGGACGTGATACTCACTGCGAATTAAAAAATTTTACTTTTTTACATTGGAACTAGTAGCTCCTTTCACCTGTGCTGATCTTTTCGGCCTTCGTCCTCAGAACTAAACTGCACACTCGGCCCTGCATGCAGGAGTTCCACTGTGTATGTTTTAAGCTACTTCATATAGCAAGGGTATTCAATCTATTATAAATATATAGTGACGTTATTTAAATCAAAATTGTAATATTTAGCTAAATCACGCGATGAATAAGCTTGAAGTCAAAGTTTATACATAAAACGTGACATTTTAATTTTCAAACCAAAAGTTTTTGAATCAACTTTTGATTTTTAATTTTAAAACTAAAAATACTTTTAAAATTGATTGAAAAGCACAACAAAGTACATTATTGTCTAATTTATAATTTTATTTATTACCTATATTTAAAAAAGATCAATACAGAGAGAGACGAGTAAGTAGAGGGAGAGCGGTTAGAGAAGCGGAGAAAACTCTCTTATTATGTTAGAGAATTAGTAACGGTTCGCGAAACCCAATCAAAAGACAAGTTTTGATTTCATAAAAAGAAAGGGGAGATATTTGTTCTCCGACTTTGTAAAGTCCAATTGAGGTTGGTAATTTCTTCGGCTCATTTTTACGTGGCTGAATATTGAAATTTTGGAATGCCTGATCTTCTGGATCGGGCGCATAGATAAATTATTTTGTAGAGTAAAGTCTTAATATGTTGACTCTCAACAGCGTAACGCATTCTTTATAATGACAGCTATTTTTAAACAGAAGCCCTGTCAAAAATTATATGGGTATAGATGGAAAGTGTAATACATAGTATTGTGACACCTTAGGTATTATACAAAAACACGTTTGGACTAGCCCTTTTGGTGACATACTAACGATCTTGACTGTGTTTTGTTATAAATAGATCTGAAAAAGGGCTCACTTTTCATCTTTATTTTATAGCAACTTTTAAGTTAAAGCCTATCTTAAAAGATTTGTCGTTTTCTTGTGTACAAAGCTATGTAAATTGACGCCAAGGCTTTTTACTTACTCTAATCAGTAAAAACGATATTTTAAATAGCGTTTAAAACCTCAAAAACAACTGTTTTTAAAATTGGCATATGTTTTATGACCTAAAACTGTCAAAGTTCAGTTGTCAACTGTTGGCCGATGAGTAATCGTCTCTTGTTCGCTCGTTATTTGAGTTTTGTTACCTTATTATTAATGTCTGAGGACACGATGACTCACTAACACTATAAAACAAACGTTTTTCTGATTGACCAACGCATTTGTGGCCATTATCAGCTCTTTTCCGGTTTTTTGGAAGTTAATTAGTCAGCTTTCTATTGTAATATGGACAGGGTAAGGTAAGGTAGGGAAAGATAGATTAGGGTAAGGAAGGTTAGGGTAGGGTAGGGTAAAGTCGATTGGTGAAAAGCCGGGTATAAAAACTTTTTTTTACAATAAAAGAAGAATAGTAATTCAATGAATATTTTTAAAAGAAGTACAAGGAGAGAGAGATTTTGTTGTTAATGTTAAGTTGAACCAAAAGTAGCGGGATACTTTCCATTCATTTTTCAATTAAAATTTTTTCCGCTACTTTTAGTTCAACCTAATAAAAGAAGGAAGGATAAGTTAAGGAATGGATGGCTCAGAACTCACAGTTCTATTAGTTACGTTTTAGGTTATATGGAGGTTGCTAAATCGATTGTACTTAGCCAATATATAATAGCAAATTTGAAAAAGGTCATCGCGCAAATGTCGTGCTGTTTTAAAGGTTAGCCCTTTTTAAATTTATTGAGCGGTTTTTTTTCTATCAAAAAGCTATTTTAAAATTTTTAAACTTACAAGGAAGGTACCAGACCTGCAACGCTCAGGTTTCGTTTAAGTTTTTTAAACTTAGGCTAAATTTATGAGAAGAAGGGGAGGGGCATGATATTCTTTTAAGCTTTGTCTTTAAGGATCTACTTTCTTGGTCCAATTCATAGAAAGAAATTCTTTGCTCTGCGCCAAGCGGGTCAGGTTTTATTACCTAAACTCCATATTTGGAGTAAGCTCACGAAACGTCACTTTTTCGTAGCGTCTTGCCTTCTCTATCACTCTATAACCTTTACCTTCTCTATCACGCTACATATCACTAAAACAAATCAAATCAAAGCTTGATAACACTTAAAATCAGTTAATCAAGCTGCAGCGATGTTAATAACACCAAACCAATAGAGTTGTGTTATTGAGCTAGCGTTACATTAATCAATCTTATCTCTTGCAAAGCGCTCGTTAAAGCCAATTTCTCGTGGTTTAAACCTGTCGCAGCGGCGATTTCCACCCAAATTCCTCCATTTCATTCCTCTGATTCACCGGTTTCGCTGGGGGAATTTTGGCAGTTCACAGCTGGTTTTTACACTAGATTAGGCGAGGATTTGGTTGTACTGGATAGGGGTTTGGATTTTTTGTTTTGAAAGCGAATTTTATAATAGTATAGCTTAAACTGACCATTGTTGATTTGAGATTTTTTTATTTTTTGTTTTTTAGATAGCTTTAAAAGTTTTTTAAAAGTTTTATTGAGTGTTATAGATTTTGTAAAGAGACCAGGCTGGAGCCTGGTTTAAGCCCCGTCCCCCAGGCCCGTTTAATTTTTTTTGGCTTGGCCCAGCCAGCCCCTTATAGAAATTCATTAAAATGTCAACTGAGACAACTATTATAGTATTGTACTGCTTCTATGCACTAAACAAACTATAATATAACAATTTCAATTTTGTACTTAGTTTAAAAATTATTCTCAAGTAAATGGCTTTAACATCAGATTTGTTTTATACTGTTCTCATATCAAATCTTTCGGTGCGAGACCTAAGCTTCGCCTTTGGATCCGTAGTTTGTGTCTTGGGCACACATGTGCCGGGGCGGAACTAGTGGTCTCATTTACGTTTAAGTTAAAATTGTTGAAACGTTAAAAAATTTTTTGATATTTTACTTACTTTACATTTTTTTACTTTTAAAACAGCTCAAAATCTATTTTTTAAAATTTTTTAAATTTTTGGGTAGCTTTGATTCTCATTTAAAAAACGCCTAAGGTTTTATGAATCTAAAAACATGTCGTATAGCTTATTAATCTTTTTTTGAATGGATTTATGAATAATATCACTTTTTTATAAGTTTGTGGTTTCTTTTTTTTGGTATTTGCATCTATAAACAGGAAATGTTTGATCTACTGAGCTTATTGCTTTTAGGAGAACAATTACTTATTGTGTAAAATACGTGAAAGGGTGCTTGGGTTGAAAACTAAAAGTTTTGCATAAGTCTAAATTTTAAAATAAAATTTTGAATGAGGGTTTTCTTTTTTATAATTTTAAATTTTTTAGAAAAACTTTATTCCTGTTAAAATGGTCTTGGCTATCGAGATAGTTGTGGCCAAAGAATTTACATAGGATTCCCTATTTGATTCTTATGAAGCTTTTTTTCACACTAAAAACAGTTTTCTCATAATATAATAGTCAGACTAATTATAATTATTTATTTAGAAGAAACAGCTGTATAAAACCATTTCCAGTTCCTTATTTGTATATTATATTGACACGGCTGCGCAAACACTTACAAACATCTATTCTCAGTAGATCGTACGTACCTATCTATTGAGAATAGATAGTAATGATGTTTGTACTGTACTTGATATTAGGTTTAACACAAAATTGGTTATAGTTTTATCATTACTATTAATTTTGCTGACTTATTATATTATACATTATAGTTGCAATTTTTTTTCTTATCACCTATTTTGTAATACCTTTTTCCCGGATTATTATTAGGTTGTTTAAATAATACTGTGCTCCTCCTCAAAGCAAATTTTTAAGGTTAGGAAGCATAGAAATGGTTTAACAACCTAATATGTTATAATAGATTACCTACACTTTATTTATACCAAGCTTAATTTCCTGGCTGTACTTACGGTACCAAGACAAGCTGTCTGGCTGTAGTTACATGCTTATCCTTTTGTTACAGGATCTTATATTATGTTTTTGCAATTAAAGTCTTATACAAACTATATAATTGATTTTTGCATTTGAATCACATTGATGACTAAATAGTGCAATTAGTTGCCTCCCCATTGCAATGTCTATCTATTCAAATATTAGTAATGTATGGTTTAGCTCGTATTTGTTTGAAATTCAAATTTTAACATATGTATTGTAACAAAAGCTTTGAAATTGCAGGATTTTGTTTACTTATCGTAATCGTTATCTTTTGCATTTTACAAGAGTTATTAGCATTTTAAAAATTTTGTCATTTTATGTTTACCTTCATTTTTTTGCGTTATGGTGGATGTAAAAGCTAATATAAATGAAAGTCTTATGTTTAGATGATACATTTATATTTGTAAAGCCAGCCTGTATATTAGTTTTGTATATGAGCAACCAAAGCATTTATATTAGGTTTTGGCAGAGTTATGGCTATTTTAAAATGCGGAAAAACAAAAAAAGTTCGATTCCTTTTAGATAAATTTTTTTTGTATTTTCGACAATGTTCTTTTAATACTTTATGAAAAAGTAAATATTTAGCATTTTAAGACCTCATACTGTTATATACATTACGTTTCCTATACTATTTATCTATGATTTATTTTGAAAACCAAAGTTAAAACCTCCACTTTCAGATGAAACTACTTCCATTTCTGTTCCTCGTAGCCCTCTCAGTTCAGCTAATTCATGCTGAAGACAGTGAAAGTTCAGGCGGAGATTGGTGGGACAGTTTCGTAAGCAGTGTCAGTACGAAAATTCATGAAGGAGCCGACTACCTCAAGGAAAAAGCCGGGCCTTACATCAGAGAGAAGTTTGACAACGTGAAGGAGAAGCTACAGGATCCCGAGACTCATGAACAAGTTCAATTGTGGGTCAGAGAGGTGGGTTATGTTAAGATTGTTTTACTTTTTTTGATAGTAAAGGTGAAGTCCCTGAGACGAACCTGGTCCCCTCTCTAAACTATTATATCAAATATGGTCAAAATATGGCGCTAAAACGTAAAAAATTACCTTTCTTATCATTTCAGAAAGCCGTCCCAGTAGTCGAGGAAAAATGGAACCAGTTCAAGCAGTTTGTGAACGATGAAGTGGCTCCGGAAGCCAAGAAGATCTATGAGGCCGCCATTTCAGCCAACGACAAGATTGACAAAGAGAAGGGTGTTAGCTCGGATTAAGTCACTGCAGGAGAAGGATGTTACTCCGGATTAAGTTACCTTTACTTACCATTCTCTTACATTCGTATACACGATCTATATAATAGTATTTTACTTTTTCTCAAATTATTTTGTTGTTCAAATAATTTTGAGCTCTCTCTCAACGCAAATATTGGGGGCTAGGGGGCGCAGAGTTATTTGAACAAACTAATAACACAAGATGAAAGTAACATACGATCAGATCGTATTAAAGTAATGCCACATCTTTTGTAATTTCGTGCCTTAAATTAACTTTCTGAAGCCCTAAAAGCTATCTTCTGTCCTTCACAAAATTACCTTTTCACCATCAACATCATATTCATCTTGTGCAATATATCTAGCAAGTTGTGAGGTTGTACGACTTCCCTTTTAAGTATCTTCAGATGCCTTATATTATCGACCATGTTACCCATTGTTTTGCCATCGAAAGACTTCTTACGCTTTTTAATTACTAGTTACGGGTCTTATTGTATTGTTTTTCGAAAAATAAAGTTAGACGAACAGTCAGTATGGTATCTAATATTACAGTAACTCAAAAAATTCAAAATTTACTACTCTTTAAATAACAACGAAATACAAAAAAAAATCGAAAAATATTTTAAGATCGTACCGGAGAGATGTAAAGCTTCTTCGTGTGAGAAAAAATAAGAACTTCTGGAGACCGTCTCCAGACGTCGGAGACTGTTACAGTAATAGTATATCAATAAAACTATAAATTGTATTAAAACAATATCAATACTATCGAATCCATTAAAATATCAAGGTAGTTCATATAATTCTGTGCCCCTCTCAATGCAAATTTTCGGATTAAAGGGCACAAAAGTATCTGAACAACCTAATACTATCAATCGTATTAAGATAAAATCAATATAAAGCTATATTTCCACAAAAATAACATAAAAATACAAATTCTTTGTGAGTAATATCAAAAAGACAATCTATTGTTTTGTAAATAACAATATTTGATATATATTTAAGCCTTAACTATTATAAAATTTCAGTTTTTAAGAGTTTCATCGATTAAAACTGCTTCGGCGAGAGCCGGTGGCAGTCCGGGCTGGCAACATGCCCAGTTTTGTGATGTGATGGTATTGGTCCGGAACCTTTAAACGTAAATTTTTAAAGTAAAGGTAAAATACGGAACTTACATATAACATTAGGTCGTTCAAATAATTATGTGCCCTCTAAGGCCTCAAAATTAAGCAACTTTTCGAACTTTAAAGTCTCACAATTATTTGAACAATCTAATATTATAGTTTTAAATCTATACCTTCAAAGTTGTAGACTGTTAACTTACATCAAAGTTAACAGTCCACAATGTTACGAATGTAAAATACGAAACAAACTATTAATAATAAAAACCCTACCTCCAAAAGTGAATGAATAGCGAACGCCAACTCTCCCTGCTCGCCGTACTGTGGTCGTACCAAATCGTGAAATTCGACGAAATGGAAGTTGTCCCAAGGCCTTTTAGGTAGCGATTCGTCGAACACCCTCATCATTTCCCACGGTCCATCGCCAACACCGACCACAATAATCGACAAAGGCCATTGACAGGCCTGAACGATGGCTTTACGAGTGGCACGTTCGTTCGTCACTTGGCCATCAGCTATTATCACCAGGATGTGATACTGAAAATAGTTGCTTTAGCTTTTTTCGATTATTTTTTAAATTTTCGTCTTCGTATTTTAGGTTTTTCAAAGAAAAAACGTAAAATAGGAACTTCGAATCTTAAGGTGTTCAAAAAGTTCTGAACCCCCTTTTAAAGCAAACTTTTAGGGTAAGAAGCTCATAATTATTTGAACAACATAAAATACGAATTAAAAATAATATTTTGTTAAAATAATTCTGAGCCCCCTTTCAAAGCAAATTTTCGGGGCCAGGGGGTGCATAATTATTTAAACAACCTAATACACGCCCAAAAGGCCGTTTAAAAAATTTACCCCGCCCTACGTTGTCGACAATTCGCTATTAAATGTAAACTTACATCTTGTACCCGTTGGCATATTTGAATCGCCTGATAAATAAGTGGCGCAAAGTTTGTTGGACCACTAAGACCAATTGTTGGCGTTACCTCATTGTAAGTTCTGTAAAGCAAAGTATATTAAACTGATTTTTAAAACTGATGTCAACTACAACATTTTTCAATATAATAGACATTCAATATTACCCACATTAAGACGAAAATGCTCTAAATTTAGCTTTTTTAATCAAAAACCAAAAATTATTGTCAAAACTACCTAAATTATCTTTTATCACCTCAAAACAACTAAAAATATAGCTAAAATAAACCCTTTTTTACCTCAAAACATCGTCCAAACCCTTGCAAATCCCATTAGTACCATTCAACGGGAAAACGCCCCAATCACCACAAGTGTTATCACCAAATCCATAAACAGGTATGCCATTTTGAGCAGCAAATGGCACCAAAGCCCGTCCCAACGTCATAATCACCTTCTGATACGGATTGACAACATACGATTCGCCCAGGTAATGTAAACTTCTACCGTCAAACGAGTTTTCACCTTGATATTTGTTTGAAGCAGTGTAATCGACGCCAAAGATAAGATTCACTCTTTCTAGGCCGGCTTTCCTCATGGCTTCACTCAATTGTTCGAAGGAGGTTAGTTCTAGTAACATTTCCTGCATTGAAGTAACGCCTAGAGCTGATAATAGAGAGCTTTGTTTGTAGAGAGATCGAGAAGAACGAGAGGAAACAGAAACGTTGTCAGTTTCGATTTTAACACTGAAGGCTGGAGCTGCTCCAACCGGTGCTGGGCCTGAGAAGTTCTTCGGGGAATTCCTGAAAGTATAAGATTATAAAATCTTATTTTAACTTTTTAATGTCTAAGAACTTAAAAGATAACTAAAATACTAAATTTCAATCTTTTGAACTTTAAAAAAGTCCAAAAATCACGAAAAAACTCTAAACTACATTGATGAAAAGTTGAACAATATTATTCTTGCACAAAAAATAATAATATTCAACTTTAAACCCAAAAATCTACCTATGAATAAGATTGTCCTGCTGATCATTTGTAACAAAATGAGGAGCAGAAGCTTCCTTCGCTTGTTTCAAATGCTCAACAATCTCTCTGTCATCTGGCAGCTCGGCAAACTGAGAAGAAGCTTGACTGATCTGATCTGGAGGAATCTCGACCGATTGAATTTCCGGAGCATACGTAACAGCATCGTCGGCGTCATCAAAGACCATTTCGTGCTTTTCAAAAACTTCATGAGTCGGTACCTGTCGGCTCGTCGGATCAGCACTCGCATTCTGTGTCTTATATGGTTGTTTATCACTCTCCAACATGTCTTCCTCAATCACAAAGCCGCTGGTTGATGGTAAGTAGTTCTTGTGGGTATCCACATACTCCATTGCATCTTGTAAATAAATATCAGCTTCAACTTGACGTCGAGGATCGTCTTCATGGCCATCGACAGTTTTCGCGCGCTTCTGACCTTGTTGATCTTGTCTGGACGGCTGTTCTGATGTCTCCCGCTTCTTGGATTCTGAAAAATAGTTTAAAATTAACTTAACAATAAACTAAACTACCTTTCACAAGTTTTAAATTATCGAAATTGATGTTTTACATCGTTAAAGTTGAAAAAAAACCGAGGTGAATATAAAAAGAAAAACTTGACACGCATATTTAGAAATAAGAAGAAAACTAGACTCAGAACAATAATTTGTAGACATGAGAAACGGGCCGGGCCGGGCCCAATTTTCAGGCACGGCCCGATCGAAATTTTGCTCAGGGCCGGCCCGGCCCGATGGTAGGCCCGGGCCTAAATTTTTTTTTACGTGGAAACGGGCCGGGCTTGGCTCATTTTTCAGACCCGGCCCGATCGGAATTTTGCTCAAGGCCGGCCCGGCCCGTTTCTCATGTCTAATAATTTGTTTTTCTAAAATTGGAAAAAATGTATGAAATGCTCACCAAATTGGAGTCCATAGTTATCTGCATCATTTGGAGGTTGTGTAGCCGATCTATGATCAACAGCACTTTGTTTGGACAATCGTCTTTGATGGATTGGAGTTCCTTGGCCTGGACTGACTCCTAAAACATGTAAAACATCAACAAAGGTAGGCTATTTCTTATTCTTTATATTGTTAAGGTTTTTCGAGGTATCGTCTAGGTTAAAAATGAAGAAAAGGTCAAAAAATGAGTGTTGAAAAGAACATTATTCATGTTTGGGCTAAAAGAACGAGAAATTATATTGTTCAAGGCCTTGAATGTTACCTTGTTCATGAAGTTTCATCTTCAAAACATTAGCCTCGGGAGATGGAACATGTTCTCGTTGTTCTCGTCGCTTCAGCTGTTCTACAGGAACGTCATATTCTTGTAAAAGTTCAGCCAAGTGAGCTTCTGCAGTCGAATCCAGATCTTTCGCTGGTTCCACCTGTTGACTCTGAGCATGTTGTTGAGCTTCTAGTTTATGGTGAAGTTCATGGGGTTCGGATTTTGAAGGGGAAATGATTTTATCAGCTTGACCGGGTTGTCCTTGATATTGTTGTTCTTGTTGTGGGTATTGTTGTTGATCTTGATAGTGTTGTTGTCCCGGCTTTTGTGGTTGGTCTTGTTGACCGGGGTATTGTTGTTGAGCTTTTAAGTTGTCGTATGGATCAGGTAAATCGGTCTGACTTGGTCTTCTGCGAGTCAGTTGACCTTGTTCAACCTTTTGCCCTCGTTGAGCTTGGTCTTGTTGAGCTGGATATTGAGGCTGAGCTTGATCTTGACCTGGGTAGCCTTGTTGTTCTTGACCTATCTGTCCATCAAAAGCTGGCTGACCTCCTTCTGAAATAGCTCCAGTCCTCTTCACAATTTTATGTTCATCACTAGGGTAAAGGTCGACTTCACCGTCATGTTCAACAACAACAAACGGTGAGTTTTCTTGTCGCGCTTCCTCCAAAGCTCGTTGTACTTGAGCTGGTTGAACTTGCGGATTCTCGGCCAGATATTGAAGCTCCTGCGGGCTGAGGGCATCGTCACGTTGTTGAGATCGTGGTCGTTGAACAGTTTGTCCCTGAGGTCCGGGATAATTCAGTGGAGCTTCGCCTAGTAAATGATCGTGAAGTTCCTCTAGGTAGTCCAGCGAAGATTGCTCGTGGAACTTCTTTGTTGGACTTTGGGGAACGTAGGGTAGTTGTTGTCCTTTTTGGGATTGATATTGGTCTTGACCTTGTTGGCCAGGAGCTTGTGTTTGTTGTTGACCTTGAGGTCCTTGTTGACCATAAGCATCTTGAGCTTCTCCAGGCTGAACTTGTCCTTTTGAACCACGACGACCTTGTTGAACTTGTTGGTACGGGTCTTGGTGACCTTGTTGTGGATATTGACCTTGTTGCCCTTGTTGATAAGGATCACCTTGATAAACAGTCTGAGGTTGATCCACAAACTCGACCATTTCTGGCTGTTCATAATAACTGTCTGGTCGTTGCTCACCTTGTCTGTCATCTCCAGGGTATCTGAAGTCAGGCATTTGAGCTTGAATACGTTGTTGTTCGGCAGCACGGTTGTTGTTGTCGATTTGAGCACGATGTTGCTCAATGTTCTTTAACAGGTCTTCAGGTTTTGGGTTGTAGACTTTGACAAATCCTTCATCTGAACTTGAGGATGACTTCTTTTGGGCTTCTAGAGGCTGATGTTGAGCTACTGGGGTACCTTGGGATCCGGCTTGGCTGAATTGTCCTTGACCTGGCTGACCTGACTGGCCTTGCTGATAAGGTGCGCCAGGCGGACCCTGTTGATAAGGTTGATCCTGAACTTGCTGGAAGCTTGGCACTTTGCCTTGTTGTTGTGCTTGACCCTGATCAGGAATACTCATTCCAAGCTGGTTCAAGGCCGCATTCGGAGATTCAAAAACGAAAGAATGAGCATGTTCAGCGTCGTCTGATTCACTCGGAACAAAGTAGGGAGAGTCTTTGTAAGGCTGCTCGAAATCACTGTCATTTCCGAAGACTTGCTCATTCAGATTCCTGAAGGGATGATGAATATAGTAATCAAAATATAAAAAAGTTATATTTTTATAATACTATTTGGTTGTTTAAATAATTTTGTGCTCCTAACCCCGAAACTTTGCTTTGAGAGGTGGCACAGAATTATTTGAACGACCTAATATATAACAATTGGTATGTAGATCAACTATTATATGTTGGAATACACAAAAAATCACAAATAAAGTAAGGAGTAAAGATGAAAAAATGACTTTTATTCGTTTTCGTGGTGGGACCTAAAACTGATTTTTACTGGAACTCAAGACAAAGCTACTTGGACCTAAATTAAAGCTATTTTATATTATCATCGTCCAAATCAATCTTACCTATTGTACTGTTCGATAGCATTGTCCAACGTTTTAGTAAACGACTTCCTCAACTCCTCGGCCTCATTGTTGGCCAAGCTCTGTTCCGCACGTCTAACTTCAGGTTCATGTTTCTCCTTCAATCGTTGATGAAGTTCCAACGAGTTTGTGGGTTCATCAATGTTCCTGATCTCATCCAACAATCGTTTCTCCAAATCCGCGGCCAATTTTTGATAATCGACCGGTTCGATGTTGGGTGGTGATGAAGGCGGAGTCTTTGGCGTTCCATTACCTCTTTTGTCGTGAAGTGCCAGTTCTTCCAGCTTTTTCTGTTCGAGTCGTTGACGTTCGTTCTCCCAGTCGTCTAGAGCTTGAAGGTCTTGTTCTGATAGACGTTTTTGGCGTCGGCGAAGACCGCTCGAAGGCGAGGCTTCATGACCGTTTTGATGGTATTGTTGCTCTTGGACAAGCTTTTCTAGCCGTTCTAGGGTTTCTGGGTCTGGCTGAAATTGCATTGATAAGGATGGATTTTGTATGTGGTAAACAACGGGCAGTGATCATATATGTGATAATGTAATGATATTTTTTAATTTTCTTGTGTTTACAGTAGGTTATCATAGTAAATTGTCTACTACTGTGTATTATGATAATCATACAAATTGCGTTTTCTTGCAACAACAGCCAATAAATGAAAGAAAAACCTGTCAACACCCCCTAAAACCCGTTATAAATCACCGCCCTTACTTTAACGCTGGCCAAACTGGCTCGCCGTTCTTCGGCGCTCCATCGTTTCCTCTGTTCTAAACAGTAAAAAAACAAAAAGGCGAAGACGACGGCGCCAGCGGCCAAACAAATCCGAGTGAACCAGCCGAACGCCAGAAAGTGGTCAGGTGGTGGACACACCTCCCACTCCTCCGGATCATAACCCAAATTCGGATCGTACACCATCCTTTTTCAGTTGGGCGATTTTGGCATGACCTGCGGGAGCCTGAAAGTGCATTAGAGTTATACTGGTCGACAAAATTATTTTTTTAGGGTTATGCTGGTCGACAATGTTATTATAGGGATAGGGCTAATTGAACTAGTCGTTTTTTTAAAATAATTCTGTGCCCCATTTCAAAGCAAATTTTTTAGGTTAGAGGGCACAGAATGATTTGAACAACTTCGTAATATAAATACCACTATAATCCGGTTTGTTCTCGGCATATTTAAACTAAAATTGACATGGATAATATACAGACCATGAATAAGTTATCACAATTAACATCGAAAGAAATTTACATTATATTATGAAAAGCTTACTAGATTGTCCACAACACTGTGCCCTCTAACCCCGAAAATTTGCTTTGAGTGGGAGCACAGAATTATTTGAACAATCTAATATTTTGAAATAATAAAATTAAGGGTTTGTGTAAAATACGGCCACTATTTCGAAATTAAAAAATAATAAAATTTTGATTTTAAGGTTATATTAGGGATATGAAAATATAAATTTTTGAGTTTTAAATGACAGTAAAAAGGGTTTAATCAATAAACTTCAGACGAATTTTTAAGAGAAATACAGTGGAACTCCTATATAACGAATTGCTTAAGAATTTTTTTTATAAAGGAGCTTTGTTATATGAGTTTTAAATGCACTGTGAAGTGATAGCCAGGGACTTAAAAGTTCATTATACGTAATTTTTATCCTATATCAAAACTAATTCTCTATAGGAGTTCGTATTATCAGAATTTCACTGTACAATAACATATCAAACTAATTTTACAATAAACAGATTACTAGAGATAATAAAAAATAAACGATAATTTACAATGAAAACCAAATAATACAAAATACGCTAAACAAAAAGTAAGGAAATTATCCCAAAAGCCGGCTTGAAATCACGGAAAAAGAAAATTCGATAAAGTTCAAGTGCCATATGCCATGACTCGACTCGAAAAAGACGTCATGCTTTTGAATAAAGCCTTGACTATCCAAAATTATAAAAGTATTTTTTTCAATGACATAAACTTTTATCATTAACATCTTTTTATAATTTGAATTTGGCTAGTAGTTGATTATTTAGTAAAATACGTTTATTCAAAACTTTGGTACGTTCAGTGCATTGAAAAATTCAAAATTAAGTTGGTACAACTAGAATTGAAAGGCGCGGCTTCAAATTTTCAATGGGTAACCGGGCCGGAAAACGAGACCTTAGTAATGGTCCAAAACTAAAGACTTAAGGCCGGGCTCAAACTAAGGCTATATAAGGGGAAGCGTCGAAGAAAATTCGAAAGGGACAAGACCGAAACAATTGGCTCACTGCCAAAAAATTCGGTCAGGTCACTTTACAGGTCTAGGTAAAACAAATTTGTTATCAAAAATTTTTTTTAAATTTAAAGTTGGTCCTCCCTGCTTATTTGCAAAAAAATAATATCTTTCAAGCCCTCAATCACCTTCGAGAGTTCAAAAACCTCTTAAACTTGCAACCCCAAGCGCAAAATTTTAAATATCACACGAAAACAAGCAATACAAACACAGGAGTAATTGGCAATTATCCTTTGACCCGTCGTCATGGCCGGAAAGGAAATATAATTTAAGAGAGAAAGTTTGAAATCGAGTGAAATCCCATTGCATCACAAGTCTTTTGCTTTTCCCTTCGCTTGGAGGCCGAGATCAAGAGTTAAAAAAATTAAACGAATATTATACTAGACGAGGAAGGAACAGGTGCCTTAATCAAGAACCTTGTTGTTAGGAGAAGAGGGGGGGGACAAATACGAATGCTTGTAAACACATTACTACATTACTATAAGATTGCAGATTGTATTGGTTATTGTTTTGCTGAAAAAAATTATCAGGTTGTTCATATAATTCTGTGCCCCTGACCCCTATAATTTGATAAAAGATGACTTTTAGGGCATCAGAAGGTTACTTTAAAGCACAAACTTTCAAAATATTTGACATTACTTCAATATATTAGGTTGTTCATATAATTCTGTGCTCTCTCACTTCGAAGACTTGCTTTGAGAGAGGGTCCATAATTATTTGAACAACCCTTCTTGAGACCTGGACTAGACACGGGGCTAAAATTTTAGGCCCGGCTCGTTATAAGAAAAATTTTAATTTTAAAACTTGACCGTGTCCAATTTTTAGGCCTGGCCAGTTTCAACTTTAGCTCAAGGCCGACCCGGCCTGATTGTAGGGCCGGTCCAGGCATACAAAGCTCGTTTTTCACCATGTTTTTAATAAAAAGTTTAAAAAATAAAAAAAAAACACTTTTTCATTCTAAAATGGAAAATGAGCGCTGATCGGCTACATTGTTGCCTTTTGTTCTTCTGAACGTTAAATGTCAAGACATGTCCTCAACAATTTGTAAAATGCTTTTTATATATTGCTGTGAACATTAGCACTTTGAGTCATATTTTCTGAAAAACTTTAAGAATTGACAGGTTTAAATGCCTAAGGACGCTTATAAGCTTATAAGATGCCACATTTATTTCATATGGAGTGTTCTTTTACTACAGGTAGACCTGTACAGGCTGGGCTTACTTGTGCCAGTCCTTCTCTTGGGCGGTTAAAGCTCTAAATGTTTAGAATATTTGGTTGTTCAGGTAATTCTGTGCCTACTAACCTTGAAAATTTTTTTGAGAGAGGCACAGAATTATTTGAACAATCTAATATTTGGCTGAAATAAGGTTTTGAATGGTTAACATAGTACATTTGTTGCGGTATGTGTTAGATGAGTCAAGTTTTTTTCAAAAAGCTCAAAAGAACGTTGCGTTACGTTTAATAGACACCTCCTTAAGGTATCGAATTTCAAACGGTTGCAAAATTCGAAAGAAAAAAGACTTGCTCTATGATCGAAACAACAAAAAATAAACAAAAATGTAATACAAATATAGATTATAATATGAATATTACTATTAAAATAACAATGAAAATGTAATAGCCAAGTTATTTTTGATAAAAATATAATTTAAAAGAGACTTTCTGAGACCGTGAAGCATCCTGTAACAGGCATGTGCACTAGAAATTTACCCCCTGTTTTTATTTGCTAAATCCATGAGATAGACGGTTTTAAGGTATGTGGTAAAGTGATTTCGGACAAAATGCCGTTTTGGCACTTTTATGCCATTTTTTGTTAACATACTGTTAAAATATACCAAAAAATCAATAGTCCGCCAAATGTTTTGAAAATTTGTACACTTACGTTTTTGACTATGCCAAAAAATATTGTAATTGAAAATTTTTTTTATCGGTACCGTAACCTACCGTAATCCGACCAAAATTGCCTATGAGGATCCGTGTTAACCTTTTAGATATTTGCACTTTTATAATCGACCGGTCGGATTACGGTAGGTTACGGTAACGATAGAAAAAAATTTTCAATTGCAATATTGTTTGGCATGGTCAAAAACATAACCATGCACAGTTTCAAAGCGTTCTATGCATTATTGGATTTTTAAAAAAAAAATTATTATTTGCACGGTCTGCTACCGTAATTTTTCAGTCGACCAAAAACCCCCAAAACCCATCGGACTAGAAACGGGGGTATAGCCTATGATAATCCAAATTCCATGGAGATTCTAAATATGCAAAAATTGCCTGTGAAGATCCGTGTTAACTTTTTAGATATTTGCACTTTTATAATCGACCGGTCGGATAACGGTAGGTTACGGTACCGATAAAAAAAATTTTTCAATTACAATATTTTTTGGCATGGTCAAAAACGTAAGTGTACAAATTTTCAAAACATTTGGCGGACTATTGATTTTTTGGTATATTTTAACAGTATGTTAACAAAAAATGGCATAAAAGTGCCAAAACGGCATTTTGTCCGAAATCACTTTAACACATACCTTAAAACCGTCTATCTCATGGATTTAGCAAATAAAAACAGCGGGTAAATTTCTAGTCTCTCCTTGCTTCACGGTCTCAGAAATCGCCTTTTAAGTTTTTTAAATATAAAATTTTAAACCAAATTTTAGCAAAATTTTATTTTCTAATCAAAGCAAGTATAGAAACTCTTCTACTATATTATAAGTAATTTGTGACAATCCTAGTTGACTTATTAAGAAGCATTGGCGGTAGTAACGGCCGCAGCAGCATCAGTAGTCTTAGCAGCTGAAGTGGCACCAGTACCAGATGGAGCTTTGGTACCGGCTTTGGCTGGAGCTTTGTGAGTTGGAGGGTAGTGGGCTGGCTTCTTGTGAACTGGCTTCTTTCCATGGTGGGCGGCTCCTACAGAGAATATTAGAGATGAAAATTAAGTTGCTTTGAGAAAAAGGTAAATTGTATGAATATTTAAACTTACCAAGAGCAGTGACAGCCAAAAAAGCCAACAGAAGAATGATGAAGAATCTCATATTGGAGTGGACAAACAAGTTAATGAATGATATGATTAGTTTTGAGTTTCTTACGCTTATATATCAATATTTAAGCCTAAAGCTTTGCATAGCATTGACACGGTTTTGCATGAGTACACTTGCATAGCAAACAACAAACGATTATGTTACCGTTAGAAGGTTAATCTTATGGTATGTTGTTCTCGACAATAAATCGTGATAGACACAAACAACTCATAGATTAGGGGTTTGTTATTATGTAAATATTTAGGCATGGTATAGTATATAAAGAATTAAAAGTTACCAATAATCATATCATTCATTAACTTGTTTGTCCATTACAATATGAGATTCTTCATCATTCTTCTTTTGGCTCTCTTAGCTGTTACCGCTCTTGGTAAGTTAACATGTTTGATCGATTCACCTTTTTCTTCATGTAACTTAATGTTCATACCTTTTCTCTAACCTTTTTCTATAGGAGCTGCCCATCACGGTAAGAAGCCAGCACATCACCCCCCAGCCCACAAAGCTCCAGCTCACAAAGCACCGGCACACAAAGCCCCAGCCAAAGCCGGTACCAAAGCTCCATCTGGAACTGATGCCACTTCAGCTGTCAAGACTACTGGTGCTGCTGCATCCGTTACTACTGCCAAGGCTGCTTAATAAGTCAACTAGGAATGTCACATATTACTTAGTATTGTAGTAGACTGTCTATATTGCGTTTGATGATTAGAAAATAAAGTTTAGTTTAAGTTTTACTAGCATCTTTAGTAAAATACTAAAATATGTATTGGCAAAACGATAGCTCAATTTTACATAAACCTTGTTTTTAAATTGTTAAAAAATAAAATTTTTAATTGTTTCACAAAAAATATTTTAAAGTTTTACAGACAACTTTAGGAGAGAAGTCATGGTCATTTTTGCTTTTTCACCTATTTCTGACCGGCCGGTAGCGTTTTGAAGGAGCGTTTTGGAGCAGTTTCGTCGTTTTTATCACTGTAAGTTATATATTTTTTTTGTACTGTATTATAGTCTCGTTGGGCTAATTTTTATAATATTTAATATTACATTAACCCACCCTTTACAGATGAGTGGAAAAACCGACCTCCAACAGCAGGACTACTTTGATGTGGCACCGAAGAAGGATGACAAGGGTAATAACAACTCGGCCCAACATTTGTTTGGCTCTGAAAACGACGACAAGTATGGGGATGAGCCCGAAAACTTTGTAATTCCTGTTAAATCACCTGACAAACCGGCACAATCGCCCGGGGCTGTGGCTCGGATTCAGAAGATCAAACCACCGAATGTGCTTGATGTAAGGTTTATTACAGTATGATAGGGGTATGGGGATTATCGTAGAGTGAAGTAAGGCAGGGTAGGTTAAGGTAAAGTATGGTACTGTAATTTAGGGTATGGTAATGTAAGGTAAAGTATGGTACTGTAGGGTTAAGTATGATACTGTAATCCAAAGGATGGTACTGTAGGGAAGACTATGGTACTGTAGGGTAAAGTATGGTACTTTAAAGTAAGGTATGATGCTGTAATGTAGGGTACGGTACTTTAGGGTGGAGTATGGTACTGTAATGTAGGTGTGGTATTGTAGGGTAAGGTATGGTACTATAATGTAGAGTATGGTACTGTAAGGTTTAAAATAAACCTACTGCAGGTGTTTACTATAGTAAAAGCACTTTACCATATATTCTCACTTCAGGGTCTAAAAACCTGTGATTTCTACCACGGTCTTCTGCCCGAGGACGAAGCGTCGGATATGTTGGAGAAGGACGGTGACTTCTTATTGGCTTTGACATATACCGAAACCTCGAAAAACGTCGTATGTTATGTGAAATGGCTGGATAAAGTGAAAGGATACGAATTCAATCAAGCTGCTGATTCTTTGGGTGTTACACTAGACAAGTTCAACTTCAAACCGACTGTTTTGGAGCTGGTGAAGTAGAATTTTGAATTTTTTAAATAACTACTACAATATAATTTGTTTTTTTATGGTTTTTAGTATAATATAAGCTATTTTTTCTTACCTACTACAATATAATTACAGTTTTTGCAATATTTGTTACCTAAAACAATATAAATATATTTTTTACTTTTTTCATTACGTACTACAATATAATTATGCATATTCTTAACTGTTATACTTAAACCAATATTTTTTTCAGCTACCACTACAAAGGCAAGATCCCAATAGGTAATAACGGCCCAAAACTGATAAAAAGCATCCGAAAGCAGAGCTGGGAGCTAGACTCCAAAAACCTAAAAGCTGGTCGATTATTGGGCGAAGGCGCTTTTGGACAAGTATTTTATGGCAATCTAACACAAAATGGCAAAAGCACACCGGTCGCAATCAAAATTCCAACTAAGAAGGCCGATAACAACAAGGAAACGTTGAAGAAAGCGATGGAAGAAGCTCGGATTCAGAGGGAATACACTCATAATAATATTGTCAGATTGTATGGGGTGGTGTTTGATGCTAATCAGTTTTGTGTAAGTTTGGTTTTGAGGGGTTTTGTTGAGTTTAGGGATGTTGCAGTAGGCTTGGGGCGGCTTGAAAGGGGAAAATTGTGAAAAAAAGGTAAAATAAAGGGTTATGTGAAATTTTAGGTAACAATTTGAAGTTTTTGAGTTATTAATGTACTTTTGAATTGAAATTCAAAAACAAATTTTTGAATTTGTTGATTTTATTGATGTTGTAGTAGGTTCGGGGAGGCTTGAAGGCTGAAAATTATAAAATGAGAAAAATAATGGATTTGGATAGAATTTTAGGTAACATTTTGAGGTTTTTAGATATCCAGGTTACTTTTGCAGTGAAATTTAAAAAAAAAATTGAAAAAAAAATTTTGAAAAAAAGTTGAACGTGGTCCCCCTGTTGATTTTTTCTTCAAAAAATTTTAAAAAATTCAATTTGACATTGATTTATCTCTCTCTTTTTACACCAAAACTACCCTCTAACGCCTACCTACAAAATGATAAAACCTTATTTCAAAGTATTTTCAGATAGTCCTAGAATACCTGGACGGAGGCGCGCTGGACGAGTTCCTAAAGGCCTCCAACTGCCCAATGAAGCTTCGAATGGCATTTTGCTTTGACATAGCCTTGGGCATGGAGTATTTACACGCCCACGAGTGTCTGCATCGTGATATGGCAGCGAGAAATTGTCTGGTCGACCGCAAGTTTCAGTGTGCTAAAATCTCGGATTTTGGCCTATCGTCGAAGGGAGATTTGCAACAAGTCGACCGGTCGAAACCAACTCCGATTCGATGGATGGCTCCGGAAGTCTTGAAGACGGCTACGTTTGGGAAGGCGGCTGATATTTGGAGCATGGCGTGGGTTTTTAAGGTTTTTTGTGGGGTGGAGTGATAAAGGCTTATAGTTTGGTTAGGGCGTGGGTTTTGGGCTGATAAAAATTTCAAAAGTATATTTCAGAGTGCTATTTTGGGAAGTGTACACAAAATGCAAGGAGCAACCTTACACTGGCAAAGACCTAAAGCAAGTTCAGAAAGAATTGTTCAATAATCCAGACTTTCATCTCGAAATCGACCCACAAATGCCTCGAGAGCTGAAGAATGTGGTCGAAGTGTGTTGGTGTCACGATCCAGTGAAACGACCGTCGGCTGGTAAAATTGTCGATTATTTACTGCCACATTGCTACAAGGCACGGTAAGTTTTGAATTTTTTTGTGAATTACGGATTTTGATTTGGAGTGGGAAGTAGGGTAAGGTAGGTTAAGGTAGGGCAGGGGGCTTAGTAGTAGAGTGGTGTAAGGTAGGGTAGGGCAAGGTGAAGTTGGGTAGGTTAAAGTAGAGTAGGGTGAAGTAAGTGTCATAAATTATTATGAATATTAGTAGTATTAGCTAAAGTTACAGTATATAAAATATTCATTTATCCAGAAATATAAAATACGACCGATCCGCGGTCTAGTTGGTTAGAGACTTCTTATTTTTTGGCCAAATCGGCCTTACTATAAACAGTTTTTGCAAGATAAAAAAGACCTTCTTTGTTCTGGATCGCTTCTATATTTTTGTAAACATGTTTTTGTATTTCTTAACTCGCAACTTCGCGACATAAGGCTTTGAAATTTTGTATTGGTGTAAACTTTTTGAAGAGAGGGAGGGGTAAAAAAAAGGGGGGGGGGTTAAAAAATTTAAAAAAATTTTTTTTGATTTTTGAAAAAAGTTAGTTTACAAATGTAGAAGGCTTATCTTTACTTCCCAGATCAAAAACACTTTCCTCTCCCCCTTCCCCGCCCCCCCCCCCCCCATTCTCTTGTCCTTTTCCTCTCCCGGTGTTAAAAGCTCTTACTGAACGACATCATTTTAGGTACCCAATATCGCACGAAATGTATAAAACTCTGACGTTCCGCGAAAACCTGGTCAAATACAAAAAGTCAAAGAAGAAGAATGTAGGCAAAACCAAGAGCAGAAGCCGCGAATCGGTCAATAAGTCCAGGTCCAGTAGCAAAGAGTTCAGCTCGGAAGGATGTGTAAGCAAGGCCTCGAGGAAGTCAGCATCAAGGAAGAAGAATCTGCGACGATGAGATTAAATAACAGCAGTCATGGACAAGATATTGATGAAAATTAATAGTTTTTGAGAATAAATTGGTGTTTTGGGCGAGATTGATGTTTTTGGTGATTATATGTTGTGATATGTTATTATGGTGACATTTTATATTTTAATGATGATTTTGGTATAATACTTATGACAAGGTAAAACAAATAGTGATGGTTGCTATTAAAACCACATTAAAATGGGCGATTTGATTTCCTTTTTTACCTACAAACCCTTTTTGCTCTAAAAATTTATAGACCACGAAAAAAACGTTTTGTGCTATGAATATATTGACCGTTTAATAAAAATTTATTCTTACCTTAACATATGAAAATCCTAGTTGATTTATTAAGAAGCCTTGGCGGTAGTAGCGGCCGCAGCAGCACCAGTAGTCTTGGCAGCTGAAGTGGCACCAGTTCCAAATGGAGCTTTGGTACCGGCTTTGGCTAGGGCTTTGTGAGCTGGAGCTTTGTGGGCTGGAGGGTGGTGGGCCGGCTTCTTGTGAACAGGCTTTTTACCGTGGTGAGCGGCTCCTAAAGGGTTATGGTGTGCATGACAGTATTCAAAAAACAAAATAAGGTTTAAAATAGTCATCTTCAGATATTTTTTAATGTTAAATTGAACTTACCAAGAGCACTGACAGCCAAAAGAGCCAAGAGAAGGATGATGAAGAATCTCATATTGGAATGGACAAACAAATCAATCAATGATATGGTTATTGTTGATTATGTAGTTTTTATATACTTTACTAAACCATAAGGATTTGCATAAACATTATGCTTTTGTTATTTGTGTTCTTTTTTGAATGTCTGTGTCTACCTTACTTTATCTAGAACTACACATTATACGATTAATGGTAATAATCTAATAAGACAATATGTGTTGTTTATTTTAAGATTATGATAATTATGTAAAGCTCTTATTAATGTTATTTTAAAGCCAAAAATCAGTTTATACTTCAAATGCAAATCCTTATGGTTCTGATTAGTATATAAAGACCAAAAATTCAACAATAGTCATACCATTCATTAACTTGTTTTACCATTCCAATATGAGATTCTTCATCATCCTTATTTTGGCTCTTTTGGCTGTCACTGCTCTCGGTAAGTCTTGATAACGTCGAGAGTAGAAAAATTACAATTTCATATTTATTTTTTTTAATTTAAACTTATTTTCCGTAATTTGAAAGCAACATTTTCTGTAGGAGCCGCCCACCACGGTAAAAAGCCAGTCCACAAGAAGCCAGTTCATTACCCTCCAGCCCACAAAGGACCAGCTCACAAAGCTCCAGCTCACAAAGCCCCAGCCAAAGCCGGTACTAAAGCTCCATCTGGAACTGGTGCCACTTCAGCTGCCAAGACTACTGGTGCTGCTGCGGCTGCTACTACCGCCAAGGCTTCTTAATAAGTTAACTAGGATTGTCAGGTATTCTTCGTAGCAATGTAGTATAATGTTTATCATCTTGCCATGATTAGAAAATAAATTTTTTTGTTTTATATTTGGTCTTGTCATCGTTTTTTGTAAGTTTTGTTATTGTATGATATAAATTTTGAAAGCATAATTTTTTATTTTTTGTAAATTAAAATTGGTTGTTTTATACTGACTTTGTTATTCTCAATGGGGTCAAAAGAGTTCATTGACGAAACTGATGTTTTTCAAATTCCAGATGTTGGTAGTACCAAGCAGGTAGTAGTTAGACCGAGCTACGTTGATGTAAGATTTTTTCTCTTAATTTCTTTGCTTTACTGTTATTCATATATGTATTATCAGTCAAATTAGATTTTTCAAATAATTATTAGCCTTCTTACTTTGAAGAATTTTTTTGATAGGGGCACAGAATTATTTTAACAACCCAATAGTAATGTTTAGCAATAAGAAAATGACTTTTTGAACATAAAATGACATTGTCTTATAAAATTTTTATTACAATCGTATTTTACTAAATTATCACAGCTTTTCACAATAAGTTGGAGCATCTCAACCTTAACTTTTGATTTTTCAGAGTCTAAAACAATGTCAATTTTACTATGGTTTACTGTGTGATGATCTAGCGCACGATAGGCTACACAATGACGGTGATTTTGTACTGGGATTGCGATACAGAAGTACTTTGAAGAAGGTGGTATGTTTGGTGAAATGGTCCGGTACTGTCTTGGAGTATGAGTTTTGTCAAGTTGAAGGTCGTGAAGGGATCAGTCTTGACAACTTCCACTTTAAGGCTACTGTATTGGAGGTTGTAAAGTAAGTTTTGGAGTTGATTCTTGAGGTTTAGAGTGTGGGGTAATGTAGGGTAGAGTATATAAGGCGTAGTTTATAATATATTTGTTAGTATGTTATGTACCGTACGTTGTATAATGCTATATTTAGCTTCCACACTTCAACCAAAACCCCAATATCATCACTAGGTGTTCTACTGTCAAAAGAAATCAAGAAACAAGATCAACTACTGAACATGGATAACATAACCTTAGGCAAAGTGTTGGGTGGAGGGGTGTTTGGCAAGGTATATCAAGGTGAATTGACGTTAAATGGAAAAGTCGTGTCAGTAGCTGTGAAGATACCCAGAGCTGGCAATGAAAAAGCTTTGAAAAAGGCTACGGAAGAGGCTAATGTTCAGAAGGAGTATATCCATCAAAATGTGGTTCGATTGTATGGTACTGTCTTGAAGGAGGACCAGTTTAGTGTGAGTTTTAGTTTTTGTGATGTTGTTGTACCTTACTGTAGCTTCACTCGTATCGTAGTCTCTCTTTTACCGTATAATTGCTTCTACTGTATTCTCATTACTTTCAGATAATCCTAGAATACCTAGAATCCGGCTCAATGGACGTTTATCTTCAGAACAACGAAACAACCCAAGAACAAAGATTGGCTTTTTGTTTTGACGTAGCATTGGGCCTTGAATACCTTCACAACAACGAATGTCTACATGGTGATATGGCAGCCAGGAATTGCTTGGTCGATAAGAAGCATAACTGTGCCAAAATTGGAGACTTTGGGTTGGCGGTCAAAGGAATATCATATAAGGTGCCCAAGACAAGACCCACGCCTATACGATGGATGGCACCGGAGACTTTGATGGACTATTCTTATGAGAGAGCGACTGATATATGGAGCTTGGGGTAGGTTGGGGTAGAATGTTTTTTTGGGCGGATAAAAGCAGGGGTAAGGGAGGAGAGGAGATGGGCGGGAGGGTGAGGGATGACCCTGTGACCGCAGAATTACAGGGGGGGGTGGGTTAAATGAGGGTGGAGATCAGCCTTCACAAAATTTATAAATTTTTTTTGGGTTACCCCCCCCTCCCTCCCCCCATCTTTGGACTAATTTGTGGCAACGTCTCTGGATGTAGGTACACATTCAACTCATTTCAGTGTCGTATTCTGGGAGATATACACAAAGTGTGAGTCCCAACCATACGGTAAGAAAGGCCTAATGCAAGTGCAATTGGAGCTATGGGCCAACCCTAAATTTCATTGTGATATCAGCGAAGACACCCCTCAGAAACTAAAAGATGTTCTACTAGCCAGTTGGAACCACGAACCCAAAAAACGACCGGTTGTCGCTAAAATTGTGGAAGATCTACTGGAATTCAATTGGAAAAGCAGGTAGGCTCAAGGGCTTAAGGGGTTGTTAGAGAGGGGTTATACATGGTTGGGGGTTGGAGTGAATCAAGATAAAATTAATGTCGTACAAGATATACTAGGCCGTATTCTCAAAGTACTATAATTGAACTAAAATTTATTTTCTAATCATGGCTAGTACAGGCAGTCAGCTACAATACTAAAAATAATAAGTAACAATCCGAGTTGACTTATTAAGCAGCCTTAGCGGCTGCAGCAGCACCAGTAGTTTTGACACCTGAAGTGGCACCAGTTCCAGATGGAGCTTTAGTACCGGCTTTGGCTGGAGCTTTGTGAGCTGGAGCTTTGTGGGCTGGCTTCTTGTGAACTGGTTTCTTACCGTGGTGAGCGGCTCCTATAGATTATTGTGGTAGAAGTTGTATTTTATTATAACAAGCTTTCAAAGATACTGTAATGTCGACTTACCAAGAGCAGTGATAGCCAGAAGAGCCAAAAGAAGGATGACGAAGAATCTCATATTGAAATGGACAAACAAGTTAATGAATAATATGATTATTGTTGATTTTTCGCTGCTTTTATACAATTTATTCACTTGGGATTTGCATATCAACGTTTTGTTTGATGTCTTACCGTTTAATCTGTTAATACGTTGTAGTTCTCTCCTACACTAATATCAGACAAAAACAAAATAAATTAATTGATAAAACGTATATTTGATATGCAAATTCTTTACACATTGTATAGTATATAAACTCTGAAAAATCAATCTTAGGCATATTATTCATTAGCGTGTTCGGATTCCAATATGAGATTCTTCATCATCCTTCTTTTGGCTCTCTTGGCTGTCACTGCTCTTGGTAAGTCGACATTACAGTATCTTTGAAAGCTTGTTATAATAAAATACAACTTCTAATATAATAATCTATAGGAGCCGCCCACCACGGTAAGAAGCCAGCCCACCACCCTCCAGCCCACAAAGCTCCAGCTCACAAAGCCCCAGCCAAAGCCGGTACTAAAGCTCCATCTGGAACTGGTGCCACTTCAGCTGCCAAGACTACTGGTGCTGCTGCGGCCGCTACTACCGCCAAGGCTGCTTAATAAGTCTACTAGGATTATCACGAACTTTCATTTAGCTTTGTAGTTCAGTATTTACGACTTGATATTGATTAGAAAATAAAGTTTTGTTATTATATTGTAGTAGGGAGATTTATAAGAAAAAAATCATTTTTAATTATTTGGAGTATTTATTTTATTATTTTGTTCATATAATTCTGTGCTCTTCCTCAAGGAACTATTTTTGGGGTTAGGAGGCACAGAATCATTTAAACAACCTAACATTTTTAAAATTTTTGTATAAAAAATGGTTTTTTAGGTACCTGGAGACACATCAAATGTACCAATCACTGACTTTTCGTGAGAATCTACTGAAGTACAAGCAGAAAATGTAAGAAATTTGAAAAGAAAACTGATTTAAGATAAACTTACTTGATTATTTTTGATTTTTCAAAAAGTTTGTCAATATAATTTAACATAGTTTATTCAAAAAAAGCGTTAAAAATTAGTGAAAATGCGTAAATATTGATAACATTACTATAATATTACTAAAACACTTGGTACAATAATCTTATGGTTAACGTCAGGGACGTCGCTAAAGATCTTTTTCTGAAGAGGAGAAGGTGAGTGAGTCGATGCTCCCCATCTTCCTCCCTTTGCCCTTATTTCACCTAGCGACATCCCTGGTTAACTTACAGCTTTCCTAAATGCTAAAGTTACTCTAACTCAAAAGTAAAGTCGCTTTACCTCTAAAGCAAAGTCACTTTAATATAAAACAATATGACACAGTAGGTTGGTTCTTGATGAATATCCGAGATATGACTATGAAAAAGAATGCCAATTCCATTGTTATTGGTCTGGTTTCATTGTTATGGCAAATAAAAGTCAGGTAGTTTGTTCGCACTGCCAAGAAGGGATGCAATTGAAAACGAGGGTTTGGCCAAGGAGAATGTGGCTGGATTGGAGAAGGGATTGAGTTCAGTTGAAGTCACCATTGATAGTTGGGGCTTTCTGGAATGAAAAAATTTTGAAAAATGGGCTGTAAGATGGTTAACATAGTTACCCGTTTGGGACTGCCTATAAAAAGCACCCGCGAGTACTTACATAAATCACCCCGCCCAAGATTGCCTATAAGAATCACGCCGCCCGGGACAGCCTAAGGGAAAAACCCAGCCTTAGACTGCTTTTAATAATCACCCCGCCCGAAACTGTCTATACAAATAACCCCCTACCTCTTCCCTCGAGACTACCTACAAAAATTACTTCTACCAGTTCTGAACTGCCTATAAAAGTTACCCCACTCCGCTTAAAACTGCCTATAAAGATATCCCCCCACCCCGCCCTGAACTGACTATAATAATCAACCCGTCTCGGACTGCCTTTGAAAACCACCCCGTCCCGCCTTGAACTGACTTTAAGAATCACCCCGCCCGGGACTGCTTACAAAAATAAATTTACTCCGCCCTGGACTGTCTATAAAAATCACCCGCCGTGGACTGCATAATAATTACCCCGCCCAAGCTGGACCATAAAAATTAACTACTTGGGACTCTCTATAAAAGTCACCTCGCCTGGGATTGCTTAAAAAATTACCCTGCCTCTCTCCCCTATAACAAACTATCCAAAACTTACGACTCCAGAAACCCCTTCTCCACGCTTTCTTCAGCCTCATCATTGTTCATACAATGATTTGCCAAAATCTGAGCGAACAAAAGCTGTTGTACACTCAAACCTGGTTCTGCTGGTACCGTTTCCTTGTTGATGAGTTTCCCAAATTCTTTAAAGATGTTAAAATTAGTTGATCTATCATCAGATGTGGACTGATAAGGCGTCATAAAGTCGAACGATGCCTTAGAAGGTGACATAAATGGAAGATCAGGGGAGTGGCTGGACATTGATTTTAGCCGAGATTGATGCGGTTTGTGGGAGAGGAATTCTTCGGATAACTAAAAAAATAATTTTTTTAATTTTAAAAAATTTTCGAAAAATTGAATTTAAAAAACCAAAACTAAAATTTTTTAAAAATTTGAAAATTTTCTTTTCAAATTATAAAATACGAGGGCAGTTGAAACTATATTTAAAATTTTTTTCTTTTTTTTTAATGTTGTCTTAAATATATAGATACACATATGGAAAGTGTGAGATTATACTATATCAAACTACAGTAGTGAAAGATAAGGCTAGGCTACTGGTAAGTCAGTTAAGACAAGGATAAAACAAGACTAGACAATGCGATAGATCTTTGTTAAGTCTACACTATGGCTAAGCTAAATCAAGATTAAAGTTTTTAAGGCTAAAAAATTGGCTTGCATTGGTGTGCAAAGAATAGAGGGTAGGGGAGTTTTTCACTTCTTATTTTCAATGTCATCATTCTCCCCCTACCGTACCCGTTGTTTTATTGTGTCGCAAAATATTTTGGCCAATGTTTTGCGGTTATTTAATTATGCGCAAATACTTGTTATTCGCGCCGAAAACTCTTAACTCTATATAATATTGGCTTAAAATTAATTGATTGTGCGCGACAGAGTATTACAATTCCAATTCCTTTCATCGTCCTTAATTCCGCTTGTTTTTGGATGACGGATTAAAATGAGGAGAGGGGGGGGGGTAGTAGAAGAGCGGAGAGAGGGCAGCCAATCGGGAGGCAGCAGACAAGTTAGGGGTACTTTTTGTTTTTTTAGGGGTAGACAGTTAGAAAATAATGTGATATGAGCTGAGCAGGGTAGTTGTAAAAGAGGGAGGGGTAAAAAAATTAAGGGGTGTAAGAAGGGGGGTAGATCTATATTTAATCGTAAAAGTTGGGCGTGGTGTTTTCTGTCAAAAAACGGAAAAAATTGACAAGCCTTCGTCTTTTTTTGACAAAAATTTGTTTTGGTTTAACTACCCTCCACCCCCCCCATCTCGTTTACCCTACCCAAAATTTCTTATCTGCCATTGACTGTGTATATAGTACTCTTATGTACATGATTGAGTCTTTCATTGCCACGTACTGGCCAAATTATTAAATAAACAATTAAAAGATCGCCGACCAACTTATGGTTAGTCAAGCGTTATGAGATTAAAAGTGACAACAAATGAGATGACTGGTAAATACATGACGTTTTGTATATTTTTAATTAAAATTTAATATTTAATATTAGATCTTGCTGCTTTGGCAAAAAAAATAGTTGATCTTATTGCTTTAGAAAGTAAATTGCTTACACAGTAAAACTAAGCAGCCGGTGGGGTACGATCAATCAGATTTTTTAAAATTTTTGGTACTTTGAAGGCTTTCTCCTTTCAAATTTTAGAATTAAAACTGATTATCATGTTGATAGTCTAGCAGAACTTTATATTCTAATCAAAGTCAGCTCACAAAAACCAAACCATAAAGCTAAATGGATGCTCGTAAAAATCCTAAAACTGACTTATTAAGCAGCCTTGGCGGTAGTAGCGGCCGCAGCAGCACCAGTAGTCTTGGCAGCTGAAGTGGCACCAGTTCCAGATGGAGCTTTAGTACCGGCTTCGGCTGGGGCTTTGTGGGCTGGAGCTTTGTGGGCTGAAGTGTGGTGGGCTGGAGCTTTGTGGGCTGGTGGGTGGTGGGCTGGCTTTTTGTGAGCTGGCTTCTTACCGTGGTGGGCTGCTCCTACAGATTTAAAAAAAATTTTTTTTACTTTGAAATACGGAAATTGAATTGAAAACTATAATTATAACTTTAAACTTGTAACTTCGACTTACCAAGAGCAGTGACAGCCAAAAGAGCCAAAAGAAGGATGATAAAGAATCTCATATTGGAATGGACAAACAAGTTAGTGAATGATATTGTTATTGTTGATTTTTTTATTCTTTATATACTAACTTCTAAATGAGAATTTACATTCTGATTTCCTCTTATTTTTGTTTGTTTTCGTCTGTTTTATGTTGTCTATAAGGACTACATATTATACGGTTATTAGGATTATTATGTAAATCTAGACTATCAGATACAAATCTGAAAAAGGTGCAGTATAAATAGAAAAAGAATCAACAATAACCATATCATTCATTAACTTGTTTGTCCATTCTAACATGAGATTCTTTATCATCCTTCTTTTGGCTTTTTTGGCTGTCACTGCTCTTGGTAAGTTTTGAACTTACAAGTTTTTTTAATTTAAATTTCGTATTTTAAAGCCTAAAAACAACGTTTTTTAAAATTCTGTAGGAGCCGCCCACCACGGTAAGAAGCCCGTTCACAAGAAGCCAGCTCACCACCCTCCAGCCCACAAAGGACCAGCTCACAAAGCCCCAGCCAAAGCCGGTACTAAAGCTCCATCTGGAACTGGTGCCACTTCAGTTGCCAAGAGTACTGGTGTTGCTGCGGCCGCTACTACTGCCAAAGCTTCTTAATAAGTCCACTAGGATTGTCACGGAGATTCATTTAGTTTTTTTAGTTCAATTTTTATGACTTGATATTGAATAGGAAATAAAGTTTTGTTAAAGTAAAAGGTATTGAGGTTGTGAATTCATAGAACAATCATAATAAAATTTTTTTAAATTTAAAATAAAAATCTGTTTGAAAAAATTTTTTTGACGTTTTGCTTCCCCACCCCTCCACTATGGCAGTAATAAACTCAAAAACATCATATTCATTTTAAAAATATACGTATTTTACACCAATTATCCTCACCTTAAACCTCTTTTGCCGCCGCAAACAACTGCCGTTTTCAAACATTCGTTGTGCCGCTGGATGAATCGCCCAGAACGAGCCTTTGCCTGGTCGATCGGGCCTTCTTGGTATCTTGATGAAACAATCATTGAAACTCAGGTTATGCCTTAATGAGTTCTGCCATCTTTGCGTATTCTGACGATAAAACGGAAACTTTTCCATTATATACTTGTAAATGTCGGTGAGAGGTAGCATCTTGTCTTCTGAGTCTTGTATTGCCATGTAGGTTAGCCATATGTAGGAGAAGGGAGGCTTCTGTAATGAATAGGTATAAATATAAAAGATCAAAGTATTGGTAGGGTAAGATAGAACAAAGTAAAGTAAAGTAGAGTAACATAGAATAGGGTAGGGCTAGACTAGTCTAGGTAACGACTGAGCAAGGCAAGGCAAGATGAGAGAAGGGCAGAGTACAGTAATAACTTACCGGTGACGAGTTTTCGTCGTACGAATTTTTACCGGGTCGAGGCATGTCGTATGATCTTTAGTAGTATGTTACTGGCACCTTTGTTAGTACGATCGGAACTTCAAATCAACAAGTAACTTCTGCTTTGGGTTGTACCGTTTTATATCTGAAATTGTCGTAGATAACACATTGTTTTGAAAATACAGTAAATTTATACGTCTTACTGTAATTACTTTTTATAACAAATGTCACAATGAGTGCTGTACAACATGATTAAGTACACGAATACAAAGTAAATGTTATTTAAAGAACAAGCATTTGCTTAAAAGTAAAGTTATATATAGAAAACATATTGTAGTAAGTAACGTTGTATACGTTTAATAATGTGTAAAAAAACTACAAATAAAATGCTAAATAATACAGTAGGAAAGCGTTTGTATCATAGTAATATAGTTCCTAAAACATGAAGAACAGGTCACAAGTAATTTTAAGTGTACTCAGTAACCTTTAAATTTTATTTATAGTTAAAACTATATATAGTAAGTAGTATGCACACACTTTGTACCCAAACTATAACTATCTTTTCTTTTATTATCTTCAGTGTAAGACTGATTATTGAATCGAGTATTTTTTAAAATAATTGAATTTTATTTTCTAATCATGGTCAATATATAATAGAAACTACACTACAAGTAATACATAACAATACTAGCTGACTTATTAAGAAGCCTTGGCGGTAGTAGCGGCCGCAGCAGCACCAGTAATCTTGGCAGCTGAAGTGGCACCGGTTCCAGATGGAGCTTTGGTGCCGGCTTTGGCTGAAACTTTGTGAGCTGGAGGGTGGTGAGCTGGCTTCTTGTGAACTGGCTTCTTACCGTGGTGGGCTGCTCCTACAGATTTTTTTACAATAGTAACTTGTTCAAAAAACTTTTGTTTTTAAATATAGAACTTACAGAAAACGTTTTATGTTACTGTAACTTTGTTACTGTTACTTTGACTTACCAAGAGCAGTAACAGCCAAAAGCGCCAAAAGAAGGATGGTGAAGTACCTCATGTTGGAATGGACAAACAAGTCAATGAATAATATGATTATTGTTACTTTTTTTGGGATTTATATACTAAATCATATATAAAAATTTGCATATCAAGTATATGCTTTTATCAATTACTTTATTTTGTTTTTGTCTGGTATTAGTGTAGGAGAGAACTACAACGTATTAACAGATTAAAAAATAAGGCACCAAACAAAACGTGTTAACCTGGTTTGATATGCAAATCTTAACTGAATAAATAGTATAAAAGGGCCTAAAAATCAACAAAAACCATATCATTGATTAACTTGTTTGTCCATTCCAACATGAGATTCTTCATCATCCTTCTTTTGGCTCTTTTGGCTGTTACTGCACTTGGTAAGTCAAACTTACAGTATAATTCAAAGCTTTTTATATCAAATTATTATTTTTACTATGTATAATAATCTATAGGAGCCGCTCACCACGGTAAAAAGCCAGCCCACAAAGCTCCAGCCCACCACCCTCCAGCCCACAAAGCTCCAGCTCACAAAGCCCCAGCCAAAGCCGGTACTAAAGCTCCATCTGGAACTAGTGCCACTTCAGCTGCCAAGACTACTGGTGCTGCTGCGGCCGCTACTACCGCTAAGGCTGCTTAATCTGCCAACGATTAGAAGTTTTGATTTATCTAGTGTTATTAGAGAATAAAGTATTTTTTCGATGACAAACATTAATCTACAGTTAAAAATTATGACGAATCAGTAAACATTTTTTAATATTGGTAATAGAATAAACCTTAACGGATGTAGCTACGTACAATACAAACGTAAAACTAACAAACATTACTATTATCTTCATGTAAATTGTATCTTTGTCAGTTGTTTAGAGAATAGAGAATATACGATATTTTTAGAAATTTTGGTCGTCACAAGATTTGAACATGCACCTAACATGTATAAAAAGAAAATTGAGTGTAAATACAAAATGCATATATCATACTTTAAGGACATCTACAACGGCTTGCTCTGATTTCACCAAACCGTCATCACCAGTGTTTTGCCCGAACCGGTCCGGAACGTTTTTCATCGGTTCGGTCCGGCGATTTTTAGGTCCGGTCCAAACCCAAAATTTTTGTTTTGGTCTGTCCGGACCAAACACTGGTCATCACCACCCACCCCCTATCCCCCCCCCCTGCGATGTCTGTATATCTATATCTTGCGTTGAAGCTGTAGCCCAGAGCCCTAACTCAAAGCCTTAACCCAAAGCCCTAGCATAGAGCACTAGCCCAGAACCCTAGCCCAGAACCCTAGCTCAGAGCCCTAGCCCAGAGCCCTAACCCAAAGCCTTAGCCTAGAGCCCTAGCCCTTTTCTTGCTCTACCCTAGAGTTTACTTTACACATCATAACCTAAAAAATTAAAAAATATAAAATACTGTGTAAATCATGTTTACAAATTATAACATTCGCACAATTGCATTTGTAGTCACTAATTACTGTGAAATTTAAAATGTTATGAACATTTGATGTTTTACATTCCGGTTACATGATATGTTAACAAACGTTTCGTTGTAAAATACAAATTTAAAAGATAAACTACGTAAAGTGAGCAGCATTTACTATTGTATTTTGTAAAGTCACAACCCACATATACTATGCTTTAAACTTTGAGATTTCCGCAAATGCAACATATAGTAATATAACACATAACCTTACGTCTTCTACAGTAATTAGCTACTGTATATATAGCTACAACTATCATAGTTACCTTCTGTAAAATGCTTACATTTACGGTAACTAGCTATGTATACATATATGCTTATATCTACAATATCTAAACTACTGTTTTTATGCTTACTGTTACAGTAACTAGCTACAGTATAAAAGCTCACATTAAAAAAACTACAACAATAACCTATACACCACGGCCTATAACTTCATAAAACACTCGACCGAAGTAACTGTTATACTCAACCTTAACCAATACATTACAGATTACTGTAGTAAAAAACACGCCTTACTCAAATACCACAGGGGATTTAGTTCGCATTCTTAATTTAAATTCCATTTTATTAATCCCCGCCTATTTGTCCGCCCAAACCCCGCCCAATTCCCGCAATTACATTGGGTAGCCGATTTAATTACTATCGTATGTATTAACGCTGAATTCAAGTTCATAACAATCGAATAAATATTTTTGAGTTAGAAATACTGTAACGCATATATTTTGTAACATATATACTTAACACAATAAAAAACTAAAAACTATTTAAAAAATACAGTAGAATTTTAACCTAAGCAAGTTTTAGTACAGGGTGTCCAGAGAAAAGTGGAAGAAAGTCCAGGCTTCGTTCTCAAAAACTAGAAGTCCAAATTGGCTGATTCTTTTTTTGTTAAGCTTCTAATAGCATGCGGATTTGTTCTGTATGATTTTTTTGATCATTCGGCGGAGGTTCGGCGAAGACCGGCGGACGGTATTTTTACTGTTTTCATGGTTATTCCAACCTGTTTCGTATTGCTACTCATGTTTTGGCCATTTTTCAATTCAATTTTAAAATTTTATTAAAATTTGGTACAATCGGCGGAGAAACCCGGCGAACGCCATAACTCAGCCAAGTATTGATATTTTTTTTCCAAACAAAAACTAACATTTTCTATGTTTCTTTGCCATAAAAGTGGACTAAATTTGGTAATTTTTAAACTTGTGCACAAAAATCGGCGGAGAGCACGTTTATCGGCGGAGGCCATAACTCTGTTCAAAGTCAATATTTTGACTTCAAACAAAAATAATCATGTTTGTATGAAAATCTTCTTTAAAATGATAGAGTTTGACAAAATTTAAACAAAAATTAAAGAATCGGCGGAGACTCTGTTTATCGGCGGAGGCCATAACATTGTTCAAAGTCCATATTTTGACTTGAAACAAAAACCATTATGTTTTTATGAAGATCTTCTTTAGATTAAAAAAATTTTTTACAAATTTTAAACAAAAACGGAAGAATCGGCGGAGACCCCGTTTATCGGCGGAGGGCATAACTTCGTTCAAAGTCAATATTTTGACTTCAAACAAAAATAATCATGTTTGTATGTGAATATCCTCTAAAATAATAAAATTTGATTGTCTTCAAATAAAAACTGAGAAATCGGCGGAGAGTATGTTTATCGGCGAAGGCCATAAATTTGTTGAAAGTCAATATTTTTATTTCAAACAAAAAACAGTGTGTTTGTATGTGATACTTCTTTAACATAAAGAAATTTTGTTACACATTTGCTTTTAACGTCAAGAGACCGCAACCTTATTTGTATCAACAAGATATTTTTTGTAAAAATTTACTAACTTAACTAATATGTACCAAGACAATTGGTATACGAACGTAATAGTTTTTGCTTCAAGTTCAAGTATTGACTTCGAACAGAGTTATGGCCTCCGCCGACAAACGTGCTCTCCGCCGATTTTTGTGCACAAGTTTAAAAATTACCAAATTTAGTCCACTTTTATGGCAAAGAAACATAGAAAATGTTAGTTTTTGTTTGGAAAAAAAATATCAATACTTGGCTGAGTTATGGCGTTCGCCGGGTTTCTCCGCCGATTGTACCAAATTTTAATAAAATTTTAAAATTGAATTGAAAAATGGCCGAAACATGAGTAGCAATACGAAACAGGTTGGAATAGCCATGAAAACATTAAAAATACCGTCCGCCGGTCTTCGCCGAGCCTCCGCCGAATGATCAAAAAAATCATACAGGACAAATCCGCATGCTATTAGAAGCTTAACAAAAAAAGAATCAGCCAATTTGGACTTCTAGTTTTTTGAGAACGAAGCCTGGACTTTCTTCCACTTTTCTCTGGACACCCTGTACAATAAATCCTCTTTAGTAGGGCACTTAACAGACTAATTCAAAGTGAGAATCAGAGTGTCTTACTATCCAGGTAACTTTTGGTAAAAGTTATATTACAAAAGACTGCCAGAAAGCTGTTATTATAAAGAAAGTGTCACACTATCGACGAGGTTCATACTAAAGAAATTATAAAAAGTTTTTTTGAGTCTACTTGGTCAAGTGCCAAAACGTAACATCAAAAACGTAGAGTAAAACAAGTCGCCTGTTATATTACATTATTCTATCTATATAGTGAAAAACACTATGTATAAGCAACTTTCCAAATAGTAAACAAGAAAATTAGCCCCGCCAAGTAAATTTGTACTAAAAATCACTCTATAAAGACAACAGCCCCTATTGTAAACACAAAATGTCAGTCCCAATGCCCCTATGGCCTATAGTTTAGGTCTTGCAACAAAAGTCTTTACTTGCAAAAATATTATACTAGTACTTTTATGATAGTCAACACATTCTTAATTTTGACTAACATGAAAAGTACACAAGCTGCACTTCTCAAAATCTACTCATAGTTTTCGTATAAATTCATTATAAAACTATTTAGTTGCACATATAAAACATATTAGCTTCCGGTTTAGTGTTTAAAGGTATAATACATCAATTTCTCACCAATTTGGCTAATTTAGCAGGGTTTTGCAACTTGCCAGCTCTTTTTTGCATGTTCCAAAAAACATCTCTAACATTTTACAATTTTTTATACAACAACCCATGCCACTACCGTACTTTAAATTGTCCACAAAAATGCGAGTTTACAATAATTCTATCATACGTTGGCGTTACTGATAATTGTAACAATATAACTGTAAAGCTTATTTCGTATTCTTCAAATTATCAATTGTTCTCTTTAAACGTTTTACAAAACATTGCAATTCCCTAATATCATTACGCTCAAATACTGTAAAGTACTCGTGTTGTTCTACAATCCAAATAACTAATGTGCCATATCTATGATACAAAATACAAAGAACATACAATATAATCGTAATAGTGAAGCTACAATCCTGAAAGGCCGTTTATTGAGAACATTTAATGAAACTTTACTGTGAAGTTTGTACAATTCTTAGTAAATATAACACTGTATTTCAACAGTTTTTGTTTGGAATTTAGTAAATCGTTATACTATGTCACGTATTTGTGTACAAAGTACTGTGCAGCGCCTTAACCTTGCTCTGCCCTGCTCAACTCTTCCTTTGTCTAGCCCAGAGCCCAGCCCAAAGCCCTAGCCTATTCGTAACTTTAGCCTTAGTTCTGGCTTTGCTTTGCCAAGCCCTAGTCTTAGCTTTAGCCTTAGAGCTGAATTTGCTTTGACATGCCCTACATTGCCCTCACTTTGCTTTGCCAATCCCTACACTGCCCTTCTTTGCCTAGCCTTGCCCTACTGTACTCTTGCCTACCAGCCTTGCCGTGTCATACCCAGCCACCGCTTAAACCTTGCCTTGTCTTTCATAATGGTTTACTAAAGCCATACTACAGTAAAACACGAACCTACACTACAGTAAACCAATATGTAATTTCATTACTCCAATAAGGATACTTTAATAAGAGACAATTAAAACAATATGATAGTAAATGTTTTACTATGTGAAACCGCTTGTTATGCGATTCGGAGATTGGAATCCAGGCTACAACACGCTTCGAGTTCCGCGATTTAATTGGCTTCTTAGAATTAAAACAGATTTAGAAACGAACGGAGATTACTGTAGTAAACAAGATTTTTTAAAATTTGAATGTGACATTTCTAAATGTATGTGCCAAAATAAAAATTTACTTACTAACTATATAAAGTACCTCTAGTTTACTAAATAAAACTAGTAACAATCCTAGATGACATATTAAGAAGCCTTGGCGGTAGTAGCGGCCGCAGCGACACCAGTAGTCTTGGCAGCTGAAGTGGCACTAGTTCCAGATGGAGCTTTGGTACCGGCTTTGGCTGGGGCTTTGTGAGCTGGAGCTTTGTGCGCTGGAGGATGGTGGGCTGGCTTCTTGTGAACAGGCTTCTTACCGTGGCGGGCTGCTCCTACAGCTTTTTATAGTTACAATAGAATCTTACTCAAAAAGTTTTGGTTTTTAATATAAGTAACTTATCTATCTTTGTTTTAAATTACAGTAAGTTTGACTTACCAAGAGCAGTGACAGCCAAAAGAGCCAAAAGAAGGATGATAAAGAATCTCATATTGGAATGGACAATCAAGTAATGAATGATATGGTTATTGTTGATTCTTCTTCCTATTTATACTAAAATTCATTCAGATTTGTATCGGATTGTCTAGATATACATAATAATCCTAATAATAATATGTAGTCCTTATAGACAACATAAACCAGACAAAAACAAACAAAAACAAGAGAAAATCAGAACGTAAATCCTCAGTTAGATGTTAGTATATAAAGACTACAAAACTGACAATAATCATATCATTCATTAACTCGTTTGTCCATTCCTATATGAGATTCTTTATCATCCTTCTTTTGGCTTTTTTGGCTGTTACTGCTCTTGGTAAGTCTCTAAGTTACAGTACTATAAACAATTTATATTGTAAAACAAAGGATTTTTGAGTAAGATATTATATTTACTATTGTAACTATAAAAATCTGTAGAAGCTGCCCACCACGGTAAGAAGCCAGTCCACAAGAAGCCAGCACACCATCCTCCAGCCCACAAAGCCCCAGCCAAAGCCGGTACTAAATCTCCGTCTGGAACTGGTGCCACTTCAGCTGCCAAGACTACTGGTGCTGCTGCGGCCGCTACTACCGCCAAGGCTGCTTAATAAGCCAACTAGGATTCAAATGCTATCTTGATAGCATCGTAGTACATCTTTATCAACTTGTTATGATTAGAAAATAAAGTTTTGCCAAAAACACTTAGTGACTATAGTAACATAACATCAAAAATCGTAGAAAAAACCTAAGATAAAGTAGTACAGCCCTCCAGTACCAACGCCAATTAACATCAACCCTGTCAATCATACTTTGCAAGCCTTGATAACATAAAGTACATCAGTTTCCAACTAAACCTAGATTTTTGGCCTTTGCAGACAGCCCTCGCCATATGAATGTACATAAATGTAACCTCACCCTCGCCCTTCTCTATATATACTATTATGTTGATTCGGAATGTAATAAGGTTAATAAGCATATTCTTTTGTTGTGGTAGTGTTTCATATCCACCCTCAACTTTGCTCATTTAATATTACGAATTTTGTGAATGAAAATCAAATAGAACATTAGTTAATTATGCAAATTTCTCTTGATTTTTGGAAACTTTTGCAAAATTTGTAAAATATTTTATACAGTATGCCAAGCATAGGCTAAATACAATTACGGTAACAGTAAATATAATAAGATAAAGTACAGCAATGTAAAGAAATAGGTTAATTTCGGGCAAGGATAACGCAAGGCTAGAGCAAGGCTACGGCAAGGCTAGAGCGAGGCTACGGCAAGGCTAAGGCAAGGGCTAGGCTAGGGCAAGGCTAGGGCAAGGCTAGGGCAAGGCTAGGGCAAGGCTAGGGCAATGCTAGGGCAAAGCTAAAGCAAAGCTATAGCAAGACTAGGGCTAAGACTAAAGCAAAGCTATGGCAAGGCTAGAGCAAAGCTAGAGCTAAGGCACGGCTAGAGCAAAGCTAAGGTTAAGTAGTCCAATATACAAAGCACAGTAAACTATAAATATACAAATCACCTTGAGCATACCCTTATACTGACCTTGACTTTTAAAGACTTACTAGTAATTGCGTAACATTGCTAATTATGGCATTCAGTCAATGTCAGTACAAGTTTTGATTGTGTTACAAATTACTGTGGTAATATCTCTTTTGTTTTCGTCGAGGTCAAATTACAATTATTAGCACAGAACGATTAAGGTCGTTGTGTGAGTTTAAAAATGGCTGTCATATAAAAAAATTTAAAAACCACCCGTACTTAAAAAATATTTTAAAAAAACACCCCTTCAAAAAAATGTTTTGAACAAATCACCCCTTCAAAAAAATAAAATCCACCCATACCACCATTATTTAAAAACCACCGCTCGTTATGTCAAAACAAAAATAACACCCTACCCCTCCCTAAAATTTAAAATCCGCCCCGATTTTAAAGAAATCCACCCCCATTTCCAAAGAAAAACAACCCAAACCAGCCCATTTCCAGTTACTATAAACAATGTTTTTGCCTGGAAGCTACAAAAACAAAGTTAAAATGTAAATTAAGCCCAAAACTAATAAACGCAGACAATGGCTAGCCAAGCAAAATTAGTTTTTTAAACAAAATTTAATTGGCCAAAGCGGCGAATGACCCCGAGGAACAGTTAAAATATTAGCTTTTAAATATTTTCTCCGTTTTTTGTAGCACAAACAACAATAATACGGTTACTGTAGGAACCGGTAAAGGGGTGTTTTTGTAAAAAGTATGACATATTTGAAGTGAGGGTTACAGTAGCACAAATATTTTTTATAAAAATTATAAATTGTTTGCAGTAGGACCTCAGGCTTTAAAAATTTTTTAAACCGTACTGCTTTATTCTACCCTATCCTACCCTACCCTACCCTACCCCACCCTACCCTACCCTACCCTACCCTACCCTACCCTACCCTACCCTACCCTACCCTACCCTACCTTACCCTACCTTACCCTACCCTACCCTACCCTACCCTACCCTACCCCACCCTACCCTACCCTACCCTACCCTACCCTGCCCTACCATATCCTACCCCATCCTATCCTACCCTACGCTTTCTTACTAACCTACTCTATCATAGCCTTTCCGCCATCTTTATCCTTGTCCTACTGGACCCCATAGACCTGTAAAGAGAGCGGGGCCAAGTTTTCAGCCTAGCCCACGAACCGAGACTTGGTTTGGGCCCAGTTCCAGGATTAGACACAAGACAGGACATTTCCACAAAGCATAGGTCTCAACCCCACTGCAGCCGGCCTGCTCCGTTTCAAATTTGCTTTGGCCCAGAATCAGGCCGGGCCTAGTGGGCCTCTTTTTCGATCTAGTACCCTACCATATTTTATGGTAATCTCACTACTCTACACTATCCTACCCTAAGCTATCCTCACTTACTCTACCCTGCCCTATCCTACTCTACTATACCCTACCCTACCCTGCCCTAGCCTACCCTTTTAAACCCAGCCCTACAACTTTCATAGCCTTTCCTTACTGTACCTAACATTTTGTAATTTTCCATTCACCACTCTACCCTATCCCACCCTTTTCTTTCTACCAAACTCTGACTGTCTACATACAGTCAATAAAAAATAAATACAAAACTACCCTGCCCTCAAAATCGAATTAAAATTTAATATTTCACCAAAGCTTGACCGCAGCTACATAATCAAAAACAGCCGTCGTCCCTTTTAATGACCCATCAGAGGCGAACAGAAGGAACGGGCGAGAACAGTGAGCCAAAAAAAGCGAAAACGATTGGGTGCCGAAGCCGGCGGGGTACCGTCAGCTCTGGCGATTAAGATTAATTTGTTTGAGGATGAAACAGACTCGGACATTGTTTTGAGGTAAATCAAAGACTGTCACTGTCGGGGCACATTAGGGATTGCTTGATTTTCGTATTTTAGGTACATAAATATTATACCAAGTGTCTTAAAAAACTTAAAAAAGCAAAAGAAAAGCTATACTTTTTTAAAAAGTTGCTTTAAAGAGAGCAGAGAATTAAGTGAACGACCTAATACTTCAACTTTAAATAGTACTAAATTTATTTTGTGTTCTAACTATGAAAAGTAAACAATAAGCTTTTTGGTACCAACAGTAATACGTAACAATCCTAGTTGACATATTAAGCAGCCTTGGCGGTAGTAGCGGCCGCAGCAGCACCAGTAGTCTTGGCAGCTGAAGTGGCACCAGTTCCAGATGGAGCTTTGGTACCGGCTTTGGCTGGGGTTTTGTGAGCTGGACCTTTATGGGCTAAAGGATGATGCGCTGGCTTTTTGTGGACTGGCTTCTTACCGTGGTGGGCAGCTCCTACAGATTTTTATGGTTAAAATAGTAAATATCTTACTCAAAAAACCTTGGTTGAATAAAAAAATGCTTCATATTACTGTAATGTCGACTTACCAAGAACAGTGACAGCCAAAAGAGCCAAGAGAAGGATGATGAAGAATCTCATATTGTAATAGACAAACAAGTCAATGAATGATATGATTATTGTTGCTTCTTTTTCCTATTTATACTGCACGTTATTCAGATTTGCAGCTGATTGTCTAAATTTACATAACAATCCTAATAACCGTATAATATGTAGTCCTTATAGACAACATAAACCAGACGGAAACAAACAAAAATAATAAATAATTATTATGTAAATCCTCACTTATAATTTAGTATATAAAGTCTAAAATATCAGCCATAATCATATCATTCATTAAGTTGTTTGTCCATTCCAATATGAGATTCTTCATCATCCTTCTTTTGGCGCTTTTAGCCGTCACTGCTCTTGGTAAGTGAAACCTACAGTAATGTAAAAAATTTCTATTAAAAATCACAGTTTCCATAAGATACTATCATAACCATAAAAATCTTTAGGAGCTGCCCACCACGGTAAGAAGCCAGTCCACAAGAAGCCAGCCCACCATCCTCCAGCACACAAAGCTCCAGCTCACAAAGCTCCAGCCCACAAAGCCCCAGCTAAAGCTCCATCTGGAACTGGTGCCACTTCAGCTGTCAAGACTACTGGTGCTGCTGCAGCCGCTACTACCCCCAAGGCTTCCTAATAGGTCAACTAGGATTGCCAGAGGCATTCGTTTAGCTTTGTAGTTCGGTTTTTATGACTTGACCTTGATTAGAAAATAAACTTTCTTTCTTACATCATTAATAGAATATTCTTATACACCAAAACTCTTAAACTATTCAAAAATAATTTCTTACATGCTTACAAAGTCTAGCCTAAAAACAAAAAAACAACATTTTTTCAAAAAAAGACCATAAACAAGGAGTATCCTTGAAAGTAGTCAAATATTGTTTTAGCAAATGACCGTCCGCAAATGATTTGTTTGATCGTTCCACCGTCCTCTCATTAATGCCTTCGCACTTTTCTAATCGGTATTTTAGAAGCCGAAAAAACGTCGAATCAATCGACCGCAAGTAACATGTCTTTAACTGTTTTCCATTACTTTTAGCCAAATATTGCGCGTGCTAAGACAAAAATTTAAAATTCTATTCTATTTTATATTGGACAGGAGTTAAACGGAGTATTTTACAAAAAAAACCTTAATTAATCCCTTGAAATTCATGAAAACCATTTAATTTTATATACTTTTTTAGCCAAAATTTTGGTCAAAAGCTCCTTCGTTTTTAGCCTAACAGCCAAATTAATACCTAAAATTACAAAAAACTAACTCAACACAAATATAGATAAGTCTCTTCTGGTTGTTTTCATACCACGTAAATCTTCCAACAAACTACAACCATTCTTATACAACACTTTATTCCAACCTTTACAAGGTCTCTAAAACAATATAATCCAATGACATAAAACAACAGATTTACTCATCCAATAAGCTCACAACCCTTCGTACTGCTGCAACATCAATCTATACGCACAATCTGACTTCGAAGAACTTTTGAGTATAATAGACCTGGAGCCATCCACCAACAGCCATGAAAATGCATTGGAAGACGCCGAAGGCGACCACGGAAAAGTTGGTTTTATAGACAATTACAGAGTGCCATTTTTGTCGCATTTGCAAGAAATATGTCTCACTGTTCACTTCGTACAACTGTTCTTTCAAATTGTGCACCATGCTCACGAGGCGCTCGTGATCAGCTAAAATTATATTATTTTATTTTAGGTGGTCGAGGAAGGAAATTTTAGGTAAAAAATGTTAGGCACGACAGATTTTCATAAAAATTTGCATAAAGCACTTGAGCATCATGGGTAATCCGTGTGTAAAATCTAAAGTTTCAAAATCGATTTCAAAAATTTTAAAGTTAAATCATTGCGCTGAAGTATGTATGTTAATATAACTTTACTTTTTAACAAAAAAAATTATTCAATATCAATTTAAAATACTTAAAACTTACAAGTATTAGATCCATGATGATGCTGAACCTTTTCCATAGTTTTTGTTTGATCTATATCGAAGAAGAAGCTAATCTCCTTGATCTGCTGGCTAACTCCATAAGAATTGTCAAAACAAATCTTATAATTTCCAACATGCGACGAACGGAACATGAAATGAGCAGAAGTGTTCAATGTTGTGTGCAAGAGCTCATTTGAAGGGCTGGTCAAGTTGAAATTAATGTCCAAATAACCTCCTGCGTGGACCTAAAACAATATTCGTTAAATTTCAAAAAAAGTAAAAATGAATAAGCTATAAATACCAAATCAGCAGTTAAAACTTACTTCATATTGCACTTTAACGTAATCGTCCGTTTGGAAGTTCATATGAAAGCAAGCAGCATCTCCAGGCTCGATACCAACCTGATATGCTTCAACCAGCGTAGCCAACAAAAAAACACTCAATACCAACTTCATTATCACTTCTTTTGCAAAATAATATTTTTATAAAACCCAAATTGAATATCATTTTCAGCAATTTCACACGTTTTACAGATAAAATGTAAAAATTTGCATAACATTGTTCCTACTGTTAAGTCCCGCAACGAAAACGAAGTTAGCAAAAAGTGTGGCGTTCCGTTTTCCAAAAAAGAAATTGTAGACGTCTAGACAGAAAGACCAAAAATTCACGCAAAACCCGTGGAACTGGGTGTTTTCTCTCTATTATTCATTCCACTTTTATCGATTCAATACATTAGAGTTGTGAAATTACATTACACTTGACATTTTTAATTTTTAATTTGATATCTTTACAGGTTTTGGGCAACTAAATGGGAGAAAGTTTTTGGAAGAGCTCGCACTGGTAAGAATTTACATTTTTAGGTTTTTTTGATTGTTTTATGTTGTCTAAAAATGGTATTTTAAGCAAAGAATGGATTCTGGAGCGAGCTGACTTGTGCCGAGACCGCGGGGAAGATATGAAGGTGTTTAGTGAAGAAGAATATCAGAAAATTATGATTTTTTACTGTAATTGTAAGTTTATTTATTGTTTTTGCTTTTTTGGTCTTTAGGTTTTGGTTTTACTTCAAATGGATTGAAAACAGGGTTTTTATCATCAGCTATATTTATCCTAACCTAAAATGTTACATAAAATTTTTTTTCAGTAATTCACGCCATTGGAACAGATAACAAATTGAGACAGCAGATTATAGCTACTGCTATGACGTATTTCAGAAGGTTTTACGTTAGGTAATGATTTGTTTCAATGTAAAATACGTATTGTATACTGCTTTCTGATTTATATAGCATAAAATTTACTATAATTTTTTGTTTTTGACGTTAAGATTTATTTTTTTTTTGAATATTTATGATTTTGAATTATTTTAGAAGGTCTCTCAAAGATGTTGATCCCATTTTAATGGCTGCTACGAGTATATTTGTGGCTTCGAAGACAGAAGAGTTTATGATATTAAGTACGACACGAATATCGAACTATATCAACTCTTATTGTAAGTTATTTTGTTTTCTATTTGATTTCCCCGCACTGAATGCAGAGAGGTGGTATGTTGTGACAAAAAAGTGAAGCCGGCAAAATGAAGCATTCTATTTTATTGTTAAAAAATTGGTTGAAATTGAGCGGTGGGGATTTGAAAATGAAAATGTGAAAAACTTTGAATTTGGAAATAAAAAATGATAGTAAAATGGTAAAAATCTTAAGTTTTAAAAATAGATGCTTTGCAACGCGCCGAGGGCCGAAGGCCCGAGGCATTTGCATTGTATAAAGTTCGTCCTTTTTTGAGCACGATGCTATTTTCTTACAATGAAGTTATAGAATGATACTGTACTATTTTAAAAAGTGTGAAGATGTGCGAGGGCCGTAGGCCCGAGCCCACGAGTTTGAATATTATAAACTGTATTTAAATTAACATACTGAAGACCAGATAACATGATATTACAATGTCCAGATCAAAAGCAATGTGCGAGGGCCGCAGGCCCGAGCTAATTTGTATGAATGTTATGAAATGTATTGAATTTAGTAAAATGAAAATGAAATTGCAACGTCCAGATCATAGGAGGCCCGTAGGGCCTCCGTTGATCTGGTTTAGGTTGTAATTCGAAATAAGAACAAGTATTTTTGTTTGTGAGCTTTGATATAATTTTGTATTGAAGTTTTAGATATATTTCTTAGATCAAACAAGAATTTTACGTTTTTGGGTATTTTAATGGTCTTTAGACTAAAATTAAAATCTTTCTAAGCTTCAGAGCTTTTTTTAACTAAATCAATATCAAATATAATCTTTTTTCAGTACGAAAATATTCCACGAAGCCAGAGTTCTGTTTGCGGCCGCAATATATTCACGAAGCCGAGTTTATGTTGTTACAGATAATTGATTGCTCACTACATGTTTGGCATCCGTATCGAAGTTTAAAAGTTTTATTTCAAGATTTAAAAGAGCACTCGAATAGGCATATAGATGAGCTACATTCCGATGTATGGATGCTGATTAATGATTCATATCGAACTGATACTGTGTTGTTGTTTCCTCCTTTTGTTATTGCTCTTGGTAGGTGTTATGAATCATTTTGATTTGTTTATATGATATTATGGGCTTTTAGCTAAAGTTTGGGGGCTTTAATTGGGTTTAGAATTGATCGTTTTAAAGTCTAGTATAATATTCTATCATTATCTTTGTTTTATCAACATTTCATCTCATTTCAGCTTGTATAATGACGGCGGCTATGTTCCGCAAGATTGAGAACGACATCATCCCATGGCTGATACAGTTGAACACGGACTTTGAGAAGGTTCTCGATTGTCAACGGGTATTGTTCACCTTCTTCCGCCTCGAGAAGACGTTCAAGGACAAGGAGGTGTTCGAAGAAGTCATAGTTAGGATTCCAAAGCCTGAAGCTACGGTTAACAACGAAAGTAACTGAAAACAAGTCGAGTTATATGAAAACATGGGTCTACTCTTACTATAGACTGGTTTTTACTTTAGTTTTTTTTATGATTTACAGTAGTTTTTGAGTATTTTTTCAAGTTTAACATCAGTTTTTTGATGATTTACATTATCTTCTACCTATTTTACAGTAGTTTTCCATTTTTTTATATTAATTTTTCATCATTTTATAGTATTTTCTTAATTTTCTAGCTTCTTTAATCAATTTTATCAACTTTCGTGACATATATTATCGATAACAGCCTTTACCTTGGTAAATCACGTAAAATCCGGTCTTCAGAATCCAAAAAAAACACGGAGTAAAATACTATAGGAACGATTACGGTGTAACTAAAGCCATTTAGCGGTATTCAAATTGCAAACGAGTCTTTTCCCCTTTCCTTTTTTGTTAGGCATATCTAACTGAAACAGTATTGCAGTTATACTGTAAGCTCAATATTAGTGTAATATTGTAAACGTGGTAAAATTCGAAAAAATGCATGGAATGAATAAATATTATGTTTAAGGTGTCGTATGTTATCTGTAAGGTGTGTTTTTATAACTTTGGGTAATTAAGAGGGACTTAATATCCGGCAATCTTTGATTGCACAGTGCAGTTTTTAATATTTATACTGCACGTTGCAAGCTCTCTGTAATTTTTATTCACAAGAAGAATGTGCTCAACCTGCCGCGCTAGATCCAAGAAACAATAAAAAATCAAAATTTATTCATAATTCTATTAAAATCTCGTAAAATTGATCACAATTCCAATTTGAAGTCGGTATTGTTGCCATTCGGATCGTAATTCAGACAAACACAGCGCTTTGTACCATTAATGACACGAGATTCCCCATAGTGGAAGCGTTCTTTGAAGCCTTCACAATTCAAACATTGGTACTGGCAATCTTTGTACATTGCTGAAAAAGAGCAAATTTAAAGCTTTAAACAGTACAGTAAGTTGAAAAAATCAGTAAAATTACAGAGCTATTACAAAAAAATCGAAAAAGCTCACAATTTAGAAACAAAAAGCTTCAAAACTACCGACTTTTGCCTAAAACAGTCTGATGTAATCACTTTGATTGCCTTCAAACTTTTAACATAGAAAGATCATGTAAACATAAGATCTTCAGCAAACTATTAAATCGCGCTTTTTAGTCAAACACGAGAAAATCGAAATCAAAAAATTAAGTTTTGAATTACCGGCCAAGTTGGCATTGTGTTTCAAACTAATAAATTTGTCTTTTTTGACTTTTACTGATTTTTCTTTCATATATTATTGTAATAAACCGTTAAATGAATCTAAATTTTTAAGTTTGTAACCCTAGCTTGTCTGGAAAATCGAAAGTGCTTGCGACATAATGCCAAATTGCGGAAAACAAATATTTAAATTTTAAAACTTAAAAGCGCGAGCTAAAATTTTTTACGGGTACTATTTGTGGTACAAAGAATTCATATTAAACTTTTGAACAAATTCTGAGCGGGTAAGGTAGGGTACTTTCCTTCTTAGAAGTAAAAAGCTTTACGTTTATCCATTTTTGGCTACTGATTAAAATATTAAAAACTTGATTTTTTGATGAAGCCTAGACCATTACAAGCCTACAAACGAAACTAAATAAGTCTAAATGTAATTAGAAATAAAAAAAGTCAAGAATTTTAAAAAATCAAAATAAAATTCTAAAAAACATGGAATAAGACCTACGTTTTGGTGTTATGCCTATTACAGACTCAAGTACAACAGCTGCAAGAACCAGGCAAAATACGAATCCAACGACTGATTTCATCATCGAAATTTGGGAAAAAATGCCTTTTTAAAACAAAAAATTAATTCTTTCCCACAAAATTTGCATCTAATCAAAAATTTTAAATATTTATTTAAAAATTCAATTTCGAATTTGAAAAAATTAAAATAGGAACCGATCCAGATTTTTCGACTTGTTCCCTTTCACATTTTTTTGACCGCCTAAGGGCCCCGAATTTTTAATGCCCCTTTTCAGACCTAATCATTAGTAGCCAAAAACAAAAAAAAATAATTTATTGAAAAATCAATAACAATATGTAAAATCGATCACAATTCCTTATTGAAGTCGGTTAAGTTGACTTTTGGCTGGTAATTCAGGCAAACACAACGTTCGGTACCATTAATAACACGGTTCTCTCCAAATTGGAACCGCTCTTTGTAGCCTTCACAATTTGAACATTGGCTTTTACAGTCTTGTTGTATTGCTAAAAATTAAAAAAATATATTTTTTTACCTTCCACATCCCTATGATGATAAAACTTTACCGTACTCGCCCCCTACCGCGAAAGCTTTCGGCCCTAAATCATCTTTTAAGCCTTAAAAGCCCCTGAGGCATTTATTAGGAAAATAATGAAGAAGTTAGGGGAAAATTCATAATATTAGATTGTTCAAACAATTATGTGCCCCTATCCCCAAAAATGTGGTTTGAGAGGGGGCTCAGGACTATTTGAACAACCCGATATGTACACCTTTCCAGCTCTGTTACCGCCCTCTAAAACCAATACTTTGCTTACAAAATAGGTTTACTACAAGAAAGCTCAGCTCTACTACAATATAAACCACAAACTTACCAGATGAAGCCATTCTAATCAAAAATACAGTAATCAGGAGGAGAAACACGAATCCAACGGCTGAGCTCTTCATTTCACTTGTATATAAATGAACTTTTTTGTTCGAAAACAAAATTTTTACTTAAACTGTAAAATATGTGAAAAACAAGGTCAAGTATTACCTAAAAAACTTGATTTTATAAACTGAAGATTGTTTATGTCCGGGTTTCTGATACTGTGAAATCTTACAAGGCTCTACATCAACATGGAGATAATAAAATGATAAAGAATAATGTATTCCTGATCTGTTTGGCGTTAAATCTTCAATTTAGAGTGTTAAAATAATTGTTAATAATCTAAATTCAAATAAGAATTCACAAAGTACAACAATTAGTTCAAAACTTAAAAAAACTGTCAAGAAATCTTCCAGAAAATCGATCATATCCTCTAGAAAAGTTGTCATCGCCCAATTTTTCTGGCCGTTTTTTGTTTTTCGAACTGGGAATCAGAAGAGATTTCTTGGAAAACGTTTTTAATTTTTTAATGTAACCTTTTTTATACCTTACTTTTACTTTCATATTGTTTCAGGCATTGTTTTTAATGTTTGATTTGTTTCAGCCTTCTGAATAACATGTCCACGGAAAAACAGATCAAATTGAGGCAGCGTGAGAGCTTGATTCAATCAAATCTTTGTTATTTGAAGAGTAGGTTATGGTTTACATCCTATACATCTAATTTGCTTTATATTTTATATTATCTACATCTACTTTTTGTTGTTTTACATTATCTACATCTATTTTTTGTTGTTGTAAATTAACTACATAATGTTGTGTTTCAGAACGGGTAGCCGAAATCAAAGATGATTTTTGTGAAGATGATGCCGTTTTCAACGTCGCTTGTTTCATTGACTTTAAGATAACAACGGACAAGGAGACGTTTTATGTAAGACTCTTAGCTTATTCTTCTTAATTTAGGTTCGAATCCACTTTTTTGATAAACTTTCATCTAAAACACATCGAAAAATACCCGTTTTAGAGAATCTTCTGGGTACTTATGCTGTTGAAAGAGTATACTTACTTTTTTATCTAATTTTAGGTATCCAAATGTCTTCTGGCTCAAAAATCTCCAGTATTCAGAGCAATGTTTCGAGAAGAAGCTAAAGAAGTTCAAGATGGAGAATTAAAGCTGTCTGATGATACTGATGCCGTCAGAGCAATGTTACTGTACATTTACGAGAACAAAAGGGTTGATGATGTTGAATTGGCAATGGAGGTGATTCAGTTAGCTCATCGATATGAAATTGAGCTTCTCAAGGTAATCAAGCTTCTTTTCAAAGCAAACATTAGATTTTAAAAGAAAAATCGGTTTTTATACAGTTTAATATGTTCGCTGTACTTAAATTGGACTTATTATAGCTGCAATGCGAACTCTTTTTGATGGAGAACATTGCCCTTGATTATGCAGAAGAATGTCTAACATTATCCAGAAGGTTGAACCTAGGACATTTGGCTCTGAAGTGCTCTGAAGTGTTCTTTTTTGAATTTAATGGATTTGACATTGACAGATTTCGTGAAAGTCATCAGATGAAGAAAGAAGTTAACAAAGAAGTTGTGATTGGCAGCCAATCTGTGGATAACCTGAGGTTAGAAGACTTGCATTTGAGAGGAAAAGAGGAATTCACGCTTTTGATCAGCAACGAATCATCGGGAACGATGAAGTACAGTTGTGCCGTTGGCATCAATACCTTGAAACGGGATGAACTCAGGGGAGGAGAGTTCTCTGCACCAGTTATTGATATAAAACATCAGAGGAAGATCTACAAGAACAACAGTTTTACATTTTATGTTGTCTTCACTCCAATAGGTACTAGAACATCTTTTAAGCGTTTTTTCAACATTCATTTTTGAATTGTTTTAGCGTTTTTATAGCAGGCTATTGTTTGTATTTTGTATTATATTGTGTCTGGACGATTAATATCAGCTTCTACTAACTTATTATTATTGTTTTTGCAATTTTTTAATATTACTTTTTATCATAACGCTTTTTCTTCATTATAACACAGTTATATAACGTCTTTTCTGGTAATAACATACCATTTAGGTTGTGGTATTAAATTGGTTTGTCATTAATTGAAAGCTTGTTTATTTGGTGGTTAATTTCGAAAACTTGTGTATTGTTTTAGGTAGCAAACCGCTTACCAGCTCAAAATCAGAAGTTTATTTAAAATTCTGCTGAAGGTTATTTAAAAAGTTCTGCCAAAATTCATCAACCTTTTGAAAACGGCATTTATTTTTACAAAATTTTCACTAAAATATCGAAAATTCAATTCAAAATCCCACAAACTTCAAATTATTCAAATTTTCAGTTCCGCGTATAAAAAGCTTCGAATTTCGAAAATCGGTCATTTCTGACTGAAAATGGGCTTCCTCGTGGTCGTTTTGTTGCTTTTACTGATTGCTGGTGGAGCCTACGCCTACATGAACAAGGAGAAGCTGATGGATATGGCGCAGAAGAGTAGTGCTGGTGAGAGCTCCACGAAGACTGCAGTCGGCGGAACCTTTGAAAAGAAGGATTAGGTGAGTATTTGATTAGTTTTTTAGTATTTTTGGAGATTTTAAAGGTGTGGAAGGTTTGTAAAATACGTTTTTTGGAAACTTGTTGTTTTTGCCATTTTATGGCTAACGTTTTGATATTTTTTGGTCTTTTTGAGTTGATATTGTAGTTTTTTTAAATTTTATAATTTTTGTAAAAATTTACTTAGGCTTAAACTTGTAAAACGGCAAGAACCCAATTTTTTGGCACGACTCCTTTTCCAAATTTACTTCGGCTCAAGTCGAAGGCCGGGCCTAGTGTTTCCCCTTTCAGGTCTAGTTAGACTAACAACTAAATGATATCTTTATTAAAGCTACTGCAGGCTAAGATAACTATTTATATTTTCAAAAAAAAATTGTTTTTTTGGGGAAAACTGGCACGGTGCAATTTGAAATTTTTAAAAAATTGCACCGTGCAGGTATGAAACGTTTTAAAAACTTTTGAACAAATTTTTTACAAATTATTATTTTGAAGTTTAAATTTTAAATTTTTTATTTTTTTTTATTTATTTTGTCACTTTCAGGTCACAGCTCCATTCTCTATCGTCGCTCATATGCTGTACAACCGACACACATACTTTTTGACTGACTGAATAAAGTTTTATAAAATACAGTTTGGCATTGATTCTTTTGACATTTTTATTTGTTGTCATTTATATTTGTTTGCTGTGTTCGTTGAATAAATTTATATTAACTTTGACTTGGTTGACTGATTACTGAAATGTTTGTATTATAATTTTATTTTATTCGGACAGTGCTTATATAGCTATGAAATGTGTGGAAACAGACTAATCCTAAAACTTGGGCTTCATCCGCAAAGCGGCGTTTTAAGAAGCCTTGACGGTAGTAGCGGCCGCAGCAGCACCAGTAGTCTTGGCAACTGAAGTCGCACCAGTCCCAGATGGAGCTTTAGTACCGGCTTTGGCTGGGGCTTTGTGGGCTGAAGCTTTGTGGGCTGGAGGGTGATGGGCTGGTTTCTTGTGAACTGGCTTTTTGCCGTGGTGGGCCGCTCCTGAAGTCGAAGGTCATAGGATAAGTTGTTGGTACACAATTTTTTTTATACTTGAAATGTCATTTTACAGATATTTTACATGATGAAATTGATATTTGACTTACCAAGAGCAGTGACAGCTAAAAGAGCCAAAAGAAGGATGATGAAGAATCTCATATTGGAATGGACAAACAAGTTAGTCAATAATATGATTTGGTTGATTTTTTAGCTTTATATACTAAATTATGTAAACAGATTTACATATTTGACATGACCTAGTCTTGGAACTCTATATTGTTTATCATTTTTGTTTTTGTCTACTTTTTTGTTCACAAGAACTACAGTTTATTTATGAAGATTAACATAAATCACATTAAAGACCACATAACACGTGTTGGTTAATATAATAACAGATTAGTATGTAAATTTGAGTAACTAGTATAAAAGACTAAAGAATCGACGGTAACAATATCATTCATTAAGTTTATTATCCATTCCAATATGAGATTTTTCATCATCCTTCTCTTGGCTCTTTTGGCAGTCACTGCTCTTGGTAAGTCAAAAATCAATGTCAAATGTAAAATAGCTGTTAAATGACATTTCAAATATAAAAAAAAGTTTATAAATCAACAAAAACAACGGAGTAAAAGTCTTATAACCTTCGACTTCAGGTGCTGCCCATAACGGTAAGAAGCCAGTCCACAAGAAGCCAGCACACCATCCTCCAGCGCACAAAGCTCCAGCCCACAAAGCTACAGCTCATAAAGCCCCAGCCAAAGTCGGTACCAAAGCTCCATCTGGAACTGGTGCCACTTCAGCTGCCAAGACTACTGGTGTTGCTGCCGCCGCTACTACCGTCAAGGCTTCTTAATAAGTCAACTCAATAGCTTGTTGATAGCATATTAGTACATTTGTAAATTGCCATGATTAGAAAATAAAGTTTTGTCAAAAAAATGATTGTTGTAGCTAGCACTGCATAACAAACCATAGAACAAAATTAAATGCCGGTACCTCAAATACAGTACATTCATAGTTTAGTGCCAAGCATGGTACTGAACTGTGAATCAAATAAGAAAACTATTGAATGTTACAAGAATAATATGATATCTTCATGACATGTCAAGAAACCAATAACCTATACCGCTACAACTTCTTAAGCAAACGGTATAAATGAAGCTCAAAGAGTTACCACATTATCACGATTAGACACATAGTAACCAGCTATTTCCATACATTTCAAAGCTGCAAACCATAAAAATAGAATTAAAATATAATACGAACATTTCAATAATCGGTCAACCAAGTCAAAGATATTACAAGTTTATTCAAAGAACACAACCAACAAATACAGATAACAAATAAAAATGTCAAAAGAATCAATGCCAAACTGTATATCATAAGTTTATTCAGTCAGTAAAAAAGTATGTTCTGATGTGTCCGACGATAGAGAATGGAGCTGCTACCTGAAAGTGACAAAATTGGTGAACAATCTACAAAATTCAAAATTTAAACTCAAACTTCGAAAAATTTCAAAAATTTTTTATTTTTCACGAATACCATCTTTAAAATTAAAAAAAAGTCGAAAACTACAGGGTGCAACATGAAAAAATACTTTTTTTAACTTATTTTAAAATTAAAAAATTTCAAAAACCGGTCATAAAATGCCTATTTTAACAAAATTTTTGAAAACAGGCCGAGCCCAAAAAGTTGCAACCAGACCTAGCCAACGTTTTTTTTAAGTAGGCCGGATAAGCCTGAAAAACGTAAAAACAGAACAGGCCTAAAAGTTCTGGTTTCGGCCTTTTGGCCCGGTCTATTAGTCACCCCTAAAGCAAAAAATGCCTAAAATACCCAAAAATTACCAAAATCTTAAAAATTTTACGAAATTGTTAAATTGAACCAAAAGTAGTGGGATACTTATTTATTTTTCAACTAAAAAGTGTCCCGCTACTTTTGGTTCAACCATTAATGAAAATACTTTAAAAACTTTCCAAAATCCCACAAAATCAACATAAACCACAAAAAACCCCCTTACCTATTCCTTCTTGTCCACAGCGGTTCTCGTGGAGGGTTCGGCACCACCGCCACCAGCCTTCTGTCCGGCCATTTCGGCCAGCTTCTCCTTGTTCATGTAGGCGTAGGCGCCACCACCGATCAGGAGAAGCAACAAGACGATCGCGAAGAAGCCCATTTTCAGTCAAAAATGACGTTTTTTCGCGAATCCACGCCTTTTATACTCGCACTTCGCAAATTTCGAACTTTTATTCAAATTTTTGGGGAAAGAGAGGGTTTTTGGGGAAAATCAGTTGTTTTTTGGTCGTTTTTTTTGGAAAATATTCAAATTTTGAGGAGAAAACATATTTTTTGAGATTTTTTGAAACAACGTGAGGATTCAGATAAAAAATTTGTGAAATTGAAGATTTTTAAAAATTTTTTTAAATTTTTTTTGAAAATTTTGTGTAAAAACCAAGCTATTTAGGTTACGTTCGACCCTATTTTAGGCTGTTTTTGAAATTTTTTAGTATAAAATTTGTTTTTAAACCAAAAAAGCTCATTTTTATTCAAGCAAAATGAAAATTTTTGTTGATATGTACTTATTATTTATAAAGCTTCAAAGACTTGAATATTCACCAAGATGAGCGATGACGAAAAAAAATTTTTTTTTAAATCTTAACTTTATTTTCAAATCATGGCTATTTGATAAAAAATATACTACAATGCTACATAGAACATTTTTCAATCCTAGTTCACTTATTAAGAAGCCTTGGCGGTAGTAGCGGCCGCGGTAGCACCAGTAGTCTTGGCAGCTGAAGTGGCACCAGTCCCAGATGGAGCTTTAGTACCGGCTTTGGTTGGAGCTTTGTGAGCTGGAGCTTTGTGAGCTGGAGCTTTGTGGGCTGGAGGGTGGTGGGCTGGCTTCTTGTGAACTGGCTTCTTACCGTGGTGGGCAGCTCCTAAATTAGATAATATAGCATTATTACAACTTTAAATGACCTTTAAAGTTTAAAAAGGTCAATTTTGTCTTTTGTTTCACAAAATATTTTTAACTTTAAAATTCTCAGCTTACCAAGAGCAGTGACAGCCAAAAGAGCCAAAAGAAGGATGATGAAGAATCTCATATTGAAATGGACAAACGAGTTAATGAATAATATGGTTGTAGTTAAGTCTGTTGCCTTTATATATTAACTAGTCTTCAATAATTTGCATAAAGTATGCACAGAAAATTTATCTTTATTTATGTCTACTTTTTTTGTTATTAAGAACTACATGATATACGGTTAATCTTCTCACACCTACAAACATGTTTACTATTATATTTTTTATTGCTAAATTATAATTAGTATGTAAAGCTTGATTAAACTGATGCAAATCGTTGCTCAGAGCTTAGTATATAAAGGCAATAGAACTGACCATAACCATATCATTCAACTTGTTTGCCCATTCCAATATGAGATTCTTCATCATCCTTCTTTTGGCTCTATTGGCTGTCACTGCTCTCGGTAAGTCAAAAGTACGGTAATATAAAGCATTTTTATGATAAAGCAAGGTTTCTTTGTGTAAGATATTATTGTAACTATGTTAATCTGTAGGAGCCGCCCATCACGGTAAGAAGCCAGTGCACAAGAAGCCAGCTCACCATCCTCCAGCTCACAAAGGACCATCCCACAAAGCCCCAGCCAAAGCCGGTACTAAAGCTCCATCTGGAACTGGTGCTACTTCAGCTTCCAAGACTACTGGTGCTGCTGCGGCCGCTACTACCGCCAAGGCTTCTTAATAAGCCAATAGGATTTTCAAATGGTCTTTGTAGCATTGTAGGACATTTTTATCAATTTGTCACGATTAGAAAATAAAGTTTTTTTCTTTCAAGTGCAGGCTATAAACTTGTAGTTTGACTGATTTGTTTTCAAATTCAAACCTAAAAAGTTGCAAAATGTAAAACCCAACTGGCTTACCTATTAGTGCCATGTTTGTATTATAATACTATTCACCCGTAATTAGCATGAAAAGAACAACTTAAAGAACCAAAAAGTTGACAATATTAAAGTAATTGCATGACCTGTTCTTTGAGCTATGTTATACCTTTTAGTACATCATTTGTTACTTTAAAAGATTGGCAAAAACAGAGTGAGTACGATGTTATAATAGATGTTTTGATGCGTGAAAAGTAACATTGAAATGTTAAAAACAAGTGTTAGGAAACATTTTATTGGCTCAATTTTGGGGATTTTAAGTGTTTTTAGGTGGTTTACTATAATATATTGAATTTGAAAAAGTTGTTTTTGTAAAACCGGGTAGGGGAAGGGGGAGAAACAATGTTCTCTAAAACTTAAAAAAAAAGTTTTTATTACCTTATAAACCGAGTCTTTTTATAACCAACCCGACCCCTCTCCTTCTGTTACCCTTCTCCCCCCCCTTACAATTGTTAGTAAACTTTCTGCTGGACATCAGAAACGGGCCGGGCCGGCCTTGAGCAAAATTTCGATTAGGCAGGGCCTGAAAAATGAGCCGTGCCCGGCCTTTTTCCTCGTAAAAAAATTGGTCCGGTCCGAGTCTGCCATCGGGCCGGGCCGGTCCTGAGCAAAATTTCGCTCGGGATGGGCTTAACTTTCACGCCCGGTCCGTTTCTCATGTCTACTTCCTGCTTTCCTTGTTTTCTCCCCCTCCCCGTTCCCTTACCCCTCCCCGTTCTCCTCCCCCTCCTCTGCACCTCATATTGACCATTATACAAAAACAACCCCTCAACTAGGTCATGTATTATATATATATATGTGTCCGAATTCCAATACGAAAGCAAGGTTCTTAACTTCCTCGTTTTGGAAGAATATCTTTTGGCACCACTTTTTTGTTGTTTTTACACTTCTTGTCGCAAATTAATGACATGCCCTCAGGCAATGGAGGCTAGCCCAATATGTTTGTTGTTTTAACGAGAGACAAACGTAAAAAAAATTTTATGGCAGGCCGGTGTTTTGCAAGCTTTTTGACTTGGGTTTGGCTATGGTAAAAATGATTGTAGTTTTATATATAAAATTTGGATACATTGGTCATAATATTTGAAAAATAGAGAAGTTTAAGTAAAGTCTGTCATTTTTCCTTTGTTTTTTTCGAAAAAATTTAAAGATCTTTAAATGTATACTAAAAAGAGGTAAAGGCTGAAATAACAGGATTAAGATATTGAACTTTAAATTGCTTTAAGAATATGAGTTTCTTAAGCTTAAAACTTTTTTAAGCGTATTAAAAGTACAGTAGAACTTCTGTATAACATACCGATGAAAGATTTAAACGTCGTTCGTTATACGGAAACTTTCTTTGTTGTTTTTGATGGGGCTCCTCTAAGCCTGTGAAAAGGCCGGGATGGGTCTATATAGTAGCTTCATTTCAGGTCCAGTTTCTTCTGACTGTTCTTCCTGAATACAACTCTGTTGTAAAATACGGTTTTTCAGTATAAGAATTCAAATTTTCTTTTATTTCGAATTGACTGTAGCTTAAAATAAACATTTGTTGCACAGTATAACTCTTGTATAATGAATTCGTCACCGATTTACTATATGTTTGTTATGTAGTGTTGTAATGCAGGAGTTCTAAAAGGCATTTGTGGCTGTAGACGAGGATTTAAAGGACCAGTGACCATAAATTTTCTGACTTATCGGTTGTTCGTTATAACGATTTTTACGTGTAGAGGAGTTCTTTATACAGGAGCCTTATATTTTCACTTAAAAGATCAAAAATTCTTGTGTTCAACATGTAATATATTACGATGAGATAGGACAAAATTATTAATATTCTCTATTTTTCTCACATTTTAAATTTATTTTCTAAACAAAGTCGTGTTTTATTTTTTTAAAAGTTTTTACATCATGTCTGGCAAGCTTTTTATGGGTAGTATGTTGACAAATTTTTAATATTTTCTGTACTTTTGGTCTTGTTTAAAATTTAATATGTCAGTTGCAGATTCTTTACCATGTAAGAGTAATATCTTTTGAAGAAACATTTTTTGGAAACAAAAAAAGATCTAGCTAATCAAAAACACTCTTAATTCTAGTGTAACTTAATATTAATTTGAGTGATGATTTTAAATTTTTATTAAAACTAGCAGTTTTTTAACAGTTATTAGGCTTTTATATAGATAGTATGGCGTAAAAAATGGCATGCCGATAAACTTTTTTTTCAATTTTTTAAAAAAATTTTAGAATTTTACGTTTTTTTATTACAAATCAAGCGTAAATTATAAAAAAACTGAACCTTGACGACCTTGTTTCAAACTTGTATTGTAAGATTAATAGTTTAGTTTTGATTGACATCCGCTTTTGAACATCTGACGCGAAACTCTCGGCCCTCGGGCTAATTCCGGTCACAACAAAAGGCTTTTTTCTATTTACAATCTTACTTTAGTACGACATTTAATTCGCTTCCGATTCCGTAACTCGATTTGGTGCGGCCGAAAATACGTTTTTCCCAGCTCTAAAGATAAGGAGCTTTTGCTCAGACAACATGTCATAGATTTATTGACGGGTTGGGTTTTTTAGGGTTAGGTTTTTTGATGTTTGAACGGGTTTTTGATACAGTTTTTAATTTTCTGGGGGGATATTTGAAGGTTTTTTACGCCCTACCTTACCCTACCCTAATGTACTTTATCTTACCGTACCCTACCATTCCTTATCCTATCCCATCTGTATTTTATCTTACCCTACCCTGCATGGGTGTCCCACCCTGCTATATCATAACTAAACCTACCATACCCTGCCTTACATTATATTATATCATTCTACTTTATCATAATATACCCTAGACTACCATATTTTTACTTACTTTACCCTAACTTGTCTTACCTTTCGTATAGTACAGTAGCTTTTTTAATGATTTATTGTTATTTTCTGCATCTTTGTTAATTTTTTTTCTATGCCACATATCTTTCGTATTTTCTATAAATAAATCTGTCTACAATTCTATAATGTAACATATTCTACGTGCATATCGAATCTCGTTATCTTGTTTATACTCCCAATAATAATAATACGGAAATTTACTTAACTTTAATTAGCTTATCATCCCCTCCGAACATAAATAACACACGCTAATGAATTTGGCAATCAGAGTAACAAAAACAAAAGTCGTGAGGCTTGATTGAACAACTGACTTTGTATTATGCGTTTGGGCCGCGATTCCAGTCCGAGAGTTGGGCCGAAACGAATTATGTAAAGCCATCAAGAGTCATTGTAAATGGCTATTCCGTGTGGTAAGTTTTTTTGTTGTTTTACTGTGGGTTTAAAATCATTTTCTGAAGCTATTATAGTGGTCAGGTCATTGGGATGAGTAGAGGTGTCTTTGTTTGGAGGGTAGAGGGTAAGGCAAAAAGGCATAAAAGGGGGAGGACGGGAGGACATTACCTTACCCTACAGAATTTGCTGTTATCCATTTGCTTACGTCTCAATCTCTAATTTCTATCTTTCAGCTGCCCCACCGCCGATCCACGGGTTCCGCGTAGTGGCAGCCGGCGAACGTTTCGCCCGCGTCCAATGGGGCCATAGGAAACCATGGCAAACTTATCAACCATTCCATTACGAAATCGACTGGTGGTCACGAGATACAAGGACCAACTTTCTGCCCACTCGACTAGTTTTACAGGCACCGACCAGAAGTGCTATTTTATCGAACTTGGACTCGAAGAGTAATTACAGTGCGCGGATTTTGGCACGAAGCGAATGTGGAGCTGCTGGAATGCCTATTGAACTCAATTTTGCGACTAAATCGCAAGGTAATACCCTACTCCAACCTACAGTATACTACTCTACCGTACCTTACACTGCGCTTCACTAGTCCTGTTTTGCCTTGCCTTGCCCTGCCTTACACTGCCCTTCCCGACCTTGTCTAGCTTTGCTCTACGCTACCCTTATTCCTAGTCTACCCTTCCTCTAACCCAACCCTAGCTTTAGTCTGTCCCCATACTATCCCTACCCCAGCACTAGCCGTATTCTTAGCCCTTAAAACTTATAAATCTACTATAATATATATATTTAAAATATTTTCTTTAGAAATTCACTCAGCGATAACACGGGTAATGCCACACGAAGTTATACTAATCACCGTAGTGCTTTTAATATGGCTTGGCATACTATATCATTTCTTCAAAAAATACGAAAAAATGACATTTGTTAATCCAAACAGGGCATTCCAGGAGAAACAGTACGAGAAGGTCAGTGGTGGACACAGGGACAGGTAAGTTTTGGAAGAATTCTTTTTATATTTATTTATTAAATATTGTTTTAATTATTGGGCCTATAATAACACAAAAATTTTACTCTATTGAGTATCTAATTTTAAAAATTTTAAAAAATTTACCTTTTATACAGAGAACAACGTATTTTACTATAACTTTTTGTTTTTCACCTATATAACAGTAAAATGAAAGTTTATTCTTTGATCAATTCAAATGCCAAAAAACTGTATAAAAGTACATTAATGGTCAATATTTTCATTGTTTTGGCGATAGCAACAACATATACTGTATTATAAGGGTGAATCAAAAAAAGCCGGTCACTTTACATAATAATAATAACTTTACCCCATTATTTGAGCACGTACTAATTCTTAAAATTTTATAATCACAAATTGACACTAAGGGTTTACTGACCACAAGCAAGCTGCTTTACTATATTTTGACATGTGACAATCCTAGTTGATTTATTAAGAAGCCTTGGCGGTAGTAGCGGCTGCAGCAGCACCAGTAGTCTTGGCAGCTGAAGTGGCACCAGTTCCAGATGGAGCTTTAGTACCGGCTTTGGCCGGGGCTTTGTGAACTGGAGCTTTGTGAGCTGGGGCTTTGTGGGCTGGAGGGTGGTGGGCTGGCTTCTTACCGTGGTGGGCGGCTCCTAAAGTCGAATGTTTTGATACAAGTAGTTAGTTTACATTTTTTTATATTTGAAATGTCATTTCACAGCTACCTTACATATTGAAATTGATTTTTGACTTACCAAGAGCAGTGACAGCCAAGAGAGCCAAAAGAAGGATGATGAAGAATCTCATATTGGAATGGACAAACAAGTCAATGAATGATATAGTTATTGTGTTTTTTCAAGGCTTATATACTAATCTTTGTCTAGAAATTTGCATTATAATAAGATTAAAGTTATTAGAATTCGTTTTTGTTGATGTTTGGGAGATAATCACTTTACTTGTAGTTCTTTAGTAGGGCAATTACAAATAACAATAGAATAGCTAAAATAACACTCATTATGCAAATCCTTACAGAAGTTTTACTATAAAAAGTCTAAAAAATCACCAATAACCACATCATTGATTAACTTGTTTTTCCATTCCAATATGAGATTCTTCATCATCCTTCTTTTGGCTCTTTTGGCTTTTACTGTTCTTGGTAAGTCAAATATGTAAAATAACTGTAAAATGACATTTCAAGTATTAAAAAATATAATTTATAAACTACCTACTTGTACTATAACAATGGACTTTAGGAGCCGCTCACCACGGCAAGAAGCCAGCCCACCACCCTCCAGCCCACAAAGCTCCTGCTCACAAAGCCCCAGCCAAAGCCGGTACTAAAGCTCCATCTGGAACTGGTGCCACTTCAGCTGCCAAGACTACTGGTGCTGCTGCGGCTGCTACTACTGCCAACGCTGCTTAAAAAGTCAACTAGGTTTTTCACATATTACACGTAGAAATGTAGCTCAGTTTTTACACTAAACAATTTATAAATTGATTGTACGAGAATATGTTTGACTTTTTTCCAATAAGATTACGGCATCAAAATGAATAAGAATTATAGAGTGAAAAAAAATTATATTTAACGAATAAAATTTAAAAAAAACAAGTTTTAAAGAATTCGACAAAAAAATCAGAATTTCTCGCAAAATAGCCAAAAAAAAGTAAAATTTGAAGCAAACTTTTGCCGCAAAAAAAGGCTAAATATATGTCAAGTTATACGAACAAACGTGGGTCTGAGGTTCATGTATTTTCTTTTTTATGACATAGTATAACATAAGAATGAAAATGAAAGTTCCCAGATGTTCCAAAACCGGTACCGGCTTCGGAGCATATGGGAAGCTCCTTCAATTAGTGGCTTCTTCTCTAATGATATAGAGCCGGACTGAGAATTTATAAAAAAGATAGAGCCGGAGCTGCAGCTAGAGCCAAAAAATGTCAAATTTTAGTATTAAAAACCTTCGAAGCTGGAAATTTGAAATCTGAGAAAATTTTGTTAAAAACTCTTTAAAAACCCCCGCAGAGTCACGCCCAAAACTTTATTAAAAAACGTTTTTTGTAAAATACGGCTTGCATTTTTATAAAAAATAAATTTTATTAATTTCTTTTTTTAAACCTTAAAATTCAAAATATTAACTCCCCATAGTGACAAATTTAGTCATTTCAGTGACACATCAGTTCGAACTCGGAAGCCATCAGAAACGTCGAAGAAGAGCCAATGTCAGTTCAACTTGCTGGAAGACGTGGTCACGAATTGGAGGACAGAGACCTTGTTCAACACCAAAAAAGTGGCCATATCCGACGTGGCTTCTAGCGTGGATCGGACTGACATTGCATCAATGAGCACTGATACCCATACGGATCGGAGGCGGTAGGTTTTGAAAAAGTTTTTTTTAAAATTTTTGGCCATGTTTACCACGCCAAAAACTTCAAAACATTCAATTTTGTTACCTAAAATCTAAAATTCCAGCCGAAATTCCAACTACACCATTTGTGACGAGCACCATTGGGACCACAATCATCATTTGCACAAGTTGAGTACGGCTTCAGTACGACCCTCAAACTCGCTGCCACTTTTCAAGAAGCCCATATCTATAGATATATCACCAGACAAACCTCCATATAGTCCGATCGAAGAGGAACTGACACCAAGAGCGCCTAACACAACATACTTTGATCTACATGAAGATGACAGTGAAAGTTCATTGGAAGTGGCACGAAAATTGGCCAAGATTAGTGGCCCTCAAAGCACGTTGGAGCCGGAAGAGCCGATTAAGCGAAAGGTAGGGGAAGGGTTGGCAACTTATTATAGATGTTTTTTGATGTTATTTTAGGTTAAGACATGATTGATGATGTTTTAGATAAGTGAAGTGCTGCTAGGAAAAGCTACGGTGGATATACGAAGATGTTCTACCTTATCAGCGTACGTTCGAAGGCCGAAAGCTACAAAATACGCCATGGTACGACGACAATCACTGTTTGAAAACTTTAGGCGGTAAGTCTTTATATAAACTTAAAGTTACAGTACTGTGTAGGTACCGTAATCCTATAATTAATTAACAATATTACAAAAAATAACTTAAAAGTTACTGTATGATACTTCAGAAGCATGAAGAAGCCGTTTGGTCGAAACGGTACAACATCCTCAATGCCTAGTCAAAATGCGATGAGAAAGAGAAGTCGTGGTCTGCTGAAGGTAATTATACTATATCATGCCATATCCTACCCTACCCTACCTTATCCTGCCCTACTCTGCCTTACTTCATTCTACCGTAATGCCCCCTACTGTCCCCTACTTGACCCTGCTTTACCCTTCCTTACTCTACTTTACCGTAATGCTCCCTTCCCTACCTTAACCTATCGTATCCTATCCTAATACTATATTTAAACCTACCCCCACCTTATTTTACCTTGTTCTATTCTATCATGCCCTACTTTACTCTACACTACTATAACATAATATATCATACCACACACTGAACTAAGCCATACTAAATAATACATTGTAACTTTACCTTACCCTACAGCATATTAAACCCACCTATCACTTTCTAAAAGCTTATCAATGAACTTTTCAGTTCCAAGTAGGTGAAAGCACCTCCTACTCATCTTCAATGTCGGAGCCTTCAAGGCCCGAATCCTTGTCGTTATCGCAGCAATCGTCGTCGCGTCGCCAAGTACCGCCCTATCTCAAGCTAAGTCAAGTTCAAAACGACTCAATCGAATCCTACTTCACCGCCTCGAGTGTTGTGATTAACATTGAGCCAGATGAAGGAGAAATCACGCCTAAAGCGCCTAATCAAACTTAAACGTGTACAAGGTTTTTTGGAATTAAAAGGAGTATATAAGTAGAGTATGACATCAAATATAGATTTTTATAATAGAATATGTTTTAAAAATACCTTTTTTTAACATTGTATATAACAGCTTGTTACCTCAATATATTATACTTATGCAATAAACAAACATGACCATAAAGCAACACTTGGCTCATTTCTAAAGAGTTTACTATCGAAACACAAAAAAATACTACATTACTACACACAATATCACATAAGTCTAGATGGCTTATTAAGAAGCCTTGGCGGTAGTAGCAGCCGCAGCAGCACCAGTAGTCTTGGCAGCTGAAGTGGCACCAGTTCCAGATGGAGCTTTAGTACCGGCTTCGGCTGGGGCTTTGTGAGCTGGAGCTTTGTGAGCTGGGGCTTTGTGCGCTGGGGGATGGTGGGCTGGCTTCTTGTGAACTGGCTTCTTACCGTGGTGGGCTGCTCCTAAAGGATTATTGTGTATACTGTATTATTCAAGCAAGAGTATAACAAAAGTATCTTTTTTGTGACTTCTAATGTAACATTGACTTACCAAGAGCAGTGACAGCCAAGAAAGCCAAAAGAAGGATGATGAAGAATCTCATATTGGAAAGGACAAACAAGTTAATCAATGATATGGTTATTATTGATTTTTAAGCTTTATATAGTAAAACGTCTGTCAGAATTTGCATAATGATTATTATTTTAGGTATTCTATTGTTTTTTGTTTTTGCCCTACTAAAGAACTACAAGTAAAGTGATTATCTTCCAAACATCAACCAAAACAAATTTTAATAGCTCTAATCTTATTATAATTCAAATATCCAGACAAAGTGGAGTATATAAGCCTAGAAAAACCCACAATCACCATATCATTGATTAACTTGTTTGTCCTTTCCAATATGAGATTCTTCATCATCCTTCTTTTGGCTTTCTTGGCTGTCACTGCTCTTGGTAAGTCAATGTTACATTAGAAGTCACAAAAAAGATACTTTTGTTATACTCTTGCTTGAATAATACAGTATACACAATAATCCTTTAGGAGCAGCCCACCACGGTAAGAAGCCAGTTCACAAGAAGCCAGCCCACCATCCCCCAGCGCACAAAGCCCCAGCTCACAAAGCTCCAGCTCACAAAGCCCCAGCCAAAGCCGGTACTAAAGCTCCATCTGGAACTGGTGCCACTTCAGCTGCCAAGACTACTGGTGCTGCTGCGGCCGCTACTACCGTCAAGGCTGCTTAATAAGTCAAGTAGGATTATATTAACCTACCTGCTTCAACGTTAAAAAAACCCATTTTACTTTGCAAAATAAATCTTTAAAACGTTTCGAACGTATGTATAATAATATGAGAGGTACATTATGTTAGCATAGAGTACATATAACACGTTTATTTACAGTATATATAGTAATATAAAGATTTATTTCCTATTTTTTAGTTTAGATTTCTCCAAAAATTTGTAAACAAATCTCTCATCACATTGGTTTTTGACGTTCAGGATCTGTCGGTAGTCGGAGATATGTTTTTGAGGTAGTAAATGGGCGGTCTTACACAAATGACACATGGAATCAAACTTCTCATCATAATTATCAGGCACTTTTTTGTTTATCGACCAGTCGAAATATCTAAAAATTTACTTTCTATATTTCAAAGGAGTAGAACATGCCGTATATTACAGTAGAGTAATATCTTCTATCAGGCAATCCTACCCAACACTCCCTGACCCCACCCTATCATTACCTATATTACCCTACCTCTTCTCAACCCAAACTCACTTTAATACCCCTACATTACAGTAAAAAACGACCAAAATTAAGTAGCAAAACTTACCGTTCGTACAAAGTGTGATTACTGGCCACCTTTTTAAGATAATGTACAAACTCTGCCACATTGTTAAAGTCATCAACGGCAATAAATACATTTTGAGGTATTCGCTTGGGTACTACGGAACGTTTCAGTACTACCGGTACTATAAATTGAGTGAAACGGAAAAACTTTTCCGTCGCATAATCTTGACATATCGAGTTCTCGAAGGCAAGGTAAAAGTGGTGGGAGGCTGAAAAGTTGGATTTTAGGTAACAAAAAAAATATATTTTAAGTGCCAACTATTTAACAAATAGAGTTTAGGTAACAAACGTAAGAAAATTAATAAACTTTTAAGCTTTTAGGTATCAACAACATTTAAAATTGCTACATTTTTTAATTTTTTAAGTAACAAAAGCAAAAAAAATTGAAAAAAACTTTTTTTTAAATTTAGGTAACAAAAATTTTACAAAACCCAAAATTTTAAATAAAACTCTTTGATTTTTAATAGAACATCCTTACCTATATGTTTCTTCAAACAATTATTGTCACAAGAACGTTTAGCACAGCTCCCAACTCGAGTTATATTCACCTGACTTGACAAGGCGATTAATAAGTCCTCTCTACGTGACTTGGTATTACAATTTGAATCCGCAATCAATGCCAAATGCTTCTTTTTTGAAATGATTTCTCGAATCTACAACAATATTGAGGTTCAGTACATTTAGGAAGGTATCAAACCCTAAACCAAGAAATGAAAACATACCTCAAACCCCAACTTACCTCTTCAATACTCTTACTAGTGTCATTAAACGTCTCCTCCCACTTATATTCATACCCTTGTGGAATGTCACTATCCTCCATATACGTCATACTGTAGTTGAAGTAGCCATACGGTACCCCAGGCCGACTAAAATAGGTATTGTAAGGTGATTCCAACGAAAAGAAAGCTTTGGCCGCTGTTGAATTCCTCGGCAAATCCCTGCTATTCGTATCTCTTATATGAAACACCACTAGTGAAGCATTCGGTAGTAGTTGACGATCGTGTGTGAATGTACAATTATACTCGCAATTCAAACTTAACGGCCAAAAATAGGTATTACTTGAGAAAAATGATGTCCAGAGGAGGACTACTACTGTGTCGTTTCGCTGAAAAAAGTTAGTTTAATCTAAACCAAACCTTTTACAAGTTTTCGAAAGACTTCTACAACTTCATGCCTTATATAGTACATAAAGAAAATATATAAACCTTTCAAATGTAACTCTAATACCTAAAACATCAAAAAATTAAGAAAAAACTTACTTTTGTGACATTTTGAATCGGTTGTTCAACCAAATTTTGAAAAATCTCCTGAGATCGTAATAAATAATAACTGCTTCGAACAAACCCTTCTCCTTCATCGTACCAATGTAGAAATAACACTACAAGTGCAAAACATGACACTGTCAAACATAAACTGGCGAATGATATGAAAGAGGTCTTCTTTGATTCTGATAATGACTGAAATTAAGTTAATGATGAGAAGGTAAAAGAAGTTTCAAAATACATAAAAATAATATTTAGTGTTGTTAAAATAAGCTTTAACAATTTAATTTCAGGTAGCTGGAAGTTATGCGAAAAATTTATCAAAAAAGGCTGGATCAAACATAAGGTTAAAATTAAGAGCTATAGCTCAATGAATTTAAGTCAATTTAATTTAAACTCAATCAAAAAATAACAAAAAATCAATTTTAAATCCTTCAGCAACAAAAGGCCAAAATGCCCAAAAACATCTAAAACAACATCAAAATTTCTCGATGAAACAATATTTTTCCTTTTTTTCGCGATTTTTGACATTTCGCGTCAACTTTGTGACACTTCGTCAAAATCTTAAAGAAATAAAGGTAGCCGTGCTATTTTTTTAATCAACGTTCCATTTTTTATTACTTCGTTCTATAACAAATCCTAAAAATCTACTACAATATATTATAAAAAACTTTAAAAAAAGTCTTGTCGCTTTTTAAGCCGCAATTGTTTGTGAATTGACGACACGACTTTTTAAACCCTTGAATTCTTATCAAAATTTTAAAATTTTGAAAAAGACTTACATCTGTATCAATTTTTGAATCCATGACAATAAAAATAACGATATGTAAAACAAGTTCCCGTATTGCACATTTAAAAGCTTAGAATAGTAATGTAAAGCACTTCCTATGGTATACCAAGCATTACCACTTTGTCTAACCTGAAATGAAGAAAGTTTTTTCGAAAACACTTATTTTTCAAAATGAAGTTGAAAAACACGTCAAAACGCATTTCGTTGATTTCAATTTTAATATTTAGAAAATTTGCATAAAAATTTTTAAATTTTAAAATGGGAAAAATGATTAGTTTGGTCAAAAATATAAAACTATAAATCTCATTTCATTTTTTTTCTAATAATATAAACAAATAGAGTTATAACTCTGTTGCGGAAGCGAAAAATTGATAAGGAAAAGGCGGCCACACCTTTGTTGGTCATGGTGAATATTTTTATATATACAGCTTATCGCCGAACGTTCTTTTAGTCAGAAACCTAACTATTTTGAGTAAAATACGTCAGAAATTATTATTATTATTAACTTATTTTTACTTTTTTAAATTTAATTTGTTACTCATTGTAACAAAAGTTTTGTCGCTTTTGAACAAACTTATGCACGTGAAAAGGCGACAAAACTTTTTAATTCTTAGCCCTAGCCCTAGTGCAACTTCTATTTATTTTTCTTTTTGGACTAAGCATAAAAAATTATTTGTGCTCTCCCCATCCCTTTGTGGGCGACTCAGGGGTTGTGCGATACATGCGACGGCGAATCGTCGCGGGTTCGAGTACCATCGATCGTCTCGTTCTGTGGGCGTTTCCACTTTCCACAATCGTGTGCTTTCCTTCATATGGAGAGTATTGTGCTGATAGCACGGTTAATCAAAAAGACTTAGGTGGCTCAAACAAGACGGTCTGTCTGAGTTTTCCGGTTTTTTGAAATTTTGAAATTTAAAAAATTTTGAAAGATTTTAAATTTAAAAATAATTTTTAAAAAAAATTTTATGGCCGTTTTTGAGCTGTGAAAAGCTGAAGGGGTATAGAAGAAAGTTTTAAATTTAGGTTTAAGTGTTTAGAGTTTTTCTATTGTATGGGCTAGGGCTGCGGCTAGGGCTAGTATAGGCATCGACCATCCAGGCCCATATATTCGCAAAACTTTAAAAGTAAAGTTCATATTCTTTACAAAAAACCAAAAAAAACAATCCAAACTTAACTGTACACAAAAACCTAACTTATTTTAAAAAGTGGAGAATAAAACCCATTAAAATTTACAAAAAACGGAAAATTCGGACAATTATTATCTAGAGAATCAGTGTGAAACAGCTCACAGAATCGCTTCCGCTGAACTTTTTCATCCGGCTTTATTTGAATTAGATGGTATCTTTGACTACTTGCCGGCTATGACACAATCTTCAAAACACCGCTATTAAAGATTTTTTAAATAACTATTTAAATACAAAAAATTAAGTTAAAAAATTTTTTAATTTTTTACAGTTTAAAATTTAAATTAAAGTTTTTTATTCTACTTTACCTTACCTTGCCCTACCATATTAATAAAAAATTTTTTATTCATACGACGTATGATTAAAAAAGCATGGTTACTAAAAGTGTTATGACGTTAGTCATGTTTTACTCATGCTCTGTGTTCACAAAAATAAAATTATTAGTAACGAATCTGGAAATAAAACTTTTGTTTTATATTAGGTTGTCCGGAAAGTTCTGCAATATTTGAGTAGGTAAACTTTGAAAAATCAGGAAAAATTTATTTCTTGACGGAAAGAAAAAATTCTTTTTTGTTTGTTTGTTTGTTACCTAAATTATTCAAAAAGGTAAGTTACATAACTTAATTTCATTTTTTTGTATTGTTTTAGGTATTAGAAAAAAATGGAGAAATCTCGCCTGCGCGTGATTATATGGAATGAATTCAAACGCGGAAATACTGCGGCAGAAACCTTCAGAATCATAAACGAAAATGAGGGTAAGAATGTTGTGAGTTATTCTACGGTGACCAGATGGTTCGCAAAGTTTCGTGTGGACGATGAGAAGCTTGAAGACAAACCACGTGCAGGAAGACCCAGCAAACTTGACAAAGATGCCCTGAGGCGCAAGATTGAAGATGACCCACATATTACAATCCGGGAGTTAGAAGAGTTACTAAACTGTGGAAAAAGTACCATTGGTGATCATTTGAAGGCAATGGGTATGGTCAAAAAGTTGGACAAATGGGTGCCTCACAATTTGACTGATCTGCAAAAAGCCAAGAGACGATGTGCTTCCGAAAAGCTTCTGCAACGCTGCAAAAACGAAGAATTCTTGGATCGAATTGTAACTATTGACGAGAAGTGGATCTCGTTTAACAATACTAGAAGATCTACAAGTTGGTGTAAGCGTGGAGAAGCTCCTAAGCACGTTCCGAAGCCAGAATTGCACGAAAAGAAGCTTATGGTGACTGTCTGGTGGTGTAGCTCTGGAGTGATCCAGTACGATTTCATGAAACCTGGCCAAAGTATTACGGCCGACACCTACTGTGCCCAGATTGACAAACTGCGACACAATCTTCCAACAATGGTCAGAAGAAGGGGTCCGATCATTCTGCAGGATAACGCACGGCCCCATGCTGCAAAGAAGACCGTGGCAAAATTCAGGGAACTGGGATACGAAGTCTTGGAGCACCCTCCTTATTCTCCAGACTTGGCTCCAACGGACTTTCACCTTTTTAAACACTTGTCTTCGTTTCTTACTAGGAAACCGCAAATAATGAAAATCGAGTTATAACTAGTGGTATATATACGAACATAGAGCAAAAAAATCTAAGACTTATGGTGTAAAAATTTTTTGCCAACAATCTCTAGTTTTTGAGATATGGCAGGTCAAAGTTTGGTTTTTTTAAATACTTTTGTCTCATGTTCGCTTTTTTGAGCGCAGAGCGTAAGCGCTTCAATGGCAGCGAGCGAGTGAGCCCGACTTGGACTCGGAAGCTCAAGGGTTCGGTTCCCGTCGGCTTCTAAAGGCTAAAAACGCCTCAAAAATGTTTTTTGTTTTTTTTCTATTTTAAAGTTAATAACTAGTCTTAAAACTAAACATAAGTAACATTTTGAACATAAGAAAAAAGAATATAACAAAATTTAAACCTAAATAATTTATAAAAAAAAGAAAATTCCAACAATAATTGTTCAAAACAGCCTAGCCGACGGGAGCCGAACCCTTGAGCTTCGAGTCCAAGTCGGGCTCACTCGCTCGCTGCCATTGAAGCGCTTACGCTCTGCGCTCAAAAAGCGAACATGAGACAAAAGTATTTAAAAAACCAAACTTTGACCTGCCATATCTCAAAAACTAGAGATTGTTGGCAAAAAAATTTTTTACACCATAAGTCTTAGATTTTTTTGCGCTATGTTTGTATATATACCACTAGTTATAACTCGATTTTCATTATTTGCGGTTTCCTAGTTAATGGAAGAATCTTCAAAACTCCAGACGATGCCAAGAATGCCTTCAAGAACTTCATCAACTCCAGAAACCCATGTATTGATTCAGACGGTAATTACTTTGATTGATTGTAGTTGTTAACTATATTGTTATTATTGTTAGTTCAAAAGTGAATAAATATTGCAGAACTTTCCGGACAACCTAATAGAAACTTTTACAGCTACTACAGTGTTCTCTCTATATATTGAACCATCTGTATAAGCAACTCTCCTTATAGTAAACAAGAAATTTGGCCCCGCCAAGTCAATTTGCACTAAAAAGCCTTCCTGTAAAGGCAACACGTCTTATAGTAAACACAAAATGTCGGTCCCTTCGGATTGCTTATATAGAGGGAGTACTGTATTATCAATAATATCATACGTGGGAAACCTGAACAAAATAAAAGTCATTTACAATGAAAAATACAATGTAACTGGACCTGTAAAAAGGCTGAGCAGTTTTTTGTTCCTTAGCTTGAGCCTTGACCTAGTTTACATATGCAGGCTAGGCCCGGCTTTTTTAAAATTAAATTCGGCCTGGTTTTCAATTCAAAATGCCAAAGAAACTCATTATACAGCAGTTTCGCTGTAATAATTATATGCAACATAAATAAAAATGTTCGTTTAAAATAGCCGAACAAACACCGTGAGATTTTAACGCGTTAAACCAGCGAATACATGTGCTTAATTAATAAACGATTAGTAATTATTAGATAAAGAAACATCGTTTAAGTAAAAAAAAGTGGTTCAGTAAAGGGTAAAGTAAAAATTACTAACGTTTTATAAATTTGAGCCCTATAACTTAGGAATACATTTATGTAATTTATAAGATTACAATTGGTAGCAGCGACGGCAACGACCGCGACCTTCTTCTCCGACCCCTAAATTTTTGCCAAGGTATGCTGCAAGGCGCCAATTTGGCTCCGAACACGGAGTATTGCTCTTGGGAAAGGCATCAACAACGCGCAGCATAGCTGGTATGTTTGGCCCTAGAATTAAACACAATTCAGATCCGTATTACAAAAATACCGTCGAGGTGTTAGACATGTTTTCCCCCTATAAGGTCGGCACATCTGGGCTCTGGGCTAAACTGCAGAGCCCGATCTTGGCCACAAAAATCAAAAGAAGAACGGTAGTGTCACAGAGAGTGTGCCGACGTAGCCAAATCGTGGCCCTTCACCGTTCCGGTGCTTCTTTTGTTATGTCGCCTTTCGCCGACAGACACTTCGGCCGAAGACGCAACAGGCAATCGGTGATCAGTGATCGAAAGGCCTGATGTAACGTGCCCTCCGCACAATTCGGCAGACGCGCCGAAATTTAAATTTAACAGCAAAAGATGTGGCTTGCGGAAAGTGTAAAACGAATATGATTTTAGCGATATGTAGTTAAGAATGATTTTTTAATTGTGTTTTAAAGTTTAAATAGTTAAATTATTGGGTATTCAGAGAACAAAAGCAGTAGAATACAAGTTATCCTAACCTTTTTTAACGAAATTATATAAGAGATCGGAACGAGCTGAAGCATATTGAAAAAATATCAGGCTAAAAATAAAAAGATATTTTTGCAAAAATGAACTCTAAATTATTTCTAAATACATAGATACAATAAGAAACAATAGTTAGAACAAGACCAACTAAAGTCTTTATTTACCATAGCAACATAAATTATGTTTGAGAAGCCATAAATCATTTATCATACACTTTTTTGCAAATTTACATGGCTTTTGCTTTGTTACTAATTAAAGCTATAACATTATACATAACACTTACTGCATAGTAAGTTATTACGTTTTTAGTACTTAGATCTATACGTACTACCATATATGTAGTATCTTAGTTACTTTTTCAGATAATACTGTATATATATGTATCGTATCTTTATCATATCATAGCTATAATAATATTATGTAGTACTGATTTCGTATCATAGCTACTTTATTAAACAGCTGACTTTACAGTGTAAACTTGTTTTACATCAACTTGCACAAGATTGCGAACTTTAGATGTCGACATTACTGTGGTATGTTTTGTATCGGCAACTTTGCCACATTTGCATATTTTGAAGAAGATACGACGAAAAGATGGTAACACAAAAAGTACAGTAAGAGCATCAAATACAGGCAGGATTGCAGGTCCATAAGTCATGGCATTGTTGGCTATGGCCATTACCACACCTCCAAATATGTGAGAGTTGAAGATACCAACTGGCATTACTGAGAGGACAAAGTGAGGTATTGTCTGGAAGTGATATGTATGTAATTATATAGGTAATACTAAGGAGTGTAAAGCTTGTATAACAATATATAATAAGCATTAAAAGTTTTAAAAGTTTTACGGTATAAGGCTTGTAGGTAAGATACAATGATATTGTATAATAGTAGACATACCTGAAGTAACAACATGATAGTCAGCTGTCGATTTAGCTTCTTCTTTCTTTTCATCATGTTCTTCACATTATCATTGTACAGTATATACGTCTTTACTCCATAGTAAACTACGATTGCAAAACTACCCCACAAACCAACAGTCGACATACAGTTGTGCCAGTAACTCCAGCGTTTACTCTGTAAAAATAATTTTAAAAAAATTCTATCTAGCTTTACCTTAGCCTAGCCCTACCTTAGCCTAGCCCTACGTTAGCCTACTGTAATTGATTGTACTGTATTCTAGCGTACTGTACTCTATTGCACTGCATTCTTTCGTACTGTTCTTTATCGTACTGTACTCTATCTTACTGTACTTTATCGTACTTAACTCTATTGCACTATACTCTATTCTACTTGGTCGTCAATAAAACACAATAACATACCGACACAATTACTGTAGTTGTGGGTATTGTATTAGAACTACAGCCAGGCACGTCATAAAATAATTTGGCGACTAAACTCTGGTTATCTTCTTCAAAAATTGCCAAAAAAGTAATGGCATCCACAAAATCGTAAGAAAACAAAGCTCCAACAAATAAAAACAACGTTTGTGAAGATAAGAAAGAGTCCTTCAAGATACGATACCGGTAGAAGAATTGAACGGCTGGCAGAGATGATTGCATAAAGGTTATCATAAAGCTCACTGTTATGATAAATTGATGTACAGGTTCAGATGCTTGGTAAAACAAAGGTGAATATGTAAAGTAATACAAGGCTCCTTTATAGTAGATGGCTTTCTGAATAAATGTATATTTACAGAGAAAGTACCCAACCTGCATCGCTCAAAATCAGCCTAAAATTTTTATATGAGTTTCTTGTACTACCAGTAGTACCTATAAAAAGTTTTAGCTGGCGCTTTTAAATTTTAAATTTTAAACATTTAAATTTTCTTCCAATTCGGCCAGTTTGGCATTGTGTTTCAAGCGTTTTTTTTCGACTTTCCAGTCAAACTACACTTTCAAATTTAAGAATGTAGGTTAATCTAAAGGTTTTCTACTAGTATATCAAAGAAAAATTATTAAAAGTAAAAAAGTGACAAAGTTATAAGCTTGAAACGCAATGCCAACTCGGCGGAAAATTTAAAACGTAATTTTTTGATCTCGGTTTTCTCGAGATTTCCTGGAAAGCGCAATTTAGTACTTTGTTGAAGGTCTTATATTTACATGGGATTTATATATACGAAGTTTAAAGTCAATCAGAGCGAGGCAAGTCGGGTACTTTCCTTGTAGATTAAAAGTAAGTTGAACTTAAACTTTAATATCGACTTTTTTGCAAAAATGTTTAAAAACTTGCAAAAAGTATTAAAATTTCAATTTAATTTTAAAATTTAATTCAATTTTCTTAGCACTACAAAAGTCTATAAAGCAAACAGTTTAAAGTAAAAGATAGTGTACATAAAAGTGTGTTCAAACTATTAAAACTTTTTTTTTCAACTAAAAGTTGTAACAAATTATAAAAAGCAAATACAAATTTTAATTTTAATAAAACAGTAAAGCATTATACAGTGCTCTCTCTATATAGTGAACCATCTGTATAAACAACCCTCCTTATAGTAAACAAGAAATTTGGCTCCGCTAAGTCAATTTGCACTAAAAAGTCTCTCTGTAAGGACAACACCCCTTATAGTAAACGCAAAATGTCGGTCCCTTCGGGTTGCTTATATAGAGAGAGTACTGTAAATAGTTTTTATTCATATACGACCAAATGCGTATTTTACTGAAGGCCTTAGTTCTAGGTCCGATACCCCTTATTTGCCTTTCCCTTGAAATTATAGTTAAAAACCCACAAAAGCGATTAAACTCCTGGAACAACTTGTCAGAATATTGGCAACCGATCCTAATATGATAAGCTTTGAATACATTAACAGTTCATGAGATTGTTGTAAGCTCAGATATATTACTGTGACATTTATGAACACAGAGATTATGGCAAGAATGCCAGTGTAGATATTGCTGAAGAAGACAGTAGAATCTTCACTGCATGGTAAATGTTGGAGCGATGACATGGCTTTAAGTACTTGTTTTGATTAGAGTTTGTACTAAAAGGTACTGGAATATTACTTTAAGTTAAATATACTTAACTTCAATATTAAGAAGTTAATTATTAGATTTAGTATCACAAGTATTAACTTCTATATTGACATAAAGTAGATGATAGTAAGATAGCAGCAATAAAAATAGTGTTATAGTACCATGTAGTAAATATTATGACCCTGTATACCACAACAAAAGCTACAGACTAAACGTAATGACCGTAGATGTCATAAACAATGTGAAAGACAAGTAGGCAATGATGTAAACCTCAAATAAGTAGTAGTAGCTAAAGTGATCTCTAGCAAAAGTTAACAATCTTTAAAAGATGTACTTAACATACGTTCACTACCATCTTAAGATGCGCCTTTTACAGCCTGGTAACGGACTTTGTTCAAGTTGTAGTACGTCGTTTTGTATTATCACGAGTTGTAGTCGTCGCTACCTAAAGTTATTCCGTGTGATGATATAGCTTTAAAATGTAAAGATTTACTTTGAAAATTCAAATGTATATCTTGTAGTACAATGGTAACTTTAAAATGTTAGAGAAAAAGGTAAGGGCATATGTTGAAAACGCAAAATTATGTCTAGTAGTACAATAGTAAACTTAAAATGTAAGAGTATACCTAAAATGTCAATGGGTATCTTGTAGTACAATAAACACTTCAATATTTAAAAGTTGTACCCAAAAAATTTCAAAAAGTGTGTTTTGCAACAGCAATGTCTAGCACAATAACTCGTTAATGTGTACAAGGAAATGTTAATAACGAAAATTTCAAAAACATAAACAATATCTTGATTGTAACAAGTTATTAAGTTGTCCAAAGATCAATAAGCCTTTCAAAGCGGTCAACATAACATAGACATAAAGAGAAAGCTAGGATAGAGCTACAGAAGTTTAAGGTAGTGCTGAGCCTGGAGCAGAAACCGTTGTAAGACGAAAATAGGGTCACATACAACTATACCCAAAATATTAGTTTATGATTAACGTTATCCTTATAAATATGTTTAACTTTTTTGTTTTTCCTTTTGTGACATTTTTGGTTTCATCTTTTTTATAATAACATGTTATGACAAAAAAGCAATGTGTTATTAAGTAATATTTAGTCATAATTATTTATTTGTAGGCTAACAACATTCATTAAAATTGGTAAGTAAGGTTTGATGTAAAGGATACTATATATTATATTTAAAGTTACTACAGTGTAAAGTTCGAAAAAAGTTCAAAAATTAACGAAAGGTAAAAAAGCCCTGTACTTTTATACCTTTAATTTATAGTTTTTAAATCTTAAAATTAAAAAAAAATTCTTGGCAAAAAAAACGCAACTGAGTTTTTAAATTTTAAATTCGTCTTCTAGACACATTTATACCAAGTGTTTTGCCGGTCCGGTCCGCGGACGGACCGAAACTAAAATTTTTGCGCACCGGACCGGACCCAAAAACCCGGACCGGAGAAAAAGCTCCGGATCGGTCCACGAAACACTTTTTTTTATTTTAATAAAACTGTTTTAAAAATTGCAAATAAAATATATTTTTAAGAATTTTTAAGCGTAAAGAAAGCAGTTTTAGCGCTTCTTGCTTTTTTTTAAATATAAAAAAAAACTTTTTTTGTGGACCGGACCTAAAAATTTGAAGTTTGGACCGGACCGGTAAAAAACGTTCCGAACCGGTCCGGGCAAAACACTGTTTATACTTTTTCAACTTATTTATTAATTTGACAATCATAATTAAAAAAAATTTTTTTTACAAAACTTTGTTTTCTAATCATGCACACTACAATACTAAAATTAATTTTGTGACAATCCTACTTTACTTATTAAGAAGCCTTGACAGTAGTAGCGGTTGCAACAGCTCCAGTAGTCTTGGCAGCTGAAGTGGCACCAGTTCCAGTTGGAGCTTTGGTACCGGCTTTGGCTGGGGCTTTGTGAGCTGGAGTTTTGTGGGCTGGAGCTTTGTGGCCTGGGGGGTGGTGGGCTGGCTTCTTGTGAACTGGCTTCTTACCGTGGTGGACAGCTCCTACAGATTTCGTGATTACAACAATATTTTATTATAATAAGCTTAAAAATTTTTAAGTATGATAAAAAGTTACTTCGAATAATACTGTATTTTTGACTTACCAAAAGCAGTGACAGCCAAAAAAGCCAAAAGAAGGATGATGAAGAATCTCATATTGGAATGGGCAAACAAGTCGATGAATGATATGGTTACTGTCCATCGCTGTTCTATTTATACTATTCATCACTGTATTAGAATTTACATATTAATTTATATAAGATATTTACTAACACGTTTTGAACGATCATTAATGCGACTATATCCTATAATACTTTGTAGTTCTTGCCCAAAAAATAAATATTATAGACATAAACAATCGACGAGAAGTAGGTCATAGTTATTATGTAAACCTAAATAAACGTTTAATATATATAAACCGAAATATCAGTCATAATCATATCATACATTAATTTGTTTGTCCACTCCAATATGAGATTCTTCATCATCCTTCTTTTGTCTTTTTTGGCGGTCACTGCTCTTGGTAAGTCAAACTTACAGCCATATAAAACATATGTATTAAAAAATAAACGTTTGAATAAGATATGGTAAGTTAAGAATACAGTACCATAAAAGATTAAAATGTCAAGTCGTTTTAAATACTGTTCTTGTAAAGCTTATACACTTTGATGCCTTATCGTCTCCAAAGCACCCTAATTTCTAACTTTTGTTTATATTAAACTTTATAATACTCATTTCTAGGAGCCGTCCACCACGGTAAGAAGCCATCCCACCATTCCCCATCCCACAAGAAACCAGCTCACCATCCTCCAGCTCACAAAGCCCCAGCCAAAGCCGGTACTAAAGCTCCACCTGGAACTGGTGCCACTTCAGCTGCCAAGACTACTGGTGCTGCTGCGGCTGCTACTACTGCCAAGGCTTCTTAGTAAGTTAACTAGGATTGTCAGGTATTACTCGTATTGATGTAGCTTACTTTACATAGTATAAAATTTTAATTATAATAATTTTGAATTTACTGTAACAATTCTAAACATAGTATGTTAGTTTATTGATAAATAATCTTATTTTTTCAAATAACGTACAACAAAAGTACTATAAATAATTTTAAAATTAATTTTTTCAATCCTAAATTAATGAGTTGACAGTTGACTCTTCCGATTGACAGTCTCAATATTCATATTGACTTTGTCGTGAATGTTCAGCAACTTCTTTACACATTGCCGTACTTCACGATGTTTGACGAGGTAGATCACTACAGTAAGTGAAGAATTTAGACCTTCTCCTAGGCCAAAGGTAATTGACATGTAACCACGAATTGTGTCATTTGCGTTGCTTATCTGTAAAGAATTTTACATTAAGTATAAGTTACTCAAGAATACCCTGCCCTATCCTACCCCACCCTACCCTACCCTACTCTACTCTACCCTATCCTACCCTACCCTACCCTACCCTACCCTACCCTACCCTACCCTACCCTACCCTACCCTACCCTACCCTACCCTACCCTACCCTACCCTACCCTACCCTACCCTACCCTACCCTACCCTACCCTACCCTACTCTACTCTACCCTACCCTACCCTACCCTACCCTACCCTACCCTACCCTACCCTACCCTACCCTACCCTACCCTACTCTACTCTACCCTACCCTTTTTTATCTACCCTACACTGCCATACCCAGTCCATGTATAACATTAACTTACATAAGCCAATATGCTTCCAAACACAGGAATGCACCAGAAAATGGCATAGCACAGTACCACCAAAGAGATCGATATAAATGCATGTTGATGTACTCGGATGGTATGGAAGTGTTTTGTGCACTTCGAATTCAATTGGATGTGCAACAGCTTGACCGCTTTTAGGTACAGACCTGTAAATTATAAAATTATTAAGTTTATAGTCAATATCACATTATAAAATGTCATAAATTTAATTTTTAAAAGTATTATCTACATGTATATCTGTCTAAAACAATATAAAACTCTTTTTGACACAATTTTGATTTAAATTTATAAAAGAATAAAAAACAGATTAAAAAACAAAATTTTTTATTTACCTAAAATAATATAAACTGATTTATTAGCCAAATGTAGGCTAAAAATCAATCAAAAACCTAAAACATAGCCTGATCTTCCTTCTAAATCAATATAAACCTTAAAATCTTAAAAGAAAATATATTTTTTACCTATCCAGAACAACATAAATTTGTTTTCTGTGTAAATATAAGCTTAAAATTAATAAAAAACCTAAAATAAAGCTCGATCTTCCTTGTAAATCAATCAAAACCATAAAATAAAGCTTGATCTTCCCTATAAATCAACCGTTATTGCAATAGAAACCTTGAATACCTTAGGGAACATATTTTTTTAGAAACCTAAAGTAATATAAACTTGTTTCTTGTGTAAATTTAGATTAAAAATTAATAGTAAAGCCCAAATATAGCTTGATATTGATAGTAAATCCACAAAAAACCTTAAAAGCTAAAGAAAATATAATGTTCTACCAATTTAAAGAATCGAAAATAATATAAACTTGTTTTTCAGTCAAATCTTCAGTAAAAACCAATAAAGAAACCTCACAAATCCCCAAAATATTTATTTTTACTTTTTTCTTTATTTCTTCCCCGTTTGAATCAAAAAGAACGATTGATCAGTGCCCCCCTGGATAGTCCAGGGGTTGTGCGCCGACGCAATGCGGCAAACGGCCGCCAGTTCGAAGAACGCTGAGAAAGCGTATGGCCAGCAGACCCAGGGCAGATAGTCCCAATCCCCCATCAGGGGCAAACGTCGCGGAGCCGACTGACCCGCTGAAGAAGTGGAAGGGTTAACCAAAAAGCGTCAATGCTTCTCTGCAAGACTATTCTTGTAAGAGTTTTGCTGTTTTTTCCATTAAAGTTGTTTTTTACATTATTCTTACATTTTTTAGGTATTTGATGTGATTTACAAGGAAAGTCCTGACCTGCACCGCTTTTATTGACTTCAAACTTTTAATATAGAAAGGTAATGTAAAGATAAGATCTTCAACTAAATCGCATTTTCCAGTCAAATTCGAGAAAACTGAGATCAAAAATTACATTTTAAATTTCTCACCGAATTGGCATTGTGTTTCAAGCTTATAACTGTCATTTTTTGGCTTTTAATCAGTTTTCTTTGATTTACTAGTAGAAAACTTTTAAATCGACCCGCTTTTTTAAATTTGTAAGCGTAGTTTGTCTAGAACGTCAGAAAACAAAGGTTGAAACACAATGCCAAATTTTACAAATTGGCGAAAAATTCAAATATTTAATTTTAAAAACTCAAAAGCGTAAGCTGAAATGTCCCCTGTAACTTTCGGTATTATTGCCCTTTGTAAACGTAAATATTCTGTCTTGATTTAATACCATTTTTGTAGATATTTTGGCACTATTGAGCTATATTAACATAGATATTACAATATTTTAAAATTATTCTTTAAAATATTATCCACTAAACCTACCAATAACCAACACAGCGTTAAAAGCCCCAATGCCAAGCCAAATCGCATGGTACAAGTGTGTTGTCGTGGCACCAATTGTACATTGAGAACATGGTTCATCACTCAACCCATGGATAGCTAGAGCGATGAAGAAGATACTGAGTAATGTGCAGAATACCAAGATAACTATTACTCTCAACTTTATATCAATCTGTAGGTAATTGCAAGGCCATCGTACAGCTGAATATCTGTCCAGAGCTAGTGCGAGTAGAAGGATTTGGCCATAAATTAGGCCAATAACTTGAGGTTGGCCTATTAGAAGACAGACAGACCGATTACATTGTAGTGGGTTGTAGAAGAAGATGGTGTGGATGGCTCGGATCACTATTCCAAACCCTGGAAATTCGTTTTAGATTGTACATATTAAGGCCAATATAACGGTTGAATGCAGTCTTATACTTGGTTTACTAAAACTTTACTACCCAGATCCCTAGCGTAGACGCTAGCCCAGAGCCCTAGGATAAAGCCCAAACGCTGTGTTAGCTCTAGTAAATTAGCCTTCTACTAGCCCTGTCCGATTTTTGCCTTACCCAATCCAAGTGTTACATTGCCCTAGCTCTACCCATGTTTTGAACGAAACTAAAACCCTGCCTTACAGTACTCTATTTGCTTTTACAGAATTTTTAACTGAACCTTTTACTTTATATTACCGTCTATTTTAAACCTACCCAAAGTTTTTCGCTCGCCACGTTACCTAACCCCACATTACCGTACTCTTCACAATATAAACTCACCAACAACAAGACTGCTAGCAGCCAAAAGTGATATAAGCACGTTGCTTTGTACTTTTCTAAACATTGGAAACTTGATAAAGATGAGTAAAATTAGCATATTTCCACTCATGGCCAATAGTCCAATCACTAACTTGATAATGGACATTGTTAAATTGTTTTCTAGATCCCACGCCATCTCCATTTTCTGAAAATTTTTTTAAAAACTTTTTTTTTTGAAATTTTGAGGCTACAAAAGGTATAAATATCCCGGTTACTGTATTTTTGAAAAAAATCTTTATAATTTAAAAAAAAGTTAAAAAATTTCAAAAAATTAAAAAAATCAAATTAAAATTTTAAAAAATTTAAAAATATAAATATTAGTACCTGCTAAGAGTTAAAAAAAACTAATTATTGCCCACTTTAGCGAAGATTAGTATTAAAGAAAGATTAACTCTTACCCACGTGTGACAAAAACCATCAAGATATATAATATAAACATAAGATCTTGCACATAGTAATACTCAATTTGCCAGTATACGTACTACATAATAAGTAAGTAACACAAAAATTGCTACAGGAGGGAGGAGGGAAGGGGGTAGGGACGGAGAGGAGGGGTAAATAGAAATGGACCCATTTCATAAGTAGAAAGTTTTATTTCGAAAAAAATTAACGTTTATAATAAGCCAGTATATTGTAAAAAACTATTAAAATACATACAGTGAAGTACATAATTATAAAGTCAGGGACGTCGCTACGATTTTTCTCTGGGGGGGGGGAGTGGAGACCCTAATTTTTTTTCGTTTTTTTTCGCGTACAGGTAACTACCTACCTGTGAATTTTTTTTGAATAGGCTCTGGGGGGGGAGGAGTGGTGGATCACCTACCCCCCCCTTCCCCCCAAACGACGTCCCTGAGTGAGGCATACACAAATGTCACATGAACTCAAAGCGAGCCGTGATACAAGGTAGAGTAACCAAAACTACATTACTTTTTAAGTACTTTAAGTACGTTTTTCATAAATGTTACAATTCCTCATGTACGTACTTTATTTATTTGTATTTTCATAAACAAGATACTACTACTTTACATTGTCTTTGGCGGATTTTTGGGTACAACACAAGATACGTTCATAAACAATTAGGATACGTTATGGTTTTACTATTCCTGTATATAACATGCATAAAAAACTATTGTTAAGTTTTTAAAAACATCAAAAACCAACCAGACAACAAAAAAAAACCCTTGCCCCTCCCCTACCAAAAATACCTGCCTGACACAGCTCACGCCTATTTTTATTAAACACGTTTAAGAAAAACCCAATTATTAACAAATTTTGTCCTTAATCAATATATATTACTATTCTACTGTACTACACAACTCATTGATACCTAAATTAAAATGAGATTCCCCTGAACATCAAAAACAAATAATACCAGGCAATACCAAAAAAAACAATCCAAAATTACCTAACGCTCGTAGCATGTGATGCACAAAAGATAATTCTTTCCACGCTTTCTGAATTTGAACGTAATTACTGTAAGTGGCAAAACAAACCGCGCAAGAATAATTTAATAAGTAAAAAACTAAAAAATTAGTACAGTTTGTACCCAAAACAAAAGTAAAATCGTATTTTATGCAGAACAATGAACTACAATCACTTTGTAATTGAATATTTGGCTAGGTACTTTGAGGTACGTATACCACGTAATGTTATTGTGTAGTAAATGTATTGTAAGACATAAAAAGTTATTGTGTAGTAAGCTCTAAAAAGTAGAGTAAAACAATACTATCCGAAAGCCAAGTATCATTAAACTGTCTGGGTATAACTAACTAAATCAATGTGAATTGTTAGCCGGCCAGGCGCTGGGGAGGGGGGAGGGGGAGGGGTGGAAATTGAACGTGGTCTCCCCTGTGTATTCGTGGAAAAATTTTTCGCAAAAAATGAGCCAAAAATACCAAAAAGCCTGACCCACTTTCTGCCCTCTTGCCCACCCGGTCCTACTAAAAACCCTAATTTGGCTTCAAAAATACTACTAGTTATATTATATATCCACCTAAATTTTTATTTTTTGTTTTTGCTAACTTAATTTGATTATATTTTTGAAAAACGTGTCTGAATTACAATAAGTTCCTGTCACACGTCTCCGAAAGTTCAAGAAATTTTTTTAAATTTTGTGTTCTTTGTTAGCAGTCAGTTGAATACTAACTTACAAAAAATTAAAATTCTTTTTTATTCTATCAAAAAAAATTAAAATTCTGCTACTTTGTTCCTTGTTTTGACGTAAAAAGATAAAATAACAAATTAATTTTCAGATCACGCTCAAAAACGTGCCATTTTTTAGGAAAAGCTTTTAAATTTATGTTATTTTTTAATAAATGAAAAATAAAAAGATAATCAATTATTCAATTACTAAACAAGCACTTTATCGGGCCAGTAAAAATATATTGTTTACCGTAGTGTCTGTAACTTGTCTACAACACGGACCATTATAAATAGAAAAAACGTAATTTATTTACTCAATAATATATTTTAGATATTGGTAACACGTGCCAATCAAAAAAAATTGGTTTAGAAAAAAAGGCCATTAAATTGCTACTATTTGACCCCTTTTAAAAAATTTTTTTTCTGAAAATTCAACGAAGAATGCCCGGCTAAGCAAAGGGCCTACGTATCCCGTTTTGCAACCTTTATATATTTTTTTTTATTTTTTTTTGCTTACCACCCCTTATTTTCAGCCCATCCTATTTTTTCTACAAACACAGTAACATGCCTACTGCCATTACCATTTCATGGCAATGTTACCCTACCCTACCCTATTTCTACACCCTACCCACAGTAGCACACGCTTCCCATCACCATACCATGTTAATTCTACTTTGTTTCCCAACCCTTTTTACAGTAACAGACTTACTGCCAATACCATGCCCTGATAATGCCTACCCTACCCTACCCTATTTATACACCTTACCCACAGTAACACACACTTACTGCCATTACCATGCCATAGTAATGCTTCATGACCCCACGTGCTGGCCGCATGGCCTCGGCCGAAATGAGAATGAAATGTTTATTTAATCAAAACTATAGGGACCGGAAATGTTGCAGGCCTTTCGATGATTTAAATGTCATTACGAATTCAAATAAAGGTTGTTTATTTGCGCATCGCCTAAAGGCATTTTTGATGTAATTACAGTTCACACCAGCTTGAATTGGCACGTCAGTTTAAGAGCGCAAATGAAAACATTTTTTGTCGTTTTTTAGAGAGGGGGAGGGGGGGGGGAGGAAAATGGGTTTTTGGGTAAGGGGGGGGGGTAAAAGAGAGGAATGGGTTTGATGACAATTGGCAGAGATCACGTAGGCCAAGTTTGGCCATAAAAAAGAAAGTTTCAAATGTAAAACAATGTTTACTATGTTGTATAATATTAGGTTGTTCGAATAATCCCGTGCCCCGTAACCTAGAAAATTTGCTGTGAAATGGAGCACCCAACTATATGAAAAACCTAATAATATCCTTTATTATGAATTAAACGTAACGGGACATTTTTCATTTGCTTTTCAACTAAAAAGTGTCCCGCTACTTTTGGTTCAACATAATATAATAGCTAATAAAAGTATCCTATATTTACAATATAGAATCTCAATTTGTATAAAGAATATATGAAACGCCACAAATTGCTACATTATAGTACATTTTACTACATATAAAACGTAAGTAAAGATAAAAAAACAAAATTGTATTTAGCTTCACAGTCAAGAGTTAAATAAAACCAATGTCTTAATTACCACCACATGGTAACACTACAATAAGCGGCTAAATTGTTTATAATCATCGTATCGTCATTATCCCACGAGTTTCTATGACATGCCATTAAAAATCATTACACACACACTGTAAATATCAAATGACATTGAAATTCATTCGAAAAATGATAACATTGTTTGTAAAATACGAGAAGCCGTTCACCAAAAATATAAAAATACCTTCCCCTGATAGTATAATAAATTATGCCTTTCTATACCGTACTTTACGTTACCCTGCACTACCCTACCCAACCCTACCCTACCCTACCCTACCCTACCCTACCCTACCCTACCCTACCCTATCCTACCCTGCCCTACCCTACCCTACCTTATCCTACTCTACCTTACCCTAACCCATCCTATTTTAGCTACGCTGCTCTACCTTACCCTACTCCACCCACCCCAGCTTGTTCTTTCCTAATCTATCATAAATGCCCTACTCTGCTTTACCTTACCATACCCCACCCTGTTCTACCCTACCCTACTTTAGTTTGCTTTACTTTACCCTAACTTTGCCTTACTGTGACCTTATCATTCCTGTCCTACCCTAAATATATACCTTTTAGAAATTCATACTTTGCCCGACCCGCCCTTTGTTAACCTCCTCCTTCCATGATCACCAACACAACCCTATCTACAATAACATAACTGAACTTTGTCTTGTATAACGTTAATCTATTTGCAAACCATTGTAGAGAAACTAAACATCCAACCAAACAAAAAAGGTGATACTGAACATGTATCTTCATTTCTTTATTATTACATCTATAGTTGCACAAACTGAAAATACAATTTCAAAAATGTACTCCAACACGTGTTTATACATCTTCATTATAGCTGTTAAAAACGGCTTGAAATTGCAATTTTAGCAAAATAACAATGTTATTAATAACACTGCTTTGCTTTTCCAATATAAATTATGATGCTTTAGTGAACAAAGAGCAATTTGGAGCTTGATACTATATTAAACACAGTATAAACAGAGGCAGTGTTTATAACAAATCGCTCGAAAACTTTAAATTTGTTCGTTGTAAAAGAGTTTTGTTATAAAGGAGTTTAGAATGCACTTTGTAATGTTAGCTGGGGATTTAAAAGCTCTTCATTACCGTTATAGAAGAGTTCGTTATATAGAAGTTCCGGTTTAGTTTATATTACTACAATAGTATTTTTCTCCAAGTACAACATGCTCGTATTTTACAATATATAATATTAACATATCGGCATGCCTTAAAATACTGCAGTAAAATTTATTTTCTACTTGTAGCAGGTTGTGGTTCAGTCAGTTGTGGCGCTGATCAATCCGCATTTGTAAGTTACAGATAAATGGGTAACGCTAAGTGCACTATAACTATAGCAAATCGCTCGCTTGGTCTACACAGGCTTCCTACTAAGGCCTGAAAGCTTAAGAAGCCCCTCATCACCACTAGGCAGCTCGAGAAACAAGAACACCTGGATGGAGCCCAATTGAAAACAGCTACAAAGAATTGCTCTGAATGCCTTCACCATACCCTCACCGTGCTTTCTCGCGTATCGAATGATATATCGTGCATTGAAAAAGAAATAGTTTTTGAAAAAGTCCAGTACGCAACTTATGTTTACAGCACATCTACTTTAATAAACTGTAATCATAAAAATGATTTTAGAATGAATATATTACAATAAGCGTATTTTAACAAAAGTTGATAAAAAATTTACAGTACAGCTATATTTGTTGTTAAAATAAATATTTGATTAAAAAACCGTGTAACATAACTTTTGGCGCACCCTGTAAATTTATAAGAAACACTTTTTGATAATATTTTCATATAAAAACTTTAAAATGTAGTATCTATTAAATCCACTAAAAAATCCGGATCAAGATCCAAGTCCAATCCTAAAAAAATTAATTATTGCATTACATAATCCTCGCAGATCCCTCGCAAGCATAAAATTTGAAAAAAACTGACGCTGAAGATTACATAACGCTTTCATATTTAGCGATAATTTTTGGCGCACACATTTTTACAGGAGCTGGATTAATAAGAAAGTGCCATTTTGCAACTTTGTCAAGCTACTGTGCGGACAAAAATAAAAAAAAAATGTCGTTCAAGGAAGGATCCTTGTGGAGAATGAGCCAAGAACTGGTGGACAAGGAGGAGCTGGCACGGAGGATGGGAGTGGGCCTCAACTTTAAGGTGAGTACTGTAATAACTGATGGTTTTTTTGCAATTTTACTGTTTTAATTAATAATTAAGTAAATCTTGTATAACGAATTCCTCTATAACAAAACTCTCCTATAACTAACTCCTGTATAACAAAACTTCTTTATAATGAAACCCCTGTAAAACGAACCGCTCTATGACAATCTCCTATATAACAAACCATGTTTAAAGAAACTTCTCTATAACGAAACTCTTGTATAACGAACATAACAATATAAATTTCCACTATGACTCATAATTTTAAATTAGTAATGCAACGTATTTCAGTTGACGCCAGATGGAGACTTTAGACCAACAACGCCAGCCGAAAAGGCCGAAATCCTGGCCAATTTGGGCAAGGAAAATAAAGAAGAAGGTAGGTCAACATTCATAATGTTAGCTTGAAGAAAAGTCAGCTTGAGCTGAAACTCCAGTTCAGATAATTCTGAGCCCCTTCACCCCCAAAATTTGCTTTGAGCAAAGGGGCACAAAATTATTTGAGGAATCTAATAAAACAAAGTAATAAATTTGAAGAGTTCTAGCTGTTCTCTTATATACAATGACGTTGTACGTTACTGTATATGATAGGTACTATACAGTACAAACTTCTTAAAACAATGTTATGTATATATTAGTTAATAATATTGGAATTCTGAATTAAAGCAAAGGTCAAAAAACGATATTATTTAAATTTTCAGTAAAGCCGAAGCCAGAGCCGGCCCATCAAATCAAGACCGAGCCATGGGTGAAGAAAGAGCATGGTGGTGTAGACTACCGTGGCCACAACAACATCAAGCGTGAGATGAAAACCGAGTGCTTAATAAAGCAAGAGCCCGGTTGCTCCAACTACCGTGGCGGCCATCATCACCGGTCGTCATACCAGGCCGAAAAGAGTGGTCGAGCCGAGGCTCATGACCGTAACCTTAACCGGAAGAGGCCGATCAACTCCGTGGAGCCTGAAGTTCCACGGAAAGTAATAAAAGTGGAGCCAGGCCTTGAAGAAGCCGGTCCTTCTTGTCGGCTGAATAATCAACCCGTCGACAAGCCGGGCAACTCAAGTCGACCAGCTAACACACGGCCGTCCAACAATGAAAAGCGGGCCGCAAAAACAAGCCAGCCTACAAAGCCGAACCATCCCACGAAGAAAAGCCAGCCCACGAAGCCAAACCGACCCACAAAGCCCAGCCAACCTACAAAGCAAAGACCACCAGCCAAGATCGGCCCAACGTTCGAGGAGCTAATGGCCATCGCAGCCAAAAAACAGTCTGAGTCATTTAAGCTCCCCACTCGAGCAGCACCAAAGACTGCACCATTCACGGTGAAGCAAGAAATCTTCAATGAAGACGAATGGCACCGTATGAGAGAGGAAAAGAAGGAGAGGAAGCGAGCGATGATGATAGTGAAGCAAGAGCTGGTGGAAGAGCCAGTTGCTGAACCGCCAATGATGAGGAGGATCAAAGAAGAGCCCGTGGAAGAAGAAGTGCCAAGCCCGTTGATGATAATGAGGAAGATCAAAGAGGAGACGGTGGATCCTTTCCTGGCGGAGATGGAGCTCCAGATTGGAGCGTATGAGCAAAATAGAGGGCTACTATCATAATATCTTTGAGTTTTTAATTGTATAGGTTCACAACAATAAAGAATTTTAACAGTAAAAGCAGTGTTATAAAATATATAGATAATAAGATCAATCAAACATATTATAGTAGATATCCAACAGATGTAATATACACCGTAGTATTTCTTGGTAAATGTGATCCATTACTCATTTTAGTCAAATTTATAGTTAATTTGTACAATTACATTCACAAACATGTTGATATTGAGATCCAAAACAAGTTTATTCATCAGTTTCTTCTCCCGGAGACGCTTCTCTTTGAACTTGTCGTTGTGGTTGAGGTCGTCTTCCCTGAGCTCCAGGTTGTGGTACATTGATGTTTCTGTGCCTCTTGAGATCATTCCTGACTTCTTCTTTTCGCTGAGCATCTGATCCACATAGTTGTTCAAAGTACTCGATATACTGTACGTAAATGTCGAGAATCGTGCTGTAAGTGAGGCGAGCAAACTCGGGGAACTGATTGACTTTGAGGTAGTCGCGAGCTTTGAAAAGGTAGTGGAGACAGTCGTTGCAGATCTTGTACATGTACACGTTTGAGATTACGTCCTTGGCCATTTGGGCCATCTAGAAGAGAAAATACAAGTCAAATTGAAATAAAGATGTTTTAATTAACAAAACATGTCTACATTACCACTAAGCATAATTATAACCCAAATATTATATGATATATAAACTAACCGCATTGGCTTCCTCTGATTCTTCGTCAACATCATCTGTAGCCGTTTTCTTGCCCACATTCATGCTCAATATCATTTCTTTTGATCGTAAAATCTAAAATCATATTTCAAATCATGAACAATGTTATTCTTGCTTTCTATTAGGTTGTTCAAATAATCCTGTGCCTCCTCTCAAAGCAAATTTTTGAAGTTAGAGGGCACAGATTTATTTAAACGACCTGAAAATTTTTTAAATTCACGTTTTTAGCTCTAAACTTCAAAACAAAAAGTTTAAAAAATTCAAAAAATTTTAAAATTGATAAAATTTGCAAAAAAATTTACTATATAAAAAAATACATTCCGTATTTTACAAAGCCTTACATCAAGCGCATCAGCCATCAAACACTGAACTTTCGAATCTTTTGGATCCAACGCTTCATCGACCAGACATTGGAAGACTTCCATTGCGATTCTGCCCATCAGAGGTACCTTGATCTTGTCTTCAAATGTGCTAATCTAAAAATGAATTTCTTTCAAAAACTTTTTTGAAATTAGTTAAACCGCACTCACAGCCGATCTGAGACATATTAATCATACTATTAACTTGCATAAAAAGTAATGAGCGATGTCTCTCTAGAGATGTATCAGGGTTTCCAAGTACATTTAAGCTAAAATTTTCAAAACTGAACGCTTTGAATTGCTCATCCATATTCGGATAACCTGATAGAATTCAGTGGCTCATTACTTTTTATACAACATATTCTTTAACTTTTTGAATTTTAAATGTAAAGTTTCGTATAAAACGTTCAAAATCTTCTAGAAAAAACCATTCTAATTCATTTTAAGGCAGTTCTTACCATAAACATATAAATTTTGAGTCGATCCTTTCGATTCCTCGCGCCATACAACTTGAAATAGTCTTCGATTGGCAATGAGCAGTTTTCTTGTTCTTCTAAAATGTTAATTTTTAATTTAAAAATTGTAAACATATTTTCAGCCTTATTTTATTACAGGAAATTACAGGAAAATTATGGCGGGGTTTTTATGTCGGCACCTAATATACCACAAGCCTTCAAGCACAACAACTTTTTTCAAAAAAATTACAAAAACTCACGTTTGATCAGTACTTTCATCGAAGGGTGAATAACATCGTTCAAGTAGAACATTGATTCCACAAATTTGTTACTGAACATGTTCGGGAATTTAGGTAACAGAACGTTTAGCTGGAAAACAAAATTCTTAAACAAATTGTAAATATAAAAAAAATATTTTTGCATTTCGAATACTAAAAATGCATTAAATTCCAGCACCTATGCATGTCTTATTTTACCATCAAAATTATTAAAAAAATTCGAAAAACAGCGACCAAATCAAAGGTTACCCCTCTTCACAAAAAAATTTATAAATTTGCCCTTAATCGTACATTATTAGGCTGTCCAAATAATTCTGTGCCCCCTAATCCAAAAATTTTCTTTGACAAGAGCACAGACTTATTTGAACAACCTATAATACCCACAAAACTCATATCTTACCAAAGAAGCATTACACTGATCACGAACTCGTTCATCTGGATCCACCAACGCTCCCAAATAATAGTACATGATCTGACCTCCCCACTTGAAGTATTCGTCTCTCATCAAGGTTGTTATCAATGATACCGCATGTCTTCTCACCAGTACTGATTTGTCACGCATTGCTGTCGCCAGGACTGGCCCAAACTGATTCACTGCTGCTCCACCACTAAACATATTGTGTTAGACATTAAAATCAAAGTTAATTTTGATAAAAAATGTGCTTAAAAATTTTTTTTCAATCAAAAACAACCTAAAATCCATCTTTTCCCCATCAACCCCGTGCTTCTAACCAAACCCTTACGTTGTGCAAAGATCAGCCAGTGTGACCAAGATGTTATTCCTCAAACAATGATCCTTATCCATGGTTAACTGTTGAATTAGAGTCTGAATATACTTGCTGGCTTCCTCTTCTCTCAAAATGCAAATTCGTCCGATTGCAAAGGCAGCGGCTGATCTGATACCGAGTGGGATCATCGCGATGAAATCACGAAAAACTTGAGCTTGAGACTCTCGCATCGTGCCTTGAGTACCGTTTGTCATGACGGATGCTGCGCGGAACTGGCGGAATTGGTCTGAAATTGGTTTTTTATTTACTACCTGGTATAATATTATACTATTGAGTTGTGCAAATAAAAATGAGTCCCAAAGATCACTTACTCGCCGCCTCATCCCCAGCCACAATAACCTTCAACGCGGCCACGAAATCTTCGTCCACAGCTTGTGGCGCATATTGTAGTAGCTCGCCGATGCAGTGAATCATCCTCAACACCTTGTCCGTCTTGTCCTCTGTTAATGTATCCAAACGTTGTGAGTTGACTTCGCTCATTAATGACAAACTTGAGCCCACTCTTTCAGCAAATGGGCTTAGAATCTCTTTCTTGAGCTGTCTTATCGCATTCACTTGGAACTCTTTCACAAAACGTTCCATTTCTTTGGCGCCGCTCTCGTTTCGGTTGTGGCCATCGTTGCTGCCTAGAGCGTCCATTAGACAGGCAAAGGCGTAGGCTACTGCACCAATGTGAGTTACGGCGATTCTGAAGTTTTAAGTAAAAAAATTTAAATTTATAATAAAAATCACTATAATACCCAATTAGCATAGACAATAGTCAAAAACCTCAATTTCTCTTTCCTCAAAGCTCCCATCAACACCTACTTGTTCATCTTAATCTTCTGGCCAATCTTCTCCTTCAGTGCTTCTCTTCTAACCGCCGGAATCTTTTTCGATCGATTCGCAATGATTTTGGCTACATAAGTTGGGATTCTATCTTCATGATTCGTGAAGTCAATCGAGTCAAAGACGTTTTCAGCATATTGAGGTTTGACATCCATGAATGGGCTTAGCTCGGCCAATAACATCCATGCAGACGGTGGGCAGTCGTTGGATTCTGTTACTCGTTCCAAGCGACGGATAAAGTCGTCTGGTACATTTGTGGTTCTGTTGGAGCCGGGAGATTGTTCAGTGAGACAAATTGAGAGGTATCGACTGAAAAATGAGTGATAAGCTTAAAAAACAGGGTTAAAACTCAAAAATATTGTCAGCAAAGTGGCTATAATACAGAAATTTCGAAAATTATTCATTTTTTCAGTTTGAAATCAATTTTTTTATAATTTAAAAATCTTCGAAAAAAATATTTAAAAAATTTAAATTCCCTCCAGCATCCTTACGTATATTCAGTATCCCCCTCGACCACATCCATTAAATTCCAAGTTGGGTTTGGTCTGTCCCCTTTGAGACCTTCTACAATATATTCCGATGACATTTTGATAGCTTGATTCGCTACACCACTTTCATTGTCTACTACTTGATGTAGTACACCTCGCAGCCAGGCATGTTCGATGCCACTTGGGAAGCGGGGGAGGAGTTTGTGAAGGCACATTGCAGCTTGTTTTCGTACTTGAATCGCCACGTCCCAACATTTTTCCTGTAAAACATAGACATTGAATTTAAAATGTGCTGTAGAAGTTTTAAATAGTGTCCTACCAGTACAAAGATACGATAAAATACCTTTTTTATATTTCTAGGGACTTTATCTAACTAGAACAAAAAATGGCCCCACTTGGCATGCCAGGTCACGGCTAGACCAAGTCAAAGCAAATTTGAAAAAGACCGGGCCACAAAAATTGACCCAGCGCTTTTACAGGTCTATACATAACAAGATGACCCCGTAAAACATATGTTATTACAACCGAAAAAAGTGTTGTCGTTCTATCCCTGCAAAACCAATGCAAATTGACGCCAAGACTTTACTCTATCTTCCCTCAAAAACCCATCTTACCCTGATCTTCTCCACGCACTTCTCTGTCATTTCTGCATCAACATTCTGACTGTACAAGATGGCTTGAAGACAGCATAGAGCATGTTTGGCAATCGGTGTCTTTTCACTGTCACAAGCTCTTATCACCAACCTTAACAGGTCATTTATGTCCGGATTTTCTGGTTCTGCTTCCATAATGGCACTCATGGTCAGCTCCATACCTTCTTCTTCCGGTTCTTCTTTTATCATGGCTTCTGGAGCAGCTTCAGATACTTCAGGTTGATCGTCGCTTTGATTTACCGGTTGATTAGTTCGGTGTTGTTGATTAGCCCGTTGTGGTTGATTATCTCGTTGTTGATTAGTTCTTGGAGGCCGATCTGTCATTTTCAGGGCTTCAAGATTGTCTTCAACCAGTCGTGTTGATAGTATTGATAAATCATCTACACATGCATTACTTGAAACCAAGACCTCTACAGCTTGGAGAGCTTTTTGCATCGCAAATTTATCAACCAGTCCAGTGATTAGGAGGTTGAGGACGGCTTGACGGGCTGTCATTCCTTGGCGTTCGAATACGCATCTAAAAAAATTATATTGAGTTTAAAAATTTCAAAAAAAATTTAAAAATCGAAATTTTAACAATTTTTTTTCAAAAAATATTTTTTTTTTTCAAAATTCAAATTTAAAGCTAATTTTAAACCCAAAACTCACAACGCATCGTTACGTCGTTCCCTCGATTCATTGACAGTTTCATCAGCAGCAGCTGCTTCATCTTCTTCATCCCTCAACATAACTTCTCCTTCTTCCTCGGCATCGTCGACTATTGCCATTGCTTCTTCTTGATCTTCTTCCATTTCGGCTGCATCACCTTCCACAATTTCATCGTCGTCTTCTTGCTCTAGGATTGTTTCTTCATTCGCTTCGCCCATAAACATTGTTTCGATACGTTCGGCACGGTCATGAAGGTGGTCAAACCCTGGAATTTCGTGAATTATTACTTTAAATTATTACAAAATTTGAAAAATTTGTAATTTTAATAGTGATTTACATCTAAAAGCTTTAAAATTAAAATATAAATAAATTGAATAGAAAATTGTTATTAAAAAGAAAGAAATTGTTATTAAGCTTGAAATAAACCTACTGAATCTCTGTAGAAGATGAGGTACAATCTCCAAAGCAAACGACCTGTTAGCAGTTCGGGAATTCCTACCCAAGATGTAGATGAAATCGATAATGTGCTAAAAAATGATTTCATTAATATTATCAACCCCTTTTCGTATTTTAGCCAAGATATCATTAAAAACAGCATATAATCAGTCTCAATTTACAATTTGTATACATGTCCATCTATTTTATGTTAGACCAGGTTTTGATCCCCTACACTAAAATTATAGACCAGCACATATAAGCCCAAAGGCCACTGCCCAAACCATAGCTTTAGGCCCGCCCCGTCCCCTTTAGAGGTCTATGGGTACCCCATACTATCTAGAATAAGAAAAAATGTTTATCCTCTACGACCTCCTGAGCAAAAAATTAAAACCTCCCTGACCCTTTACATTAACAACAATTCATAAAAAAAAATACCGTAAAACATACGTAAGAAGCTATTGGAGGCATCATGGCCAGTATTTCAGAGTAAGTTCTGGCCAACAATGATCGATGTTCACTTCGATCTGTGCATTTCAATGGCAAAATCTGCATCATTTTCATAATTGCTCTCAGTTCTGATAACGTTAAACTCTGAAAAACATTCATATAGAAATATTTAAACCATCTCATTGAAAAAGGATAAAACCCCTCAGAATAATACTTAAAATCCGTGATAAACAACAAATATACAGCCTCAAAACTCACATCAAACCTAGTTCCCAAAAAGTGCACCATCACAGTACAAGCATCCTTCAGAATGTTGGGTATACTTCCAGTGATATGATATTTTGAATTCCCGCCAACCCAATAAAGCAATCTTGGTGTGACATAATGTGCCATAATAACCGTACTCCTGGTTTCCGAATCCTTCTGAAGTAAGTTTTGGATGATAGCAAAAGAGAGATCAGAAGCTCTTCGTACACTGCTGATGGCTTCAATCAATTTAGCTTGAAAATCCGTACCACCATCCATATCAAAGTCGGCAATGTCTCGAAGGAAATCGATGACATTCTCACATAGACCTTCTTTTTCAAACACTATGTCTGCTACGCCTTCTGAAACAAAAAGATTTGCTCAAAAGTAACTTTTAGGTAACAAAAAATGAATTTTTAAATTTTGGTAAACAACTGCTTTGAAATAGCTTCTATGTTAGCCATCAAACTAACATGACATATAAAATAAAGTAATTTCAAGCAGCTTACTTGAATGTGTGAACAAACACAACGCCTTCAAAGTCTCAATAACGACGTCCATCAAAGCGCCAATGTTAATATCCAAATCTACTTGATTTTGTTCTTCTCTGCGCTTTCTAGAGCCAATTGTAGCCATAACTTTACCAGCCGGCCTTAACAGCTTTTCCACCGTTTTCAGGAGCTCAATTGCTCTCTAAAAAATATATATTTAGATATTTTTGATATACATTAACAGAAAAAAATACGTGTTTTGCTTACAAACTTTTAACATATTGCCTAAATTTAAAACAAATGATACTTACTTCGAAGATGTAAACATGAAAAACGTGATACATTTTGGCATCCTTTACTCCAACCAAGCACATATACAAGTTTGCAGCGCAAAGCCCGACTTCCAATTCATCATTCGTCCTAAAACAATGTTCTTAAAATACAAAAAAACAATTAATGCTTTAAATATTAACTTGTTAATCAAAAAAGATGTTACTCATAACCATAACGTCTTATTATATTTCACATACACGTCTCATTTCCTTGCTTTCCTTAAAATGCTTAAAATATCATATACAACAAGTTCTGGCGCCTTTAAATTACTCATATTTATCCTTAAACGCCAGAACTTAAAATAAAAACAAATAAATATAAATTCAAAAACCCATACCTATCAGGCACAAGGGCTTTTTCGATCAAAATCCACAAAAAAGCTGTCAGTTTCTTGAGATCAACACCTTCATTCTGTAGATGTTCATAATAAGATCCTTCTGCATCGTGTGGCCTTGTTTGGAATTCCATTATCTTCTTGGCAACTAAACACATAAAAATGAAATCAAAATAGAATATAATTACCTGTTTTTAAGGCCAAGACAAGTGTTTCAGCTTCTGCATCAAACAAATCACATCGAAGCGCATCCACCATCTGCGTGAAGTTACCATAATGTGCGTTGCGGCTGTAAATATTGCTTTAGATTAGTTATTTCTTTTTAAAATTGACTTATATGCTTTAATAACAAACTATAGTTCAATTTGAGTATAAAATAATCTTATTTTTAGATAAAAACATGCAAGACACAATAAAAAAATTAAACTGTTATCTAAAACAAACCAAAACTAAAATAAAACTAATTTTAACAAACGAAAACACCTTAAAGGCTCAGACACACCTTTTTCAAGTACTGCTACACCTTTTACAAATACTTTACTAACTGCTCCACAAGTTTTTATGCCCAAAACAATTCGAAAACTTACGCATCTTTACAAGTATCTGCATCGAGATCGTTCACATTGCTTAGATTATCGACCAGAGCGTTTACCGCTGCTGATAAGGCCATAGTTAGTATTTTTTTTACAATTTTGTTATACAAAACTAAAGTTGAAACTTTAATTTCATTAAAAAAAAATTGTTTTAAATTTTCTTTCAAAAAATTATTTTTCGCGCTCTTAGACTAGCCTGCGCCCGAAAGAACGGCAAATTGAAAAGAGAATTTATCCGAAAGGAAGAGTCGTTCATATAAAGTGTCACATTGGCTAAAATAATGTCAAAAAATAAACATAAACTATGACTTATATTTCATTTTATATTTATTGTCCGAGATCATAGTATAACATCAACCGTATATTATTGTAGCTTCCGTGTCATCAAATAAGCGTCTTCACAGGCAAATCGTGGGTAATACCTTGGTATTGTGTCCAACACTTCGAAATTGAACTTTTTGTACAAATTGATAGCATCTTCGTTGTTTTTCTAAATAATATAACTTATTATTTGTAATTTTTTGGTTGACATACCTGAACATGTAAAACAATATAGTCGTATTTCTTCAAAGATTCAAGATATTCGAGGCAGTCTTTCATCATTGATGTAGCTATTCCTTCCCTAAAACAATTTTTGTTTTAAGATAGTAAGTTTATCAAATTTCTGGTTCTTAACTTGTGTTTTACCATCAAAAATATTAACATAGCCTAAACTGATATAAAAAAGGTAAAATACGTCACAGATTCCCAAAAACAAACTAAACAACTCACGATCTATTCATGACTTTGACGCCAACAAACTCCAAATAAACCGAGTTTTCAGGTAAGTTACCATGCTTTTCTTGAACATCATCAACGTAGATGATACCAGCCGGTTTATCCTTGACGAAGGCAATTTTACTGTACACAAACTGCCCTATCCTCTTCAGTAACCTCTTTTTATCTTGTTGGAATGCCAGTAATTCATAGATTTGAAGAAAAGACTGAAAATTCACATTATTCGAAGAGAAATATTCTCTGTATAACTACATCAACTTATATTATAATAGGTCGTTCAAATAACTCTGCACCCTTCTCAAAACACATTTTTAGAGTTATAAGGTCCAGAATTAACTGAACAACCAAATATAAAGGAAACAAATGCTTACAGCCAGATTGCTATCACCAATATCGACAAGTTTCAGTCGATTACCTGCTTCTGTCATTATCTTTAACAAAGTAAATTAAAACTGAATTTAAAACAAAACTTAAACAATTTTAAACAAAATCCACAACAAAAAAACCGAAAATACAAACGACACAACATTTAAATCAACTCTTTTTGAAAATCCACTAAGTTTATCACGCAAAATTTATTAACTTAACCATATAAACACAATATAATTACTTCTACGCAGTAACTGCTTCAGAAGTGCTGTCGGATTTGATATCGTCAGTTTTGTTGAGTTCTGGGTTCACGAGTCTTTCACTGAAAAACTTCAGAAGTTCGGGACCTCGGACTTCGGTCTCTAGTAAAGGCAACTGAGTAATGTGGAAGTCGTCATACAAGTCGAGAATCTAAAAAAATAATTTTTAAATTGAAAATAGTCCTTTATATTCTAAATAATAAACTTTCATAAGCTAAAACAGCATGTGAATCTAAATCATATCCATTTCGACCCTTTTAATAAGCTTTCTGCCTCTAAAACATTAAACATCACATAAATCTCAAAAACCAACCTGATCCAGATACTTTTGTTGAACCTTGTACCTTGAGTTACACTTTCTGCACACCACACAACCTTTATCGTCTTTGTCTGGAAACAAAAGTTGATTTACAATAACATTGTGGGTATCGATATCTTGTTTAGTCAGTTCTTGAATCAACCTCTCCGTCTCGTACATTGAAAGAAACTCGGCGATACACACACAGACAAAGGTCGTTAACTCTGGATCTGAAAAACACATCTAATTAATATTTATGTTGAAATTAATATCAACATAAATGTCAACCCTAAAAACGATCTACATCAAAATATCCTCAATATTGTAGTACCCACCCTTGAACTGCTTGTTGATCTTCCTGACAATCTCCAAAGTCTCTTCCATCTTTCCAAATGCTTGTTCCTGACTCATATTGTTCATCCCCAACATAGGACCAAGCTGATTGACTAGTGGCATAACTTGGTTTGTCATTCCCATCAACTTTCCCAAGCTTTTCTCGATTAACGTTGGAAACTGAAGAAGACGAAGAGTATGACCCGTTGGAGCTGTGTCAAACACAACAACATCAAAATCCATGGATTCGACAAGTTTGATCATCTGACTGAACGAGTTGGCTTCGTCAATACCCGGTAATCCACCAGTAATTTCGGAGAGGAAACCTTTTGTCATGTTCAACATGGCTGAAAGGAGAATGTTAATTTCTAGATGTTGTTTTCGCAGTTTAGAAATAAAATCGTAGCTAAATAATTTAACAGTGTCCTTAACTAACTTATAAATTTTAAAAAAGGTAAGAAATTAGCTTTCAAATAAAGAAATCGACTCCCACACATAAAATAACCAAGTGTCACCTGAAAAAAGTCTACTTTAAAAACAAAACCTAATTCAAAACGTTTCAAAAACCTTAAAAATTCAAGAACAATAGCCGATGCCACCCTTTAATACAACAACATCCATCTTAATACCTAAAACAAGAACAATAAATCCAAAATCAACTTACATCCCTCATCAGTTTCTGGATTCTCAGCCTGTGAAGTGATTTCACCTCCGGCGCTTTCAATCTCCATCGCATACAAATTCTCAAAGCCATTAACAGACGTCGGAGTCTTGCCAAACTTTTGATTAAAAGCATCCGAAATGTTATGAGCTGGATCGGTCGAAATGATCAAAACCGACCGTCGAACCTTAGCGAGCTGAACGGCCAAAGAACAACTACAAGTTGTTTTGCCAACTCCACCTTTTCCGCCAACGAAAATCCACTTTAATGAGGTTTGATTGACGACATTTGACAATGAGGGCTCCAAAGCGTCGTCAGACATTCTGAAAAATAAAGGTTTTGAGATTGAAAAGTTGGAAAAAGGATATTATCCATAACGAAAAATAAATGCAACGGTTATAAAATTAAAATAAGCTACTACTGGGCGTTTATTGCCAAAAGAAGAACGAAAAGCTCGTTCTACAATGGTACAAATCTTACGTTTTATTCATGATGTGTGTCGAAAAAATTATTTTGTATTATTATTCGCGAGTTGCATCCAATAAGTGCGCAGGCTGCAAGGCTGTTTTTATACGAATTATTTATTTTATAACCCTGTGAAGAATATGTAAAAATAACTTCGGTTTGATTAAAACGCTGAATTAAAATGTGTCTTTACAATATTTTTTAAAAAATTTTTACTTATTTATTAACTACTAAACAAATCATTAAAAAACAAAACGGCAGTGTCCCATAGTTCATTGAAATCCTGATAAAAGCCGTTGTTAGCCAACTTTTCCATGCTTTTTCCTTTCACAAACAACTTGTACATGATCATACACTCGATAAAGAAGAACAAAGTTATGAATATGTACAGAGGGTACCAAAAAATGTCCAAAATCCATGGAAATTTTATCTTTTTAACGTAAAATACGAGGACGTGATCGAACCGATTGCTAATTGGTTGATTTAACACGGCTTCTAATTCTGAATCCATTAGTTTGTAGGGTAAAAGCTGGTCGATAATTTGCTGTTTTGAAAGGTTTTTTAGTTTCATTGAATTGACTATTGGTTTTAGTTTGGCTATTAGGTCTTTGTCTGGCTAAAAAAATAAATTTTCCTTGGCCTGGCTGGAAAATTTTAACAATTTTACAAAAAATTATTTACAAAATTCTATTTTCTTTGATATACACACTAATAAAATTTTAAAACTTCTAATTTTTTATTTTAAAAATGCGGTTAAAAATTCTGCACGGTGCAGCCCACTTTCAAACTACACCGTGCAAACTCTGTGAAGACTTTTTTAAAATCTGCCAAAATGAAACTTACTGTGGCACAAAAGTCCTTTTGAAAAGTGGTTTTCACAACAGAAAACATTTGTCTGATTGCAACAAGCAACACTGTTGTAGAGTAAAAGATGAAAACGTAGGACACAAAGGCGTAGCTGATTAGAAGCTTGTTAACTCGCCAGATGTTGCCTTCTAATGCGTATATTGTGAACCTAAATTACGGAAGTGACTATTAGATGCCTTTTTTATATTCAGGCTACTTAGTTTTACTATATACTTGATGACCTTACTCAATAAAAGCGCCAAAGATGCACAAAGTGAATAGTACACAGATCAAATGAAAGAAAAATCGATTGAATTTCAAAAATGTCTCCCAGGATTTGCTTGAATAACATCGATCGTTAAAGTCCATAACAAATATAGCTACAATAATATAAAAAACCAGGCTGTTGGGCTTGTTTTTGTTATTCAAATGCTTTGTAAATTAAGTGATAAACTTGATTTTTTGTTTATTATACAAAAATATACAAACAATACATAGCGAATGTAAATTATACATACATTAAAGTTGAATATACATCATGTATGTTCAATGTTAAAAAATAAAAGTCTACCTAAATTATCGATTTACTTTGTAGCAACATTACTATTCTTGATAGTATAACTACTACTGACAACCAAAACCTTCTCCACTTCTCCATAAAACAAAATCCTGACCAATCTCTTAACACTAGCACGATATGGCTTAAAGAATCCCAAAGTAAATATCATCAAGAAAGTAGGATAAGTATACATAAACCTATACATAATATGAAATCCAATTGGCCAGTACTTCTCATCATAACTGACGATGTAAATGAGTGGTGCAAAAAACCATAAAAACTCTGCCAATTGCTCAACAACCAGCCCATGAATCAGTACTTGATACAATTCTAATGTTCTTTTACTGAGTGTATTCTTGGCTCGAGTCTTGTACCGATAACATTGCACGGTGCAAAAGAAGTAGATGATAAGAGATGACGGGAAGATTGCGTATTGGAAAAAGTTCTCAAATTTGTTTGGCTGAAAGAAAGTACTTTAAAATTTTAAAATTCCCGCGCGATTTTTTATGCTGGGTGCGCCAAAAGTTCTGTTATCAAACTTTACCGGCCGAACTTTTTGAAGCGTTTGCGCTTGTGCCAAGCCGCAAAGAGGGGACACTTCACAACCAATTGGCTATGTTATAACTAGTACTATATGTTACTATTGTTAGTTGTTGTTTTAGTTATATTTGTTGTTAAAATAAATATTTAATTAAAAAACCCTGTAACAGAACTTTTGGCGCATCCTGTACAGGAGTTCGACTGTACAGTGATTTCAGAGTACATATAATACTGTATTAGGTTTAAAAACGGTTTTTTATTTTAAAAATGCTAATTTCACTTTATTTTCCAACCTACCCTAGCCGGTATATCAATGTTGTTCATGATATGCTCCTTCAGCTTGGTGTCATTATTCGGAAATTGTAGTTTATATTGGACCCAATCCGACCACGCAAACCGATTAAAATACAATCCTTTGACAAATAAGGCAATCATAAGTACAAAAAGGAAGGTAAAGAAGTAACCATGTGACATTATATTCATTAGCTTCTGTTTTCCTGTAGTTTGAGCGTATCTGTACACGAAACGACAAATAGTTATGTACACATGCATCTCGTACAAGGTGTATGGTATGATTCGGAGGAGGGGGGCTAGCCAGGGAATCTGGAATAATAAATATAAATTTAGATATCAATATAAAAAAGAATGTCAAAAGCCATAGATTGATATTGTTATGGCCTAAAAGCAGTAAAAAACAAGATAATATTGAGTAAGGAGCAGCGTAATAATGGCAGATGAGCAGGGTAATATTGATTTCTATGTACGCTCAAACCAAATTTACAGGGTTAAGGAGCTCAGAATTATTTGAACGACCTATTATAATAAAATTCTTTGTAGGTATGTATATAGTTTATAAACTTACATTAAAATATTCAGGTATACCATGAGCAATCATTTCATAGTGTGGCCACGGCAACTCTGGATCCCACGATGCTAACACAGTAAAGAGAATATTCATGTCACTTATCGCCCATGTCAGATACCTAAAATTTGTTAGAGTTAGTTAAGAACAAAACTTTCAAAAAAAAAATTAGCCTAGTTGTCAAGCCCATCCTTCGGACTCAACTTTTAAACCTGCCCGTTTCAACTTTAGCTCAAGGCCGACTCGGTCCAGTTGTAGAGCCGGACCTACATGGGCTGCTTCTCACGCCTAGGACGGAGGGGGGGGGGAGTGGTCATTCTGTTCTCCAACCAATTCTAGTTTTTAAAGCCTACTGTAACCCCTACTCATGAAAAACTGAAACAATGTAAACCAAAAAAGAAATAACATACCACTTGTAAGCGCCCATAGTAACCGGCAAACAACTTTTAATAATAATCATAGTAAGAACATATAAAATATTGTTAAAAATTATGGTTATCCAAGCATATATAACACAATAAGCTCTAAGTCTTTCAGACGGTAACTCAGCTTCATAGTAAGTAGCATACACCATGTGTAATATCTTGTTTCATACAAACAATATAATAAAAGTTACCATGAAAACTAATTTTAGGCAATACTACAAAGTAATAAGGTATAGCAAAGTCCATATCTAGCAAAAACATGTGCATATGTGTACAAAATGTATCTGAAGATACTGTATAAAACGTGACTACAATTTAGGTTATAAAGCATTACATGTTCAATATTATACCTTGTAATTTAGTATCATCATACAAAAACAGTGTAAAAGTAAAAAAATATAACATGGTAAGACCCCGTACTGTAATTTTTTAACCCACAATCTGCAGCAAAATATTAATCTATCTAACCAGTAAGTTTAAGTGAAGTAATATATATTTGTAATATACTTCAAATAGAATAGCTAAGTTCAAGTAAGTCTAACATAAGATTGCAAAATAAGTTATAACTGATTTGAATAAAATGAGAAAAGCATAACTTACTCTATTACTTATTTTGAATAACGCAAAACCTAAATTTGTCCAAAATTTATCGAAAAAATACATTAAAATTTGACATTACGCACATCAATTTGACGAAGTGTCAAATTTTCTCAAAAATTATTTTTTTTCAATTTTAAAATAAAAATTTTATGTAAATTTCACACGAAAATGAATCGAAAAAGGATGTAATTTATAACTTCGTGTCATTTTCGTATTTTTGACTCGTCAGAATCCGTGGTTTCCGAATGACGGTGGACAAGTCCGACTTTGCCAGATTATTCTCGGATTTTGTGCCTGAATCGGCTAAAGAAAATGACAACTTTTCTGACATACGATACGACGATTACAAGATCAAAGAAGCGGACTTTTTTCCGGAGTATAAACTAGAACATGGATGTGAGTTATTTTATTTTTTTGTTGTTTTAGATAACAATTTTGAGTTTTTGGCGATTTTTGCCTAAGGATTATATGGTTTTGGTAGTTTAGGTAACAAGTATTTGTCGTAATATAATATCTTACATTCTGGGCAGTTTTAGGGCTTAATTTTGATGTTTTTCTTGTTTTAGAGACTCAATCTCTTTTAGGTAACATCTTTTGAATTTATATTGTTGTAGATGGAAAAGTAAAGAAAACTAATCTTTGACACAAAATTATATTGTGTTTTTTCTACTAAGGCCATATCTTATTAAGAATTTTTTAATTTTTGTTCTAAAATAATATTATTCGTCTTTTTCAGTCGGAACCAAGTGTTTTGATCATCCAAACCTTCCCTTTCGTCGTCTAGAGCGACATGTTCGTCGAGAAATCAGTTTATTCGGAACAACGGCCGCATTATCCGGTAACAAAACACCATACCGTGTTAACAGTGGTACAATGTCGCCTCAAGGAATGACTCCAATCCACGATAATCATATGGACACCACTGATAACATGGCGTTCCAGACGATAAATCCTGAATATTGTGAGCTTCGCAATAAATTGAACGACGAGTTGAAGGCGTGTGATGAATTGTTATGCAAACAGACGGAAAATGATTCGTGGAAGAAGTTTTTTCGTGTTATTGACGATTGTGATACTATTCAAGTAAGTGATTGGGTTTTTGTTGTGTTTTTAGGTATTGTGAAGGATGTTGAAGATGGAAAATCGATTTGTGAAGGATAAAAGAACTGTTTTTGGTTGGACAGGGATATCTAGGGCTATAGATCTTCAGAAAGCTCATTTTGTTACCTAAAAATGCAATTTTGTTCGTCTTTCTTTCTAAAATAACTTAAAAATATTGTTTTTACATTTTATTACCTAAAATGTTGTTAGTATTATTCAAAATAAAAGGTTTACGTTCTGCTATCTTAATGTTACCTTATTGATACCTAAAAAACCATTTAAACAGCCTAAACTCCTTATAATTCACAAATTTCAGGAAATTTACGTAGAAGCCAAAGAATCTCGGCCATTGATTAAAGACGGACCTCGTCAACGTTACCAGAGGTTTAGAGAGAAGGCTTTTGTATGTGATGTTTGTGATCACTGGTTCACCCTGAAACAAAATGTTCAAATGCACATCTTCAACTATCACATGGGACCGAATGTGGTCAAGCCAAGAAGGGGAAAGAGGTACAAGTGCACAAAGTGTGATCAGGTAAGAGTGTCTAATCTGTATATTGTCCAGGACTGATTTATAGTTATGTAAGAATGTTGTCTACTATAATATAATACAAAGTAGACAAAATTAGCAGCCTGGGGAGCTGCAAAATGTTTAAACGTTTAAACTCGAGGATAGGACCTAAAATGTCTCTTCAGATGTTCAAATCCATGATTCAAGCCCAAAAACACGAAAGAAGAATGCACAAGGAGAAGATACGTCAAATGTTTTTCCGTTGTGAACAATGCAGCAAAGTGTACCAAACAGCATCTCAACTACGTGAACATGTCTCGATTATGCACTTAAACGAAAGACCATTTAAGTGTGAACAGTGTGATGCAGCGTTTGGAAGAAGAGGAGGATTGAGAAGACATATTGTCATGGTACACACTGGACATACCTACAAGTGCCCGGTGGAAGGCTGTGAACATCCTGGGTACAAGTGCTCTAAGGTAGGTTAATATAAGGTGTATTGCATTGAATTGGGAAGGTTTAATTTTTTTTTGAATTGGGGGATTTGAAGTCGTACTGAATGGTACTAAATAGTACTGGGAGTATAATTTCGATTTTTTAAACTGTATGGTACTAAATTGTATTCTACTCAATTTTTTGGACGATATAGTACTAAAGTTCAAAAGAATTGAAATGTTTTTGTTTTTAGTGCTGTATAGTACTACTTTTTAAAATTTTGAAATTCAAGGCGCACTTTCAGGCCCTAGCAGCTCATATCAGATCAGTTCACACCAAAGATCGACCCTTTGTATGTCTTATGTGCGAGAAGTCATTTGTACGCAAAAACGACCTCAAAATGCACGAATTCACTCACGGCAGTGCATCAACGTTCGAATGTGAACTGTGCGGAGAAACCTTCAAACGAGCCGTGTACAGAAAGAAACATCAAGTTCATTGCCTTCAACGGGTCGAAAAAGCCAAACAACTGGGAATCGACCCGAAAGAGTTGAGGAAATTCGAAATGTCAAAGAAGAAAAAGGTATTTTTGGATTGAAATTTAAAAATTTTTTTTGAAGTAGTTAAAAAATACGTAAAAAAGAACAATTTTAAAGACTTTTGAGCGTAATATACAAAAGTAAGGCCTGATGTTTAACGAAAAGCTATGATTTTTCGTATTTTAGGCTGAAAATCTATGATATTTCGAATTTTAGACAGAAGACTCTCCATCAACCTCGAAACAAGCTCAAAACGAAGCCGATCAACCCCAAACCGAAGACGAACCAAGCACAAGTAAAGAAGCGCAAGCTCCCGAACCAAAACGAAAGAAGAAACACAAGAAGAAGGAACCAAAGATCGGAAGCAAGTTGGAGGAATCCGTGAAGAAGATCAAGAAAATGAAGAGAGAGCAAAAGAAGCGAGAGAGGGCGGAGAAAAAGGAAAAGAATGCTTGAATTATATTCAGGATGGAGCTGTGAATGTTGTTGAAGACAAGGATGGTCTCTTCTGGTGTGAAGGGTGGAGCTATGGATAATATTGAGGATGGAGAAGGGAATGCCGTTTATTAGTAACACGAGACTTTACTATACCTTATTTTGTAGCAATTTTAAGTAAAAACATATATATATTGTCTTTCTAACGTGGTACCACATAGTATTTTGTAGTGTTTGTGATAGTGTCGATTGTACTATATAGTATGATTGTTTACAGGAGCCTTTATTTATGTAATACTTTGATTACAGTAATCTATATTATATATTACTATGTCTATTTGAGTAGTACTTAATGACTTTCTATATATGTACATTATCAGCATGTACTGTTCTGTCTATTTGAACGGATACTAAATATTTTTGACTAACTAGTCGTTTGTTAACATAATCTATTATGACATAATCTAACAGGAATAATTATTTATTTATGACTAAAGTATATAATAATAGGTTTCTTAATATTTTATTAACAATTATATTAATAAAATAACGATAAAATAAATTAATATTTTTGAAAATTCGGATGTTTTAAGTACAGTTGTATTTCTTATTTACTTCGTTTCCTACTATGGTTATGATTTATCTTCTACAGCGTTACCATTCCATACTCTTACCTGTATTATAATTCAAGTATGATCTACCCTATCCTATGATATACGGTATTCACTTCTTATTCATACCACTACGACGAGTATGACCTACCCTCCTATGACTATAATTTACCCATTTCCCTATTGTATCATGCTTTACTCTATCTTTTACTATAGAGTTTACCCTTATCATAATCATAACTTATTGTACCCTTACCATCTCTATTTCTCTATGATCTGCCGTGCCTTCTATAACATTTATAAGTAACCATACTGCATACTTTAGCCATGATCAAAGCTTCTTTAATGTAGGCACGAGTTGCTTTACCATATGCTTCTAAATTATCTGCCCTATTCCTACTGTCGCGACAAATTACCTTACCTTTTACTATAATTTCTACCCTGCCCTCTCCCATCATCATACGTCTACGGCCTTACTCTGTTTTCGAAACAACGAGTCTTTTTTCAAATTCATGAAATATTTATTCAAAACAACTTATTTAACTTATGATACAGTTGGGTTTGGTTTAGACATTGATGATATTGATATTGTACCTAGTGCCATTATTAATGATTTTATTTTCAGATGAACATGACAGTTGTTGAATGAGCTGTGGTGTTTACTGTAGTTGCAGTGAAGGAGTGGTATCCTGAAATTTTTTTTCGTATCTTTATAGTCATCTTTAAAATTTCTACGTATTTTTTGACCTTCAATATCAGGTCAAAACGAAAATACTTAAAGTTCTGTGTAACCCCTGAAAAATCCCTTACATTGGTGTCACTTTCATCCTCAGTTGAGTTCAGCCTTCCTCGCACCTCGCAGATGTTTTCTTTATTCGGAATGTCGTAGTGACAGAGATAGTCGTAGTAAAAGTCCTCCAGTACCTTGGACTCTTTATCAGATATATTCGAGTTCTCCTGGATTGGTTCGATCTGTGAGCAATGACGGTAGTCAGGGAACCCGCCCACTTCCTGGTGTATCACCGTGTATCCTTGTCGACCGGGTAGACTGATGTTGATGTTGGTTTGCTGACATACCGGACATTTGACTATCAATTCACTAGGCTGTACAATAGTGCGATGGCGGGCTTTTAGTTCTTTCAAATCGGCTATTGGGACCTAAAAGAATTTTTTTTGAAAAATCCACCCCTCTTGTAAAATTCCAAAAAAATTTAATCCAAAATGTTTTATCCCACCCCGCCTCAAAAAATCACTCCCTCCGGCAAAAGCTTTGACTAATTCCTTATATCTTACCATAAAGCTGTACACCCTCCCCTCCTCTTGGAACATTGCCATCGACCGTTGGTAGGCCGTTCCCGGACACCCTTTCGCGACCGTCGTTTCGATATTACAGCGATAGCTGCTTTCTGAACATGGTAGCTAAAACAATTGTTCATTATGTCTTTCATCTTTACATAGGCTAGGGTAAGGTGAGGTAGGTTAGAGTACGGAACGGTCAACAAAAAACCTACAAAATCTACGATATGTGGACAATCCTTTGCAAACCCCAGCGCCGTCCCATTCCCCCCATACAGTGGGATTCGTGTTCGTATCATATCCGCCTTCTCTCCACAATAATCATCACAGTCTTTTGAATTCGGTGACGTAAACCCCATATAACTACAGTGTGCGAATAACGACGGTTCAATGTCACTACGGTAGGTGTATATCTTCTCTTCCGTTATTAGGCCTTGGACCTCTGCCTAAAAATGTTATAGTAAATATTAATTTACAACAAATTTTATTTTTTGGCTTGGATATGATTGTAGAGAACAAGAATGAATAATGAAAAATCATAAAAGTTTGTAACTTACAGTAATCTTTATAAGCGCAAAATAAGCCAAAATGCAGAGTGTGCCAAGCAATAACGTTACGGCAAACTACAATGAATAAAAAGTTGACATTAAGCTATAAATAACAATAAGATGACTAAAAATTAAAAAATCTAAAATTTTTAAAATTTGGGCCGAAACTAAATTTTTTAAATTAAAACTGAAAAATTGAAAAATAATCCCCAGGCCTCTTAAACCTTGAAATAAAAAAATTTTTTTTGAATTTAAAACCCCCTGGCAAACATAGTATCAAAAACGTCTTGTCTTACCAAAACTAAAGCAATATAGCGACATGTAGTACGTCTAAACAACTTCCTCAAGGCCTTGTGAAGTTTCCGTTGCGCTGTTCGATGTGATGCGTTACCCGTTCTCGATCTCCCTCCCATATCCGACCGGTAAAAAAAGTTATAATGAGAAAATTTTTATTTTTTGTTGATTGAAATCAGTGTTTTTTTGTTCAAAGCTTGGCTAAATTAGTGCTAAAAAGTTATTTTCCATTCAATAAAGTTTGAAAATTATATTTTTTATCTTAAAATTTTTAAATTTCAAAAAAGTACAAACTAACTAATTAAAGCATAAAAATTGACTGAAAATCACTAAAATTTATCAAGGCGCCCGACCGGATTTTTTTTAAATAACAATGCGCCGGACCCAAGGGCATCTGTAAAGTGCACGGAGACTATGGCAAATCGGGTGCTTGGCCTACACAGAATTCCGACGGGCCTGAAGTCTTGAGGAACACCTCATCACAGACTCGGTAGCTCCAGAAACAGGACCACCTCTTGGGCCTGATTAGGAACAGCTACATAAATTGTTCTGACGTATTTTACAAAGAATTCCTTAATTTAAAAAGAATTCATTTAGTTTCCGACTCTTTACCTTACAGTAGGCATACCGTCTTCATTAAACCCTTTCCGCATTACAATGTTTTAAAATTTTATCAAAATTAAAATTTTTACAAGAAAATTAGGCTTATAGGACACAATTGATAATATACAATAAAATAAAATTGAAACTACAAAATGAGACAAAAAGTTTGTAGAAAAAACCTCAAAACCAATATTTTTCACTTTTAAAATCACGTTTTTAGCTCATATAATTAAAGCTTTTGGCCAAATTGTTTTTATGCCAAAACGGTCAAAGTCCCAAAAAAATCAAATATGTTGTTCTAGAGCCTTCTTGACCATCACAATACAATTATTATAAGATTAGGAATATAATAGAGACAATATCCTGTTTTTCAAATACAAAATAGCAAAAACGTAAATTTAGACCTAAAACTAACAATTTTTGTTATGAAACTTACCAAAAAGCGCCATTTTAAGTATAAACCTAAACAAAACCTCATGATTTAAAAAAAAACGATCAAAAACTCTAAAATCTACAATAAAACACTGAACCTTTACACAAAAAAATCTTAAATTATGTACATTTTTGGCAAAAAACCGAGGTATAGACCATTAGAAGGCGATATTATCCTTCAGAGATCACGCCTTCTCCTCTTTTGCCTGTTGTTTTGCCAACTCCTCCAGACGTTGAACCAACGAGCCCGCAAAGGCTTCTTTGTAGCCTTCGGAAACCGTAGTCAACAGCGCGGACAATGTTTCAAATGTGGTTTTTGGGAAATCGACCACTTCGCCGGTCGCTTCGTTGTGCTTGTTCGAACAGATTCTCCAGCCGCTGGTGCTCAATTCAATCGTTGCTGGCTTGTCTGGAAATGATGAGTTGGTCAAGAAATTTATAGAATTTGGTTTTAAAATAGAATCTAACCTAATTTCAAATTTTTAAGGCTATTTCAAAAAATTTAAATAAAAAATGCAATATTTTTAAAAAACTTGAAAAATCTATACGTTAAGACCTTAAGCATTAAAACAAAAAATCAAAAACTTACTTTCCAATGTAATCAAATTGGCATAAAACAACTCTGGACCTTGTGTTAGCCTTAATGACTTGTTAAACTCGTTCACAAATGGCCTAACTTCAATTACTGCATAGTTCAGTTCGTCCAACAAAGATTTTGATGAAGGTCTAAAGAAGTAGACATAAGATAACATTAACCACTTGTAGTCCGGTAAAAAATACGTTAATAACTGCAAAAATGTAAAAAGAAAACTTACACTGCTCCCGTAGTCGCCATTTCGAAGCTTCGAATATCACAATAAGTATGACAAGATAAGTGATGCTACTATAAAAGTAAAGATTAGATAAAAGAACCTTTAAACTCTATTATTAAACCGCTCGCACAAAACAGATAATACTGTTTTAATATTTGCAAGTTCTACAGCTCTAACAAGCTGCTGGGCCAAAAAAAAATCAAAAGTTCTCACATTCATTAAACAAGATTGTTTTTTCTATAACATGTAGCAAAACAAACTCGAAATTAAATTGATAATCAGCAATTAATAATTGCATTCAAAAGATCAAAAAGTGATACATTCAAACCTCTTCAGTATGACCCTCAATAGTGTGGCACCACCCTCTATTAATGACAGCTTCTTGACCGCGCTTTGTAACAGTCACTTATCAAAAAGTACCTTAGCAGTGTGACACCCTGGTTAGAAAAACAGGTTTGAACCAGTACCTTGAGTATCATACTAAAGAGGTTTGACTGTAATTATATTGTAAAGAAGGTACTTAAACTAAAGAGAAAATGTTAGTATTGGAATTCAACGTAAAAAACAAAAAAAGTGACTTGTTCATATATTAATATATAGACACATTTCACTAACCAAAAGTTCACGAAAAACAAAGTTTGAGTGATAGCAGAAGCTCTCAACTTATAAAAACATCAAATCATAAATCAGATTAAAATTTGACAAAAAAGTGCATCCAACAGAGAACAAAATAGAAACTAAAACAAGGTCCAGTCCTTTTCGCGGTTATTTTTAATTCATATAAAAATAAAAACAGATTAAAACAACTTCAAAGTACATGAAAAAGTGCATTTCGACGTACTTAAAAACAGAAAGACTTCATTATCAATAATATATTAACATAGTAGCTACCTTTGATAAAAAATGTTAAAACAAAGCTTTAATACCGAGTTTATCTAAAGTACAATTATAAAAAGTCAAGTGACCGAAAGAGAACTAAAAACCCCCAAAAATCGTCAGAAGTATTACTCATCACATTGAAATACCAATTACAATATAAGGTTTCAATTTTGCACGGTGCAGAATTCAAAAATCTTACAAACTAAAAAGTAAAAAACCCAAAACTTTCGAAAACCACTATATATTCACATGATTAACCACATATTATCACAAATCACAAACACCGATCAGATAGCTTGTGACATAATCAACAAATTTTAATTTCAAAGCAACATCTTGTCATGAGTAATATTATTTATTAACAATAAGGCAATACAAGGACCCATTCAATATTGGAGCAATTATTAAGTATATAGACACAAAAAAAACTAACCTGATATGGACTACCAAGCTAGCCTAAAAAATCAATTTCGGTTGATTTAACCTTAAATTTGCGTTGATTTTGGCACATTATTGTAATTAACATGTTTTTAAAGACCTGAAGATTGTTATTTTGAATCAAATGGCAAACAATTTCAACGATAATACATTAAGATATGCACTTATATAGTAGTAGTGACCCAGAGTAAACTTGAGGCAAAAAAAGACCAACAACAGCGTATTTACAGGCATTTTTACTATCAAAACATAAGTAAGATGTATGATAATGTTTAAAATAAGCCTTCGGTCATCAATTCGTTCTCTTATACTTATTTTTTTTATCAAAAATTGACGATTTTTGATCGAAGACATATGATAATATACTGTTGAAAGATTAGACAACTTAACTGCGACGAAATTTTAGTATAATAACAGTAAAACATTAACAGATTCCAATCTTCAATATTTATAAGCTTTGATGGTGGAAAGCCATGTTTTACAACCAAAAACATCAAAAATTCAATAAAACCAAGCCTAAAATCAAAAGAATAAAGAAAAATAAAAAATACCGTGAATTAGCACTTGGTCGAATGTCTGGCAAGTGAAAACCTCTCCAAAACTTGTTGTAACGTGTCCAATACCATTGGAGCCCAATTAGGACAAGGCGGAGCTGGCTGGACCGGGCTAAACACCCGTTCCATCAGAGAAAACCCGAATATTCCAGTTGGCGAGACGGTGGTCAAGAAAACTTGGTCATTTTCTCGTTGTAAGAATACTTTGAGGCGACATGTGGTGAAGTTTACCTGAAATACACATTATTTACTTTCTTTCCAACTTATTTTCGTATGTTTACACGAAAACAATATTTTGTTTACTTGGATTTCACAAATTCGGCCAGAAAAACAAACCGGGACGAAACGACAAAATTGATTTTTGGATAATTTTGCTTTACAGAGTAGAACATGGCCGTAACTTGTAAAACCTTTAACTTTACACTCTTTTCAATGTTCCTTACCTGTGCAGACTCATCTGACATGATGAAAACAACAGAATCTGTGAGTTTCATGACCTCTGTCACATAATTTTCGCGACAAAGTTGAATTCCATCAGAATTTCGAGGTTCTAGCAACGGAACAGCTGAATTCAGCTCTGTATCCATGTATTTCTTGACGTAACGGAGAGAACGGAGTTTGGATTCCATGGCTTGGTTCACTGTGTCGTCTTTGTTTATGATACTTGAGCTTTTGTGTGATTTTAGAGGGTGATATAGGGTTGTTTCTCCGTCACTGAAAAGGTAATGTTTTAGAAGGTGTTTTTTAGGTATATCTAGGGTCGGGAGGGTGGTTTTGGGATAATTAAGGGCACGAGAAGTCCTAAGATGATCAGCGAGGGTCAAAAAATTTTACGGCAAGGTAACATTTTTAAAAAGTTAGTTCAGGGGGGAGGATAATTTTAAAAAGTTTTTTTTTCAGGGAATTTACAGCAAAACCTACATTGTAGAAAGCAGCGAATCGTCGTTGAAGACCACCGATCGTACTCCATTCCTCATCATGATGCCGAACCCAAACTTGTTGGTATAATCAACCCATTTGGCTACATAATTCTGAGGAATCTGTCTATCAACTGGAATCACACAATATTCTCCTTGATCTCCCAAACATTCGGTCACACATCGATAGTACAGGTTCATCGTGATTAGCTGAGAATCGGCGAACGATCGTTGTGGACTCGCGGATTCTGGAGCATTGTTGTTGACATCGTACATGGATTGACATCGATTTACTCGAGGGTTGGGAGTTCTTGGCGGTGAATGTTCTGAATGTGAGGATCCGTTGGAGTGTGATGGAGATGAGTCGTATAGTTCCATTTGATGTAGATTGGTCAGGGAATTGCGACGAAACATTTGGAAGACAGGATGATCGTGCATCTCACGCATCGTCATTCGGTGCATCGGATTCACTAGCAGGACTCTGAAAATGTTTATGGGTTGGAGACGAAAATTGCTTTAAAAAAACGTTTTGGACCATTTTAAAAATCAAATTTTACTTACTTATCGATAAAATCGCTAGCCCTCCGGCTTCCGTTGAAGTTCCTTGGATACCCATAGTCGCCTCTACAGATTCTGGAGTAAGTTCCTTTGATCGAAGACGTCTGGAAGGGTGTTTGCCCGCATAACATAAAGTAGAAAGTACATGCTAAAGCCCAATAATCAGACGAATAAGTGTGTCCTTTGTATAGTACTGTCTCTGGTGCTACGTAGTTGGGAGTACCACATACTGAAGCCCGTCTTCTTGCATCTTCGGCCGTGCACGCTAGTCCAAAGTCAGCTAGTTTGACTGTACGAGCACCATTGGTTAGGAGCACGTTTCCTGGCTTTATGTCACGGTGAAGGACGTCGTAGACGGAGTGGATGTACTCTAGAGCACTTAGCAGTTGTTTTAGGTAACGGGTGGCGTCTGTTTCTCGTAGGGAGCCTTCTGAAAGGAAAAAGTTGTAGTGAGATTAATCATGTATAATATAATCTTATTATACTTTAAAATAGTACCAATAGTACCTTAAAAGAGTACTATTGCTACTATTTTAAGCAACTAAGAAGTTCTGCAGCCTGTACATACAATTATATTATCGACAACAACTTACTAGGCTGTTGTTCAACAAAATCGCTCAGATTCCCATTCGGACAGTACTCCAACAACATGCAGGTATCCCCTTCATCCGATGTAAAGGCTGCCAACATCGAAACCAGATGTGGATGTCGATATTCATCACATAATCGACCATGAACCACGATTTCGTTCCAAATTTTGGAAAACCGTATCTCGTGTTCATGATGGTTACGTTGAGCAAACTTCTTCAAAGCAAAAAACTGAGTATCAACGGCTGAGTGCAATCGAGTACTGACTAGGTAGCAGGTCGCGAATGAGCCCTGAAAATAAAATTTCAATTACAAAGGCCTAGGCTAAAGGATATAGGTGTTCTAAGCCAATTGATAGAGGGAAGATTCAGGCTAAACGGTAGAGGGTAGGTCTAGGCTATAAATTAGAGGGTAGGCCTAGGCTAAAGGGTAGACTTTAAGCTTAGGCTAAAGAGTATAAGTTATGCCTAGCCTAAAGGACAGAGGTTAAGCCTCGGCTAAAGAGTAGAGGGTAGGCCTAGCTTAAAGGGTAGAGGGTAGGCCAGGGCTAAACGGTAGAAGCGAAGCCTAGGCTAATTAGGGTTGGGTAAGGTAAGATAGGGTAGGGTAGGGTAGGGTAGGATAGGGTAAAGTAAAGTTGGCCAAAGTATTATATGGTAGAGTAGCGTGAATTAGGGTAGTAAAATTAAAAAACCCACCTTGCCCAGCCGCTTCAGCACCTCGTACGAAATTCCATTCTGAGCATCCACAATATTGCGTGGTGACATTGGTTGGAATGTCACACTGTAAATCAAAGCACCGTTTCAGCTGAGCTTGAGGTCATAAGGCTAAAACAATATTGTTTACACTAAGTGAATCACCAACTTTATCAAGATCTGACGCGATTTCAAGGACAATTGATATTAAGCTAGGGTATAACATAATATAATCGGGTTTTTATTAACAACTATGGATAATAACGTAACATATGGGTTGTGGTAGGGCATTAAATGTCATTTTTCATTAGTTTTTAAAAAGTTAAAAAATCTTTTATATTACGTCGTTCAAATAATTCTGTGCCCCTACACCCAAAAATTCACGTTGATATGGGCACAGAATTATTGGAACAACTTAATTAAAAAAAGTTATGAAAAAAAATAAAACTCCTTCGCACCGCTGATAACAAAAAAAATTTTTTTGATATGAATCCGGATTTCAAACGGAGTTCTAACACAAAATGTCATAACAACACACGGAACTATTTATTACCGGTTGTATTACCGGAAAAAAAAACTAAAAAAAAGTAATCAATATATCCACAGGGCCCCCCCCTGTTGATATTTTTGAAAATTAAAAATTAAAAAAAAAGTTATCCAAAACCTGTTAAATTTAAAACAAAAAGCTAATATCTAACCCCAAAATGCCATTTTAAATACTATATTAACACAGAATTACATTTACAAAAAATACAGTACAATTTAGCCTCATTTTCTACCAAAAACCCCAATTTTAAACCCAGTTCTTATCAAAAAACCACCATTTCAAGCCCGCTTTCATAGCCCAAACCTCTTCAAAAACAAGATAATTTTGCGTTTTTTGCATTGGTCATTCCTAAACATGCCCGAGGCGATTAGAAAACAATTATCTGAGTCATTTTTAAATTTGCATTTAAACTCGTACAAAGAAACATAATATTATCACTTTTATTGATGACGAGCTGAGAGGGTGAATCATAAGAAATTGGCAAGAATTTTTTGAAAAAGAGGGTTTTAGTAGGGTACAGGAGTAGAGGGTAGGTTAATATAAATAGCTAAAGAGAAGGCAAGGCACATCCCTATTACAAAGATATGTGTAAGGGTAGGGTAAAGTACAGTAAAGTAGCGTGAGATAGGATAAGATAGAGTAGAACAGGGTGAATTAGTGTTTCGTAAGGCAAGGCAAGGCAAGCCATTCTCAAAAAATTAAAATTTCGCAGCAAATTGAAAATTTAGTTTCAAAAATTGCAAAAATAGAAAAAATTATCTAAATACTTCGTATTTTACACAGCTTTTAAATTTAGGTGACAAAACAAACACAAAATTAGTCTTCTGCCACTTCCGGCCTCCAACCGAACCTCTCGGTATGGCCATCTGCTCTCATGGTAAAATAAAAAATAAATCGCCCGTAAAAGGTCGTATCTTAAATGCTTGCTTCTCATGTTATTAGAAATGGTGAGCAACATAAGGTGGATTCAATAAAAAATTTCTTCGAAATTTAAAAGTACTATAGCTTTAAAAAAGTTTTGTCGTTATCTCTTATATATTTTAATGGGAAAATGAGACAAAACTTTTTTTGAGAGTTATTATCTATTAGGTTTTTCAAATAATTATGTGCCCCCTAACACCAAGAAAAATTATTTTGAGAGAGAGCACAGAATTATTTGAACAGCCTGATAAATTAAAATAATACTATTATTTCAAAATTTAAAAAATGTTCCTAAAATCAATCAAAAATTTTATTCTACATACTTTCTGACCACTTTTTGTTTTAAAATCTTCTTAAAATGTTGCGTTTTAGACTTAAATTCACTTAAGAAGTTGCACTTTAACTTTTTTTTTCAAAAATTAAAAAAAAAACACGAGTAATGTTGTTGTACAACAACATGAATATAGTAGCTACTCCCGTTCTCGTCTAATTTTTCGTTTTCTTTTGTAAACCTAATTAGTCCCATTTGAAAGTCCAGTTTTTTTTTAAAAACAAAAAATCGTAAAACCGTGATAATTCGCTTTACGACGTTTTTTGGTATTGTAGGTTATGTAAAGGGGTTTGTATTGTGAAAAATGTCTAAAATTGTTGCAAAAGGCGTGAAAAGTAATATTTTCAAAAGACTTTAAAAAAAATTGTGAAAAAAACTGTTTTAAAGTTGAAAAAAATATGTTGAAGTAGAGTGCACCGTGCAAAAAATCGTAAGCAGCCAGGTTCAAAGCTTCATAACTTTCTTTGTATAAAAGTTAATAAATTGAAAATTGGCATCAGAGAAGCATAGTTTATGATGATAGTATTCCCCAAATTTTAGACTTTAACAATTAAAATTAAAGAAGCTACAACTTTTTTAAAAATCCCACTCACATAACCCTGAAATCTAGAAAGACCTTACTTTTTTATCAAAAAAGCTATCTAAAACAACATATCTTAAAGCAAAATAATCAAAATATAGCCAAAAAACTCCCAAAAATTTATAAAACCAAAACTCCTGAAGCAAAATCGCGAATCTTGTAGCAGAACAATCGAAAAAACGTCTCGAATCTCGACAAAAACAAAGCCATAAAGCTATATTTCTGGAACCGGAAAACCCGCGTCGATGAGAGAAATGATTGAAAGGAACGGAACGGTGGGTCTGACACAATGTTATGATAAACTTTGCGATGTTTCTTTTATCACTTTCACAAATGTGCGTTTAAAAATCGTGTTTGAATGAGAAAAGACTATGGGATAGACATTTAAAAGGGCCGGGTTGAGCTTAACATTACGGCAGAGCCCAAGGCCCGGCATTTAGTTGAGTCCCTGCCCTCTGGCCCATATATTTAAGCTTGGTCTAGCCTTTTTCAAATTTGCTTCAACCAGGACCGAGCCGAGGCCGGGCTGAGCCTAGTGAGCCCCCATTTAAGTCTACTACGACATATAAAAAAGAATGGTTAAAATATAATAAATTTACCTCAATTTTTAGGCCTTTTTAGGATATATCTATAGTTTGATAGATAAAGACTGACTGTGAACTGAAGTAACTATTCCTCTACGTAATATTAAAATAAATGTTAAAAAATATTTTTTAAAAGTAATGTTTTAAAATGGCATAAAAAGCCTTTTTAAAGCTTTCAATCCACCCAAAAAAAGCTTTCCGATTCGGACAAAATTTAAAATAAAATTTTTAAAAGTGCAAATTAAAATCTGAAATTTTGGAGAAATGTTCTCAATAGTACTGATAATATTAATATATGTGTCAAATTTTGTTATTATTAAGCTAATTAATAAGGAGTTACAGTAGCCTAAAGACTGAAAAAATAACCAAATAAAAAATTTTTAAAAATTAAAAAAAGTTTTAAAAATAAAAAAAATAGTATATACATCGTATTGAAAATACATTTTTTACCGTTCCATAGCTCTTTTATTTTTTTCCACTCCCTCCCACCGCCTAAAAATTAGTTTTAGACCTCCACCCAACACCCCCCCCTCCTCTCTCCTGTTATAGAATTTTCGACCCCGCTTCATTCCCACGCCCAAAAAATATACTTTTTAACTCATCCTTCCCCATCTCATCTCACCACCCTAAAATTAAAAAATTTTTTTTGACCTTCCTTTCTCCCCCTCCCGACGTGTTTATGAGTATGCAAATTTCCCCAGTGAGATCCCGAACAAAACGCTAACCTTTTTTTCAGAATCCTCAAAAATTATAATATGAGACGAAGACAGTAGGCGCATAATGGGGGGATGGCCTTGAAAAGACAACCGCGCGCCGCACCCCCCCACCACCGCCCTGATACCCTGAAGAAGATTTGTTGGGAAATAAATTAGCAGTGACTTGTGAAGGATAAACGGTAAGTAGCTTTTTCGGTTTGAAATGTCTTTTTTATTTATTTTTAATTGACGTATTTTAACAATCTCAAAAAAAATTTTAAATGGTTGTTTTGCACGGTGCAAAGCAAAAATTAAAAAATTAAAATAAATAAACCTAAACTTAAATTTCTAAATTCGTGTCCTAAAAAATGTTCATCACTCTCTATTTGTAATGGCTATGTCAGAAAAAGTTTCAATTTTGACTCAACTTCAAAGTTTTTATTAAAAATTGAAAATAACCTGCACAGTGCAACGAAAAATAAAAAAGTAAAAATAAATGAAAATAAATTTTAATTTCAAAAGCTGTATGATAAAAAATCTCCTTCACCTACTATTTGTAATGGCTATGTCAGCAAAATATTCAATTTAGACCCAATTTCAAAGTTTAATCGGAATTACCTAAAAAGACTGCACGGTGCAACGCAAAATTTAAAAAACTAAAATAAACAGAACTAAACTTAAATTTTAAAATCCGGATGACAAAAAGTGTTCTTCACCCTCTATTTTTAATGGCTATATCAAAAAAAATCAATTTTAGACTCAATTTCTAAGTTTTTATTAAAAATTTAAATTGGCTTGCACGGTGCAAAGGCAAAAATATCAAAATAAACTAGAAACTTTAAAAAGTTAAAAATATTTGAAAAAACAAGAAAAAATGATTAATATAGTAATAATATAGATTTTGGCATCCATATATCATAAATTTTTCAACTGCATCTGGAAATATTATACTTTATCGGATTATATCATAACTTAGTGGTATATCAAATAGTAAAGCTTAATAAACATAAAACACGATTTAGGTGCATCTTTTTAAAGCCTTTTTTACTTTATTATAAAATAGTCATATTTTTGTACTCGAGGTTAAGATCAAGGCTCGTATTTTACCCCACCCAACTTTTACCCCGTCCAATATAAATCTAACATACTGCCAAAGTAATGTTGCCTAGAATAAAGTAAAAACCAAAAACATTTTCTTGAAAGTCCTAATTCCGCTTGGCCGTGGTCTTCCCCTGCCTTTCGCTAAAATCAAATGCCCTTTCTCTGACTGTCCGACGCGCCCTCTCGTTTTTAACGATCCCTCTTTCTTTGCTCGTCCTCTCTGTTTTCAACGCTCTCTCGCCGTCCATTTTCGGTTTATTTTTTGGTCGAGAGTCTTGAAGGTCGAAAAATAGAATAAAATTTGTTTTTTGAT